TCCTAATCATATTTTGAGAGGGATTACTTTGGAGACAGTGCCTGACACGAAAATTGCCGTCCCTTTATCTTCCCTTCTAACAAATCCTCAGTCTCCATTTTTTTTCCCTGGACACGAACCTTCAATTATCCCTCAATGTCAAAATAAAATAGGTCCTAAAAACTAACGCACGCATTGATTTAAGGTGATTCCCTGGTTTTGCACTGCGCATCTCTTACTGCGCATAACAAGATGGCCTCCGTAAAAAAGAGCATGTGAAGTAACTTTATTAAAATGAAGTTGACCGAAGAGAAACGCTATTGCAATTTTTGCTTGCGGTTGTTTCTTGCCGAGGTGAGACTCAGTGTGGTGGGAATGTGCATAACGTAAGCAGTACGCGTGTTGCTGAGTCCGACTTCCTCACGGAGAACCTCGATAGTGGATGTTTAATTTGTGCTTATTCACTTTGATTTTCATTTAAACGCTTTCTTTATCACATTGTATCCTAAATGTGATATCTCGATGTAAATTCTGTAAAAACGGATTTTTTAATACTTTCTTCCCCCTTTTACGTACATTCTATTTTAAAACTCGCCCCAGTCCTCTATCAAAAATCAAGCAAAATGCATTTGGTGCGCACTTTCTGCACCTCTACCGCAAAAACGAGTATGGTGACCCCCATTTTTTATTTCATGATTTTAATAAGGACAGTGCTTCCTTTCGGTGAGAAAAAAATTGGCTCAAATCTATGTTCAGTTTTTTGGCAATTTTACTAAATTGTACGGATTGAGTAGTAAAAACAAGGGCATTAAAAGGCATTTTTATGGTACGTAAGTGGATAAACAATACATTAAAGTCAAATTCTGTGCGATACCACATGCATCATTGAAAAAATCTTTCCTTTTTGTCTAGTTTTGGGCTGCGCGCGGTTTTTGTCAAAAGGTCCAAAATAACCGTATTTGCCAGCATTGTGACGTCAAAACGAGCACGGTGACCCCCACTTTTTATTACTTTTTTATCATCTTCTTGACTTGTTACATCAGTGTACCAAGTTTCATGTACAATCCATGTAGGGAATCACCTTAAGTTAAAAGCAATGCATCCCATTAGCGGAGGCTAATCTAAGATGGTCAGTAGATTGAAAAAATCAGTTCTTGATTTTCGCTCGGGGCTACCAGCCAGCTTAAGCAACGAGAACGGCTGACTTCCTGAACGTTAGGAATGGTAAACCGGAAGTTTAATTTTTCGATTGTAATACAGTGGAACCTTTATTTAAGGTACACCCTGGGACCAAGGGCATGAAAGGAGGTTGGGAAGGGGGTTGTTAATAATTAACCAAAAAGTAAAATAATTTCCATTTTTTCTGCCTCGAAATCTGCTGCAGTCATTATTCCATGAAGCAAGATAACGTATGAAAAGTCAAGGTTAACTTATCTCTGCGATGTTGTATGTTTAATCCCCACAAGTGCAGTGCATTGATTTAAGTGAGACAGTTCATGTCTTGAAAGCTGTCGCCATGGTGACTCGTCAACACTAAAAACTTATCAACGATTTTTGTGGTCAGTCACTTTTTGAGGGCTAGGGTGTCCCCTGAATGGAATTTAAACAGTTTTAGAGGTAACAAATACAAAGATTATGAGAACTTTTTTCGGCTTTTGATTTTGTGTCCCCTGTATGCAGGTGTCCCAAGGGAGAGGTTCCACTGTACGACGTTATAGGGTGACATCACCGACTGAGAAAGAAATGATTAACTTCCGGATGTTCTTTTCAAGGGAAGTCGACATTTTCGTTGCGGCGTGCACTACATCCCCATAAGCTCAAGTTTAACATTTTAGCGTACTTTGCGACTGCCCTGGTCCTGAACAACCAATATATCACGTGAATTTTTCTAACTTTTTTACAATTTGATACAAAGTCATCGTGTGTTGTAAGGCAAATATAACAGCAGTCTGATATAAAAACGGCTTGCAGCCCAGCATTTGCTTTTTCACGATTTGCTAATAACCCATTGCTCATTACGTGTAACTTTGCTTATGTAGAGCACCCAGATGGATGGAGAGCTATAAGGTAGAAAATGACCAGCCTCGTTCCCAGGCCAGTTCGCGCTGTCAAAGTAACCAGTGAAGGCTTGGAACCGAATTTTCCCGACAAGCTTGACAGGTGACGTCACATCCAAAATCGCTGGAAGACTGGGAACAAGGCTTTAAAGTGACAGCTCAGCACAGGAAGTTCGGGGACTAAACGAAAACTAAAACAGCAAAAGGGAGCCCATTCCCTGCCAGCTCACTGCCAATTCTTCCCAGGGGGAAAACGCTGTTCACCAAAGAATTCGTCTACCTATAGTGGAACCAGAAATAGTCCGCTTAAAAGGCGCTCTTCCTCTGTTTATTTAGTCTCTGTAAAGACCCTTTTCTAATAAGTTCACTTTCAGAGATGCGTATATGAGTAAGTCCTTACCGTGACACAGTAAAGAAGATTGGTTCGCAACTTGAGGTGGTCATATTCCACGGTTTCCGAAGGCCTGGATAAGACCACAGCATACCTTATCGACCATCAATTTATTTCGAAAAGTAAAGAGTACAGTTGCCCATGTATAATCGTTATTGCGTTAGAAGAAGATATAAAAATCTTTTAAGGGCGTACTATACTGACGTCTCTGTACGTCTAATCCTTTAAGCCTTAACGGATCAGAATTCAACTTCTCATTTGTTGTCCCCATATGTTTTCTATAGAATTAGTGGGTAGAACTTGCTGAAGTGTCAATTAGATTCATCTTCCGTGATCATGTCGTTAATTCTCATCACTAATCTGTTTTATAAAGCGGTGATATCACAAGAAGAATTTTGAAGGTGATTACTCTCTGGAGTAGATTGTTATTGTGATCAAAATTTTGACTGCCCTATTCTTTTCAGATTACGAAAGTAGAAGTAATAAATAATTTCCTCCCCAAATTTCAAGTCAAAATTCCAATGATAAGACCACTTATTTTAACATAAAGCTCAGGTTTGCCTTGCCGCCATTACTCGATTCAAGAAGTGGCTGTGAGCCACATAAAGATCTGGAACTAGTTGGAGAAAAAGGCATGTGACGTCAGACTCGCATCATTGCTCGCAGGCTGAATACATGTATACTGCCAAGCATTTTAGAAGTGACTCGGGCTAAAAGCAGTTAAAATTAATATAAAAGGAAAAAACAACTGAGATGCAATTACGTCCTTACAAAGTTTTAGTAACAGAAGTTAAGTCAATTCAGAGGGCAAACATTACTGAGACATTACGCTATGATTTGTAGAAAACTCCCTTGTCAAAATATCACCGTGTAATACTGTATAGAAGAAGGTTTGGTGGTTGGTTTTGGCGAAATTCTTACAAAGCAAGAAGATAAAAAGTAGTTATCAATCTCTAATGAATAGACTAAGCGTAGCGACATTCTGGAACCGGTTAATTCAGAGAGTGATAAATACATGATCATTTTATGAAATTATACTGTGAAAATAATTTCGTTTATTAAGTAGTAGCATGCGGCATTTACTAGCTACAGAGAACCTTCAATAAACTATGGAATCTTTTATAACATTTTAATAAAAAAAAACGCCAGTTTGCAAAGTAATTTCAAGCTGACCATTAGAAAACATATAGCCACTAAAAATAACCAATAGATAAAACCAAAATAGGTTCCCTAGCGGTTTTGCGACCAATAGAAAACAGCCTGGGGTGTTGGGTTGTTCTCTGTGGACCATTGGTGATTAAATAAATTGCCTTTTTACCAAGAATGTCAATAACATTAAATTTTAGTGCTTTTACATTCGACAAATTGCATTCAGACCAAATGATACAATCAATGATATCCAATAGTTAAGGCCTTGTGAGCCCTATTTTTATCTTATGGTCGGTGATTACTTTTAGCAGAAAACTCCTTTAAAGTATATTTTATAAACATGATTTTCAATTTAATTGGTTTTGCAAACTGTTAAAAAGGTTATTTTTACTCTGTCAAACATGAGTTTTCTAGATTTCAAATTGAACAGGAAAATTTTACGCAGCGGCGAAATTTTCAAAGCTTCTCAGATGATTCAGTTTCCTGGAAAATTCATCCAAAGCTCGCTTAAAGCTTTTTTTCAGTTATGGCAGGAAAAACCCTAATTATTGCCTTTGTAAACAACGATTTATAACCTCTTATTTTTTTATAAAACGGCAATAAAATAATATTGTCTTAGAATCCTTATAACAAAAAATTGTGAAGTTTATAGACGAACGTTTCGTAGGTAGATATTAACAGTGGATAGGAGTTTTCAGTGTTGCAAAAACAAAATGTTCAAAATTAAAATGTCACAAGTATTGCGTGTTACTTGCCTGTTTTTATGAAATGTATAAGACTTACTTTGAACAGTGAAAACATATATTTAATAACATACTATTAATGATTTATTCCCAATTCTCTATACGGAAAAAAGTGATGATGACGAAGTTGCTTAAGTGCAAGTCCTTATAAGAGTTTATTTTGGAGATGAAAAATAATACACAAGAAACAAGCTTCTGATGGCTACTATTTAAGAGTTTCCTGTTTTATTACTAGAAAAGCCAAGGCGAGATAATGCTTTCTTTGTTAATTGTGTGTGTATTTCATCAAGATCCATCAAAAGACAAATTTATTTCCAACCTTCCATTCGTGAGAAGATTAAAAGGTGCTTTCTAGGATTACTAATTAATTCCCTACTAAGCGTTTTAATGAGGATTGAGAGAAATGCAAATTTCTTAACTGTTAATATGGATTATATATTCGATGAGGGTGTCAAACCACTGATTTGGTTCTTGGCCTCAAGACCTGACGCATCAGTCACTGATTGACTCTTTCATGGCCGATTAATACCTGCGTTTATCTGTGACTTTTCTTAACCTAAATTGAACAATTTGCCTGTCAAGTTGTTGTAGCTCTGACTGGAAAAGAAAGGGTACGTAATTCACAAAAAAGTTATATTTTAGTGGTTCGCTTGACCATTGCAACAAAGGGAGAAACACGCAATGTTTTTGGCTAACTCGTCTTCAGGAAATTCATCTACCTCCACCTTAGCCACCAAAAGTGATTCGTGCTCGTCGATTGGTGACGAAACGACATTAAAAAGTGTTCATACTGCGGCCTACTGTATAGTACTTCTACTCTCGTTGTTTGGAAACTCTATGATCATTCTGATAGTGTACAGGAACCAGCGTATGTGGACCACCTCTAACTACCTCATCGTCAACATGGCCGCGTCAGATCTTCTTCTGCCATTTTTCGCGGTACCCAGGATGATTGTCGAGGTACTGGTAGGCAAGGAGAGGTGGTTGATCGCGGGGACAGGGGGTCTTGTGCTGTGCAAACTCGCCTATTTTCTACAAGACGTGTCCACTGCGGTTTCCGTACAGAGTCTTCTTGCTATAACAGCGGAAAGGTTTTACGCCGTGAAGTTTCCATTAAAGGCTGCGGCAATGAAGTCAAAGATCAGATATGTCATTCCCATTATATGGTTCACAGCAATGGCTCTCCATGCACCATATCTTCAAGTGTTTCAACTGCACATGACCCACGGAGATTTATATTGCGTTCAGAGGTGGACCATGTCATCTAAAAGCAAATTTATCTACTTTGTTTTAATTCTTAGTTTGGTGTTTGGATTCCCGTTGATTACAATCATAGTTTTGTATGCGGGGATTGTTTACAAATTATTTCGCCAAAAAGTGCCGCCCGGAGCCAGAAACTCCATCACCCAGAAACAGCAAAACAGGCGTGCAAGACAAAATAAGAACGTCCTCAGAATGGCTGTTACTGTTGTGGTGATCTTCTTTTTATGTTTTTCACCGTTGGTCATTCTCGCATTGCTTCTGATCACACAAAGCATAGGAAAATGTAAAGCCGAGACATTTCGCATCATCGCCAAATTTCTGGCTCAGTCAAACTGTGCCATGAATGCTTTTGTTTATTATGCTTTTAATTCGCAGTTTCGGCGGGGATTTATTTCTAATTTAAGAACCATTTTTTGCCTAGGTTGTAAGGGAGAAGACCGAATCGGGATAAACGTAAGATATTCTATCTCGAGTCAAAGGATTTCCCTCTTATCAGGAAAAAGGAAACGCACTTGGTCTGGAAGGCAACCATCGGAAACATAGAGGATAGATATAATGAAAAGAATATAAACGAGAAATAAATGGCATATCTTCGTGATGATAAGTAAAACTAGAATACATGAATTATACCAAACACCTGGAATTCATAAAATTATAATGATCTTCTTTTCTAAATCTAAGAGTAAGAACGTGTATAAAATAATTGAAAAAAATTGGTGAATGAAAATGAACGATAGTCGTTAAAAAATACCACATAATATTCAAACCTATTTTGTTATTTCTATTACATCGAGGGAATAAATCTGTGTATTTGAATTGGTACTAAATATCCTAGGAACACTATTTGTTATGCAATTACCATTTCACCTCAGATATAAGATTATAAAATGGTGCGGTGCTGATCAATATTAACTATGTTAGCGTTAGTATTATGTATTGTAAACAAAAAAAAACAAATAAATTTGTGCGATCTGGAGGGCGACCTCGTTACCGAAACAACAACTACTTCTTAAAAAAAATTTTAAAGTTTAAAATCAACCTTTTCCCCAAATTATAGACTCCAGGAAGAATGTTCAAAGAAAGGATAAAAGCTGTAAAATGTTACAAAATATACCTAGAAAATCTTCATAAGAGCTTATGACGGCAGTAACATGCAAATTTGAGGTACAAATTTCATTTAGTAGGTAATTAACGACTACCGTAGATTACTAAAACTTATAGTTAATCCCATGGAAGAGCAAGGTCTCGGTAGCATCAACAGAATTTTATGATAATAGCAACAACTGCCGAATACTGAAGAATATTTAGTTAATCTCCATCAGGAGAAATATAAATGTCTATTACGTCATCAGCTACACAGTTAAAGAGAAATTTTATTACTCTATCAAAGAGATAGCGCATGGTCGAGTATTATAAAAGCGTTTCGTAAGCGAATTTGTTTTGCTTTACACCATGTAGGTTTTATTTAATTTTCCATTTTAGTTTTCACTCATTTTGAGTAGCACGCAGGCAGAGATCATAACGACTATTAAAGAACACAGCTGGACGTTAATTTCGACCGTAAAATTATTAAAAAGGATCTCCACTATACTGTAGTCCGTTTTCTAATTAGCTCTTTATTCATTTTGACTGTCTTGCAACCATGGAGACCATTTGTTCTATCGTTCATCTCATTTAATTATAAGGAAAAACACTTGATTTGCACTTTTAGAAGGATCTCTAAGATTTGACATCTATAATAATCCTCTGTAAATTTGTTTAACCCAAGGAAACTTGGAACCGTTGTCTGGCCAAAGTCAACGAAAAAGAACGCGTATAAAATTGTTTTCTTAGTCGATAGCCGAGTTATACAGGTGGTCTTGCGTCGTTAAATTAAACTAGTTGATAACGAGCACCGCGAAATGAAAAGGTCCTCAGACAATTAAGAGAACAGTCATCTTTTTTCTCAGAATAAATGATAATTTAATCAATGCATGTAGTACAATTTTCACTGCCTTAACGTTTACCATCACAACTAATATGAAAGAACGTCATACAACAGGGCCTTCGAGGCTGACTGCATGTCGGTTAGACTGATACATGGAAAATGAGCAATGGTTAACTGTTGTTGTCGCAGTATTTACTGTAATGCTATTTTTTCACATTATTTAAAGTCAAGAGAGCTTACTATCTCTGAAAATGAGTTCCTTAAAAAAAATATAATAAGCTAATTCGAAACGGTTAGTCCAAAATATTTCAGACTGACGCAGTAAGTAAATCGAAAACTAGAAATTATTTTGCATAAAACGGGAAAGGAAAAATGAAAATGAGAACAAACTGAAGTAAATAATTGGAAATGATTTTACTGATAGGGATACAGAACAAGTTAGCTGTTGTTCCCATGTTTCATTTTTTTTCCTTTCCCTCCGCTCGTTTCCCGCTCCCCGTTCCCCGTAGACAAGATGATTAAAAACTGGCATCAATTTTTACAACAACTACTCTGTGAGGAAGAAGAACTGACTTTTATCAAAACAAAAGAAACCAAATGACTGTAAACTTCAAGTTTACAGGGAAAGGCTTCCGCAAAACTCAAAACGCTTTTAGAGAAAAGTTTTTAAGGGGCCATCATAGTTTCTTAGAAACCTAGTAAAAACCATGCGAGAAAAACTCATAGCTTGAATAATTATTCCTGCGTAACTAAACGGTTAATAGTTTTCAGATATTCTTCTATTTAATTTCCACCAACGCGTAATAGCAAATTCTGTAACTAATGCAACCATTAGTAAATCGCTGATGTAAACGACACAAATTAACGTAATTTATTAAATTTTTGATAAATTGGGCCTCAGAAAAAATAACTCCCGCTTCCTTCACCTTTATACAATTCCTCAGATGAAATTTCATCATTATCTCCTGTTTCGTCTTCCGGCTTTCACACAAAAACTGAGTCATAAAGGAATTTTTGTACCAGGAAACTTAAGTGAATATGACACGAAATTTTTCTTTTTTGGTCGTTTTTAACTCTTAAATATGTGTACTGAATATGTATCCCAACTTTAAAATCGCAAAAAATCTTGCAAAACCTTTTTTTTTCTTCTTCAAAGCAAGCAAATTTCCCTCCAAAATTTACAAGTTTGACCAAGAACGGTTTGCAAGAATGTAGAATATTTAACAAGATGCGGATTGTAGTTGGCAACAACTCCCCAATCATCTTCACAATCTTCATTTGCTTCATTATACCTTTCTTAAAGTCAAATACATCGCTTAATTTCACAAGAATTTTCCATCAGAAGCGAAGGCTCACATGACGTCATCAGCCTTCCTTTGATCCTTACTCGTTCCTAGTCTCTGGGACTTTCTCAAGGGGAAAAAGCAGTTATTTTTGAACGGCCAAAATTTCAGGAACGTTTTGGGAGACATACTTTTTTAAGTTCATGATTGTTAACCCTTTTACTGCCAGAGTGAGTGATGGAGTTTTGTAAGGTGACTCTTCCTTTTGAGTCGAGTGTGGACGAAATGCTATGGAGTAACCATTCAAATGAAACCTCTCTGCCTGTACTTTGACATGGCCGGTGCTGTTTGTTATTAGAAATTTTACAAAATAAAATTCGGAAATTTTTGTCGAATTTCGCCTTTGGCCACATTAGGCAGTGAAAGGGTTAATGAAACTTTTTCTCAGGACCAAATCAGTTTTAACACACTTTACGGATCGTCAGGTTTCGGTTCATCGTCATCATCATCTTCATCGCTCTTTTTTCGTATGAACCTCTTTGTTACCAAGGCAATAGTTGCGGTACCAATCATTGCGCATGCGACTCCAATGCCGATAGCAACTGCCAGGCCGGAGGACTGGGTCTTGTTGTCAAGTTGAGTCTAGAGCGAAAGCAAATGATCTTGAAGTTATCACTCTCTTGAATGTTAGACTAGAATCCCTAACTGAGATTTTCCATGGTTTCAGCCATTTCTAGCCTGTGTGCAGGCGTTTTTACCACGGCACATGACGCTATGCCGAGGGAGTGCCTCATGCCCGTACATGTACTGCAAGGCGAACATGGCTCACGTGTGGCTGAAATTATGTCCTTGGCCAAGTTAACGAAGTCCATCCCTCCCTGACGCGGCTTCAACATAAGGCTAACGGGAAGCCGCAGGCGGAATTCCCCGCAAGTGGAAGGGGAAGTCTCCAACCTCGCTATCCCGAATTCTCCCTTCCCCTTTTGACACTCTTGCCACGAAGGCTGAACGGTGTATAGCCGAAAAAAACTCAAATTTTTGTCGTAAGGGCTAAAAATGGAAATTTTCAACCGTTATTCATACACATCATTAACTTGGCTGTGCAATTCCATCGTATTATGTCAACCCAAGCCCTGAGTTGAGGTTTATTCAAAATAACCTGGAAAATGTCTATAGTGCGAGATTTAAAGAACTTTACTTACTCCTGTAAAAAGAGTTTTCTCAACTTCTTGACTTGCTGGAATTGTTATAGATCCACCTAAAACGGAAGAAAACGTTTCGTAAAAGTTGAACATGATAACGGATACCACAGAATAGCAGGACCACACAAATACCCATTAAATAACCCAACTGAAGACGTGCACGGAATACGGTAGTTATAGACTAGATTACCAGTAGTGGCGTTTTGTTTAAGTGCATTATCTTGTACATGCCAACCTGAAATAATAAATGGGTGTCAAAAAAATGTTTGACCTCGGTATTATGTATAGCAATACTATACAATACTTTACGCCGCCTGCATGATGAAGGCCATTTCGCGAATTCGAGCGCAAAGACTTTTATTTCTGGCACAGTTTGAAATTCTACACAGACTAACGCCCCGTCCACATGTAACCGTTTTTGTTTGAAAACGGAGGTTTTTCCTTCAGGTTGGCCACACGTATTCGGTCGAAACGGTCACCGAAAACGCATCTTTTCAAAAACGCTCTCCAGAGTGAAGATTTTTGAAAACCCTGGCCACTCGTTTAAGTGTGGACGGACGAAAACGGAGTTTTTCTAATACAATGATGCACTGAATACATCATTTACTACTAACATTCCGCAGCTCTGTTCAGCGTTTTCGTATGGACGGACGAAAACGATTCGAATACGCTACGTGTGGACGTGTATTTTTTTGCAAAACGGAGGAAAAAATCTCCGTTTCGAAAGTATCCGGATGCGTGTCGCCACGCCTTAAGATGGTGTTTTCTGAAATCTTCGTCGAAGCCCACTACTTAACATACCGCGAAGCAACATGCGGGATGTGTGGCGTTAAGCTGGGCGAGGTGCTTTGTTCGCTCCTCAGTTGCCGAAACTGAAACTGGAAACCAGTCTAGTTTTATTTTCTCACAAGTATTTTCAGAATTAATTGTGTGCCTTAGATCATGAACTGTAAATCCTGCGATGTACATCAATGACGACCGCCTTCTTTTATATCTTAAGGAGACAATTGATATTTTCTGTGTTTCTTATGTGAGCCAATTAGCTGTTTGAGACGAAGTGTTTTGGCGTTGTACCTGTTTGTCTCCTCTGGCCTTTCGTCGCAACGCTGGTAAGCTATGCTACTTGCAAGACGGCAAGAAGGGAATAGAACGTAAGCTTCAATTCTCTTCATCAATAAAGGCTTTCAGTTAGGAGGCCTTCTATATGTCATGTGGCACCCACTCGTAGGGCCACACAACAGCGGTGCACCTAACGTTCTCGTTTTGAACCTTAAAGAGTCGAAACAGTAAAAATTGCCAGAATGGAGTGTGGACACGCCATGATGCCCGTCAACGTGATCCCCATAGCCTCGGATTAAATGGCTTTGCTGCATTATGCGTGTTCTGGAAGGAACAAAGGCTAGAAAAATAACCCTGAGGGGGGCGGTGAAGACCTGTTAGCACTTCTCCATCTTTCCCGATGCTTATGCAGCCTAGTCAAATTCCTTGCTTGGAATTAGCTGGCGAGGTCGACTAAAGAAGGTTAGCTGTTTTTGAGATAATGATCAGATTCCATATCAGAAGGCCGGGCTTGCACTTTGAAGAGGCCACTCAAGCCTCGTCATCGGTAGGAAGCACAAAGTAGAAGACAGACAGATCGGTGTCCACTCTCCACGATACGTGTTGCCTTTGAAGATGGAAGTTGAATCTTTGATGGGGATTTTTTGCTTTAAATAAATTTGTCTTAAACTGGTTTCCGAAAGGCGTAATTGAAAAGTCAGAGTAAAACCTTACCAGGAGTATAGTAGCAATAGGTTAATTTCATCTGGGAACCATCCTTTACCGGGCCAAATGGAGTTTCTCCCTGAATGGTTGTATGATATCTTCTATCTTTTTTATCGAAATTGACGCTCTCCTCCTTCAATGTTGCTCCTTTGACGATCTGACACCTTGCGCCGTTGAGAGAGTACAAATAGAAAGGTTTCTCAAGTGGCAATGTCATGGAATGGCTCGTGTCACCTAGTAAATAGATGAAAGAGACTTTGTTTTATTACTTTTTCAAATATTAAACTGAGTTAACGCTTCTAATTCTGAAGGGAATTAAACCTGCCTTACCTTTTGAGCTACAGCAATAGCTTATCGTTACGTTTTTCAATGGTTTTCCATTCACAGTTGCGTCTTGAAACTTGGAACGCATTGGAAGCCAGCTAACCGACCTGCAAATATATTAAGAAATATGAGTGAATTAAAAATTGTTTACTAGACAGTGCCTCTCAATAAGGGATACTCTTTCCTATTAAAAGTTAATGTCAATGCTGTTAGTAACTAGATTATTATTACATATTTTTGATATTCTCAGATGCACACCTCACCGAATAACTACAAGAGAGGATAAAGGGGACAGAGAAGGCATCCCCCATACACACCCTATTCCATAGGTAATTCGTCTTGAGTTATTTTTAAGACCACAGATCCCAAGGGGGATTAGACAACAGCCAATCACATAGCGCGAATGTGTTCCGCGGGGATGACCCACGCTCAGAGCCACGCGTCTTTCACGAACTGACGCCGAACAAAATGGGGGAAGACGCAGAGAGCGATATTGCTATTCGTTTTGTCAATGAAAACGACTACAGAGAGATTTCTGCCAAAGCTGTGTCAGCGAAACGGAAATTAAAAAAGAATCGCCCTTCCTGCCTTGTTTCTAAGCATTGTTACAACTTTGATTCGAGCGAAGCTGAGAGTTCTAGCAAAGACTGAGGTGAAAAAGTCAGTGCAAGCGAGGAGGAAGCTGTAACCGAAACGGAGAGTGCCAATGAAATACAAGAAAACGTAGAAAGCCCCTATTCAGATGATAGTTCAGCAGATGAAACAAAGAGGAGGAAAAGTGCAGGGAAGCCTAAACCTGCGCCTTCGAGTTCGACCGTCACCAAATCAAGCAAAAAGGCGCCGAAGAAATCAAATAAACGAAACGAGAGTCTTTCGGAAGAAGAGATGGAGCGATTCCCTTTTCCCAGGTGAGCGTCGACTCGTTTCGCTTCAATATTCAGGAATGCTCTCGATCTCTTTACGCTTTCATTGCCTTTCGCCCGACATGTTTTGCACGGCGTTTAGTCATGCGAAACCTCCACGAAACATCCACGCAACGCGCGAGGTAACTTTATCCCGATTCTAAAAATAACTCGAGACGAATTACCTATGGAATAGGGTGTGTATGGGGATGCCTTCTCTGTCTCCTTTATCCTCTCTTGATAACTATTAATATGTAACCACGATATTGTGGAGAATTAAAATGTCAGCAGTCAGCAACAAGGTTTACTTACCCACCGGATAGTCCATAAGGACAGGCATCGTGCTTTAAAATGCAATATTTCCCTTCTGGCCAGTTATAAGATACATCTTTGCTTGTCTTAATACAGAAATCTTGTTCAATGCCTTTGGAAAAAAATTGTCCAAGTTTATGTTTAAAAAGTTTCACCTGTAAACAAGAAAATTGTTTCCTGTCCCTCTATCGAAAGTTGCAGCAAGGAAAAAGCCGTGCCGTTTTATTTTTATTTTTTAATTATTCATTCCACTATTATAATTTATCTATTTTGTTTTGATTTTCCTGGCCTGTGCATCCTTATTTAAGGAAGGGCTGGGTATTTACTTGACATGAAACTACAGTGGAACCTCAATACAACGAAGGCCCAAGGAACTGGCAAATTTTTTTCGCCATGTGGGAACTGGGAATAAGAATCGCGACGACTTTCATTGTATGCAAATGAGACTCGTGATGCGCAAGTGGATTATGTTCCGCGATGATTGAGGTGATGCGCGTAGTTGATCACGATCTAGTATGGCGTTTTGGCCATGATGTAATTTTCCCCGAAGCACCCTTGATTTTCGTGTATTCCGTACGCGCGTGGTCGGACGTGAAAATATTATAGCGGAGGAAATTCTGTTTCGTACTTGACGTATTGAGGCATTACACGAGTCTCAAAATATTTTTAGAGCGTTCTTCTTATGGATAGTTTTTAAACTATTAAAAAAGATGGTTTAGTGGGTTTAATGGTCGATTAGAATTAATTATATACCTTCCTTGCTGATCCAGCCAGCCAAATGAAGGGAATCGTATATCTTACGGTCTATGAGGTTGCCGCTGTCGACATCGCGAAATCGTCGGCCATCAAACCAGTTATTCGGACATCCAGCCTTAGGCATAGGAAGGCCATATTGGCCGGTAGGCCAAAGGCCAGCTTTTCCTGTTGGTATAAAAAAAAATTCATTTATAATTAGTAGCGACAGATAGTTTTATTCATGGATACTTACAAAACGTTTTTAAAGCAACTTATTCCATGCACAGTCTATTTTTGTCGTCGTATCACAATCTTAACATTGCGATATTTAGCAAGGATTATTTATGCAAGTAATCAATCTGGAGGGGGCCCTGATACCGCATTACAGCTCCTTTTCCCGCGAAAATCCCGAATTCCTCTCTTGTTACCAGAAACAATAACATAAAGAAAATCTAGCAAGGCACACTTAACGCGCTGCTGGGTGATTCGTATTTGCCGCTCAAACGTACGCTCCCCCGAATTCCCAACATTCAGGTAAAAAAAATCCCGCATCCCGCGCTTAAGTTTTGGCGAATCCCGCTTCCCAGGTATCTGTAAAGTCCCTTTATCAGTTAAGATATGATATAGCTCGCGTTTTCCCGAATCCCGCACCGTATTTTGGTCAAATCCCGAATCCCGAAAATACCCTTCCAGACCTGAGTTCCGATCAAAAGAACAGCTTTTACCTGGGGAGTCACACGTTGAAATTGCGTAACAGACATAAGATTGACTAAAATGCATGTCTGTTGATTTAAACATGATTTTTTATTTATTTTCCCTATTAAGGGAAAGTCTGGCATCTGAACAAGAAATTGTTGAAACTCTTTGGCATACGAAAATTTACTTTTAATAGTCTTATAGCCTCTTATATGCATCCAAGCACGGCCCTCGGGGGAGACTCCGATGTAAAAGTGACGGGCATGCTCGTCAGCAAATTCGAAATAAACCTCTTAGGAAGACCAATGTGGGTGTGGCTCAAGCTTAAACTGAACCCTAAGGGAGATTTCTGTGTGGTCACTGTCAGGGCATTTTTGGTAAATTTCTTTATGCAAAGCACTAAGCGATACCTGAATGGGCAAATGTAGTGACTTTCAATCCCAAACACCCTAAGTGAGACCAAAAGCTGCAATTTACACCCCAAAGCGAGTCGACGAGCATCCCCGTTACGTTTATATGGGAGTTTCCCGCCCCCTCGCTTGGGGCACGACCCAATATTCACTGAAATCAGTACAAATTCTCGAGACTGATCACCATACATTTCCTTAAACAAATCGTTGAGATCAAAGTATTTTCCCTTTAGTGATCACTTTATTCATTCTTGTCTCGTTTTCTCTTGATTAAGCATTGTTATCGTGAGGAGAAAATTGTTGTCGATCGCTCTTTAGGGGTTAAGCACCATGAAAAAGATTGAATTTACCGTAATAAATCAGATGAAATGTAAAGGTACAGACGATTGCTATAAACATTTCTTATTCTATCCCTAGTACCAGTGGAAACGATTGCTTCCATAAAATATTTTCAAGTCTCTAAGATTCGCATTCTTACCTATAAGAAAAACGTTTGGAATATTTCAAAAAGCAGCTGCAGGTAGCCAAAGGGAACGGTCATATGATTTATTTGGCTGCTGTCATTGAAAACATGAAAATCGTTACGGGTAAATGACCAGTTTCAGTGTGATTCTAGCATTACAAATAACGGAGCGATTTTGCATACCTGCGAAACATAACAAAGAAACATTTGTCTACACTTAAGCTCGTGTTTTCACTCAAAGCATTTAAGTATCGTAGTCGAAGAGTCTACTCTGAAGTACAACAGAAAAGTCTGATTTTCTGTTTTAACAAACGCACCGGATTCATTCACTCATATTCAAACTGTCCATTTATTATAATGATAATTATAGCTATCACTGATGATCGATATTTTTGTCCATTACAGTAACCTCTCTTTCTCTAAGAGAATTGGGCAAGAAACACCATGAAGAGATTATTAAACATACGAGCTACTGCGCATAACACATTGAATAATTATCTGTAAACCCAGGAAAATGGTGTAGGTCCTTAATTTAGTCAAAAAAGCGTTAACTTGGAAGACTAGTGAATTATTCGCGCCGCTGAAAATCAGAAGAAATTTACCTTTTGCAGAGTGACACCAGAAGACCACCAGTGTTAAAATCAACGATAACCAAAACATGGCAAGATTTGTTGTGTCCCCAAATCTTGACTTTACTCGACGCTTTTGATCGCCTTTAAACTCTTCATTTTCCTGTTTAACACATCAATAATCAGGCTTTTGTTTCACAATCGACAAAAAGAAAGTTGAGATGTATATCAATAAGATAAATGTATAGGGATCGATATCCAAATTGGAAACTGAGATTCTATTTTTTAAGTGACCGAGTTTCACAAGATGTACCTGCCGATTAGGTAATGTCTCGTTATACATAAATCTCGCAGGATAAAAAAAACGCAGGATTTCGTTCATTACTGTTTCATTTCCTCTCTCGATCCATAATCGTTTATAAACAAAATTATCGAACGCAAAATGCGTTTGAAGATCTTTTTTCTCAAACCCTCTACGTCAAAAGTATTAGTCGAAACTCGCTGCATTCTGTCGAGTTATCATAAGATTTATGAAGCAGGTAAACATATTTGGAAAGCCTCACTAACTGAAGACCTATGAGACCGGATTTCAAGTCATTAATTGAAATAAAAGTGGAACTTAGATGAGCAGAAAAGAGCAGATTAGCCTATGCAATTGGACTCTTTCAAAACAATGAAGGCTAAACAAAAGCCTTACCTTAAAGTGTAAATATACTCTTAATCCAAAGTATGAGTAGTTACTCACAAATCTTGCAGCACAACATGTACACAGAATACCTTCTGTTTAAAATTAGTTTGGCCAGATTACAATATCTTTTCTCTCCATGTAGCCGATGTTTTTTGAGGCGAGAGCATTATCTCACTTGTGTCTTTTTCGCGACTCACTGATTCGATGCGAACACCAGTTTTCTATTGTTCTCTGCAAGTGGCCTCTGCCAACAGTCTTGTAGTTGCAGGAATCATTATGATTGAAAAAACACAAACTACAGTAATGCACTGAAAAACTACGCTCCCTTTAATCAACTCTAAATTATTGGGACACAAAATGCGGGATATATAGTCTACCTAAGCCACACACTCATAGATCACCGTTCGTCTGCCTACCTTAAGGGATCTAGACGAAATCAAGTGGGTAAAGTTTTGTCAGAATCAGTCGAACACTGTTGTGTCACAACATGGGGTCACCATAACGTTTTCTACTTTGAGAGGAGTTCACTACGTAATCTACTTCCAATTCAGTGCTACATTTGTAGGTTTTGCAGGGGAGAAGACGGTAAGCGATCCTTTGAACTCCAGTCTAGAGCAAGTTGGTGATTAATCTCGGAGTACTCGATCTCGCCGAGGGAGATCTGTGTATGAGATTAGCTTCGCGTTACTTTCACAGCTAGTCCTAAGAAAAACCAGTCACGTTAATTTCCCGCGCTTTCCACCTGCTACATTCAAAGAGAGTAAAATGGTCAATTTCCAAGACAAAAATGTCGTTTGGACAGCAGTGGAGGATCCTGGGGAGGGGCCCGGGGGCCTGCCTCCCCCCTCGCCCTTATTTTAAGACCAAACTGAGGCCCGAGGGGCTAGAAAAAATTTTTTTTGAGAACGCCCCCCCCCCCCCCCCCCCCCCCCCCGCTCCTTTTACACCCCCCATATAAATTCACCTATAAATCCCCATTTCCTTATAACACAATTTGAGAGGCGGACACACCAATCAACACACGATCAAAGTCACGTGGCACAAGACAACCACAAAAAACAATATGAACTACTAACCAACATAACCCCCCCCCCCCCCCCCCCCTTCCCGATCATCATTAGAACGCCTATGATAAGTGCAATTTCAAACTCCATTTCAGTTACAGAACATTTTAGGAGGAGCCACCCACAATGTAAGCACAGTTACTGGCAGGGCACAGAGAAAACGACGCAAAATTAATGTAATCTGTTACAGAAGAAACTAGGGTAGCGCCACAACCAAAGCACTTGCGCGTGTAGTAGAGTGCGGATGGAACCTATGAGTATAGAGATAATATACACAAAAACATCTGCCAAGGATATGATGATTTAACTACTGATCCGGTCTCTTCTTGGCGTAGCACCTTACTTTCGAGTGAGTTCACCATGGCGTTTGTGTTATAAAAAGCTGCTATTAATCCTAAATCAAAAATGAAAGCCGGCATAAGACTTATGTTTGTAACAGAAGTCCCAGGCGTGCACGTTCGAGTACGTTACATGAAGTATTTAACAACTGAACCCAAGATGACATTGATTTCATCCGGCTAAATATTGTTTGAAAAGCAGATCATTGACGGAAACTCTTCGATAATCCTAAAATTTGTTAGCTTTCTGGTCTGTAGCGTATGAATCAGGGTGAAGATTTTGAGGTTTTTTGTCCTTTTTTTTTTTTTCACTACACCCGAACTCTAGCATGCGAGTAATCTGTTGGGTAACCCGAAACCCGAATGGTTGCTCTCAGACCAAACGATTTTCAAAGTCACGAGATCTAGTGGAAGCCTGGGCGTACGCCACCAAAAAAAGCTTAATCTTAGCCCTAGAAAACAAAGTTTTCTTTTACTATTAATAATCTGACAAGTCTCTTTCAAAAAATGAAAGCTGGTCTATAATCCGCGCCCGCTACAATAAACAGTGGTATCGTTCTGTTAAGTTTATTATTCTGCTAACAATTCACCACCAACTCCCACCTGTAAAAGAATATGGCGTTTACAGAAAAGTGACAACCGAGCCAACCATGAAAATGATCTGTGATTAACTTCCCTTGACGTTGTCCTTCCCTTAGAAATATCGAAATCGCTCTGTTGTCCAATAATTCGTTGCCCTCGGCAAGTGGTTAAAAGGAAACAAGAGAGCGGGAAACCTTTGACGTCATCGGAGTGAACCTGTCTGTTGTTCGATTTAGCGCGGGTCATTATCTAACTGAAAGGGGATCGTGTTAATTTATTGATAGAAAGAGGTTGTAAAAAGAAACATGGCGGGCGCCTAAGCCCTAAAAGGTAAGAGAAGAAGGAAGTTCTTTCAAAGTCTATTAAGTGGTTTGCATCACACTATCGATTTAGCAAAAATCTGTCGGATTTATGATGCTGTTGATAAACGTTTAGGCTGGGACAGTTTACGTTCCATCAACGGTGATAGTTTTCACAAAATAATGCTTTGTTTGAATTTGCAAATTTCACCGCTATTTCATCTAATTTTGGTCGGTAAAGAAATCGTATTCTTTAGAATTGTAATACTTGACCTAAGCCAAAACTTATGAGATATATACGAATCTGTATTTGAAAAAATCTGAGTCTGCAACGGATTTATAGCCCGAGTAAAATCAGCTGTGTATATGGCAAAACGGCGATCACCCAATAATTTATATCTTAACTAAAATTAAGGTTTTTAAATAGCGATGTTCTCCGTGTTTATGACACTTATTTAAGCTGTGAAATAGCTGATTTTTCAGACTAAAGCTTTGCTTTAGCGTAGTTCGAAAGCAACGTGAGTTCATTCAAAATTGGGAACCGTCAAGTTTTTGTTCAGGTGAGTGATTACCACACCAAAACAGAAACTGTCAGAGAAAAAGAGCAACACGTTAAGGAAATTGTTCCTCATCAGTTTAAGCTACTCGAAATAAATACATCACAGACTAATTTACAACAGTCGGCATTTGACAGTTGCTATGTACGTGTCTTTTCTTCTCAAAGTCAGCTGCAACTACAGCTAGAGTGTTGATAAGTCCACTTGCGTGCTACAACTATTGTTTATAGCAGATATAAGGTAATTGTTTGCCGTTTCGCCAGAGGGTTTTCACCTGCACGCATGTTAAACACTCCCGTTTATCTGTTTAAATGCCTTGTTAAATGGCTTTCCGGTGTTTCTAATTGTTAGGACCCCCTAACCAGGAAACATCGTTACAGAAAAAAAATTGCTCCTTATGTTCTCTGTTTGGTTTCACTGAAGACAGCTGTAGCGGGAAAAGGTTTACGGCTTCCGAGTTGTAGCAATTTTTTTCCCTATTCATATTTTTGTTCCCATTCGTTTCTCTCCCAAAAACACGTTAACGCCTTTGCTGGAGCTTTTAGATTGCGGCTTTAAGTTGTCGCAGTAGAGAATCTTTTGCTGTCAGTGTATTTACAAATTTGTCCTCGCAGTACCGTAGTACTCTCGTTTGAAAATTCGTCAGACAGGTTTTTTAGTTTTGTTAGGAACATTTCGACTATTTCTTGATTTTTTTTAATCACAAACAGACAGTTTCGATTCCTGATATATTCGAAATTTTTGTAATGTTTTATTGTCAATACGGATACGTAGTCGGGAATTTGATGCTAAAACGCCCGCTGCAGTTTGGCTGCCATTTCCAGTGTCTATGCATCTTCTTCTATGTTCCTTTCGCAGGCGCTAATATTTCTTATGCCCCTGCATGTACCCAGGCCATCGACAAAAGGGGCCCTCCTGAAGTGAGCGAATTGGTGGTGAACCACGCTGACTCGCTGCAACTGCATATCAGAGGCGTTTTGTTAACCAGAAGATTCCATTTCACTCTGGTATTGCCGGAGATCAAAATCGTAGTAAATAAAATAGCAGCTGTTTGGCACTTTCTCGATTTCACCGACGAATTCACGACGATACTTTCGGTGCCCCAGCTCCAAATGCGGAGGTGGAAATGAAGGGCAAAATAGATCAGAATGCCATTCGGCTTGACTGCTTGATTAAAGAGCGGTTTTGTTTAGTTGATGAGGTTAAGGTGTTTAAACAAGAGGGCCGAAATAATGCTCTTGCCCTTCAAAAGTTTCATAACTCCTTCCAGGCAAAAAGTGAAGGAGTGAGGCAGGGTTACGTTCAAAGTGACCGAGCGTGTCGGACTTCGATCGTCACATTGACCCCACTCTGGTACTTTTTAAACATGACAATAATCAAATATGGCATATCGAAGATGGCGATTAACTGAAATCATATGAAGTCATCGATTTAAATGAAATACCTTCTAGTTAACCCAGAGCACCCTTTACCATATATACTTGCGACTGGAAATCATCCCCTCCTGACCTGAAAGGCGGGTCTAGATGAGGCTCTGGGTAGCTATTAGAATTAATTTCAGTATGATCAATGACTAAATCAGCAATAGTGTTATTTATCCATTCCTCGTTTAGAAAAGATGAATTCGCAAAGACAACTAATTTTCGCGATATTTTTTCTTTTGCTGTCCCAAAACAGCATAGCTCTATAGCAAATCAAGAGCAATTAAATAGAAAACATCCTTTTTTTTTTCAGCTCAAATGTAGCAGAGATGAATATCATCCCAGTGATCCCTGAAAGATGACTTTTGCTCTCAAATTCGTATTTTTGCTGCTACTAGAACTATGCGCTTTTGTGGAATATGACCTAGGTAAGTTTCGGACGTTTACAAATCATTTCAGAACAAGGCTTGCTGTTTCATAAATTTTACTTTAACTGGGGCGACAGATTCATGCTTTTCCGGCGTTATTCTGGTGCGGCATCATATACGGATTCACGGCCATCACCTACTTGACGTCCCCCACCTCCATGTAAATAGTCTCACGGTCATCACTGAAATAGCAGAAGCTGGGCTCGTTTCCTCTGCCTTCTGATTTATAATACTTAATTTAGTAGCTACTATTCATAGTAGACAGCTAGACGAGAGTGTAAAATAGGGTCCCCAACCTTGACTTATTCTTCTCTGCTGATTCTAGCATAGACAGTTTATCGCGATCCAAATTTTTTTTCATGCAAACTGGCAGTAACACGACAGTATGACGCGAGCACGGGGGAGTGGTCACTGGCTTCCTCTCCCACCCCCTCAAGCTCTACTTTAACTGGCGCATATCAACCAAAAAAACAAATCCAAACAAGAGAAATTCATATAGAGGGTTGTCCCGAGAACAATCTGAGGGCGAGAGTCAAATGCGTGGTAGGTAAATTGCTAACTCAGTTCAACACGAAGTCTCTCCGTAGCTCAGGTGGTAGAAGGCCTTATCTCTGACATGAGATTTTGGGTTCGAATCCCGGTTCGTGAAGTTTTTCTCACGTCTTTTCCTTATTTTTTAGCGCCAATTTTTTACATTAAAAGAATACCGGATACAGAGGTTCGGATTATCGGCACAGTTGCAAGTCTACGTCAAGAGAGAAGCCCAGAATCTACAAATGCTCCACCGGTCAGCGACTTTGTCATAAGTTCAGAAACAGCTATCAAATCTGATAGAACTGACTCGGAAAGGAATGTCGAGGAAAGCAAAAGAGATGTGAGTCTTGAGGAACTCTTGAGTGATGGTAGCAAAGAAGGAAATAAAAACAAAAAGAGCGTAGAAGGGGAAAATCACTTAAAGACTAGAATCAAGTCACAAAAAAAATCGTTTTCCTCGACTGCAACAGGTAAGTAAGTCATTGTTAGACTAGTTTTGTCCGTGGCAACAGTGAATTCTTTCTCAATAGAAAAAACATCATCGAGTACAAATGAGTAAACATCTACAAGGTATAAGATATCAAAAAGGAAACCTAAACGTCATTAAAAGGCAAAAAATATCATTTTTAGGTCTGTAGATTTTACTGACTGGTTTGTGAAATTTAAAAGATAGTCAAAATTCGCGCCAAAACCGTTCTAAAAATAAAGTGGTCCGTGAAAACGCCGTAACACGAGCGCATGGAAGTTGTTTGCACCGGGATTTGGGCTACTGGCAATGATTAATGGACACATATAATCCACTAAATGAGAGATCAGGTGAGTGACCGTTATCGGATGTACAACCTTCGATTTAGTTAATTATCTATGGCAAATCTGGGAAAAATAAACAGAGAAGAGATAAACAAAACTAAAGCCTGCCGCGGTCATTTGATTTGAAATTTATTTCAATGACTAAGACTTGTGGGAGGAAACTATGATTGATAGACATTGCACAACTGGGCGTGATTATGCTTTTCATCATAAGAAGAGAGACTGACAAGGAAAGTAGGGGTGGCACATGTGGTGAGAGTACTCGCCTCCCACCTGTGTGGCTCGGCTTTAAATCCCGGTGTCAACGCCATAAGCGGGTTGAGTTTGCTGTTGGTTTTCTTCTTTGTTCCGAGAGGTTTTTCTCCGAGTAGTCCGGATTTTCCCTCTCCTCAGAAACTAGCATTTCCACCTGATTTCACTTCGACCAGGAATGGTAGACAAAGAACCACTATGTGAATGTACTGCCTTCAAATCGTTATTTATTTATTTATTTATTTCAGTTATAACAGGGTCTAAATGGCCATCTGGTACCTATGGCCTTCCAAAGCCAGTGAACGGTTGTCCAGCCGCCGATGGGTTCGAGTGGAAGACTGGCTACAGATTTCATGATACTGAGGATGACGGGACGGAAAATCAGCATTCAGACAGCTTTCATTTGGCGGGTGAATTCAGCGATGAAGGGATCAGGCATGAATTCTGCATAAAGAGTGAAGAGGATGGAGCGGAAAGGTAAGGGAACCGCTGATGTATTATTTAACGGAGGTTTTGTCCATACTGTTTATTTGTAACTTGCAATTACTTCGCTAAGAAAATTAACAATGGAGGAGAAATATCTTCTTAATGGCAAAATATAGTCAGCGCATCGAATTCCATATAAAAAATATGTCTTCCAAGCGACAAAGTCAACGAAGATAGACTGAAATTTGCAATCCGTTTTATATTTGCTGTGAAAGTTATTTCGCTATTTTAAGAATTTTTTTTAGTTGAATTTGGAAAATTTCTTGACTCAGCGCCTTTAAGATAAGGATAAAATGAGGCTGGCCTTCTCAAGTGAAGGAATCAGAGTGGGATTCCGATGAGAAGTCGTCGCTTGTCAGTCGAAAGCTAACAGATCGCAACGGTCGTCCTCGTTCCGCGTTCGGCCTCGATTTCTGACTAATGAACAATTATTCCTCAAGCCCGAATGGGCTCTAAGTCAATAGCCTATGAGGCCGAAGGCCGAATGGGCTATTGACTCAGAGGCCATGAGGGCGAGAGGAATAATTGTTTTAGTAAAAATCAACTAGTTAGTCAAAAATCAGGAGAAAAAACAACTTTGGCTAGCAAAACGCGATTTTGGCTTTTAAAGTTGGCGCTTTTCGCTACTAGTGGTCCACTTCTCGCTGATTGGCGGAAATCTGACAGCTCAGTCGACGGAGAGCCACAGGGGAATTGGAGGTGGAATTCAAATTCCAGAGACGTAGTTGTATAAGTTCTTATTCCTTTTCCCGCCCCGCCGCCAGAGAGCCCCGTAGAGCTTGCTCGCAGGCTACCCCTAAGCGGGCTACCTCATCTACCTGGGGTCCCCCACCTTCATGTAAATAGTCCCTTAGTTGACTTTCTGTTAGAGGGACACCCCTCTAAGACGGACACCGGTCCTAAAGGCGTCCGTCTTAGAGAGAGTCGACTTGATATCTGACCGAGGACAATAAGAGCGACCATTTTTAGAGACAAACTAACATCTAACAAGAGAGAATAAAGGAGACAGAGAAGGCATCCCCCATACACACCCTATTCCAAAGGTAATTCGTCTCGAGTTATTTTTAACACCACAGATCCCAAGGGGAATTAAACAACAGCCAATCGTATAGCGCGAATGTTTTCCACGTGGATGACCCACGCTCAGAGCCACGCGTCCTTCACGAATTGACGCAGAAAAAAATGGCGGAAGACGCAGAGAGCTATAGCTATTTGTTTTGTCGACGAAAACGACTACAGAGAGATTTCTGCTAAATCTGTGTCAGCGAAACGGAAATTGAAAAAGAATCGACCTTCCACTCTTGTATAGAGCTAACAGTACAGCAGGGAAATGCTTAACACGCTGAATATTCTCTCAGGATCATTTATAATTTACAGTTTGAAGAGAACAATTTGTGGTTTGATATTTATTCTTTTATTAGTCTTTTATTATTCAACAAAAATAACTCTTAGCGTCCTACTTGCTTTATTGTACAAACGACTGGTTTCAATAGACCGGCGAAATCTGAGGTTTCGACAACTTCGAGTTAAACTGATTTCACGGGTTGTCAAAGAGTCCAGCGATTCCCTTTTCCTGGTGAGCGCCGACTCACTTCGCTTCAATATTCAGGAATGCTCTCGATCTCTTTACGCTTTCATTGCCTTTCGCCCGACATGTTTTGCACGGCGTTTAGTCGTGCGAAACCTCCACGAAACATCCACGCAGCGCGCGAGGTAACTTTATCCCGATTCTAAAAATAACTCGAGACGAATTACCTATGGAATAGGGTGTGTATGGGGGATGCCTTCTCTGTCCCCTTTATCCTCTCTTGCATCTAACTAATACACTTTTGTATGTAACCTTTCACAGATGGCCAGATGGCAAGTACTGTATCTACAAGAAAGGTCACAGTTGTCCCTCGGGACTTGAAGAGGGATTCGTCATTTGGGATGACGAGAATAAAGACAATAAAAACTCCAAAGTTGGCGACCTACCCGAAGGTCTTTATAACGAAGACACCAAAATATTCTTTTGTTGCAGTACCTCTGGATCTGCTAACAAGGAGATTGTTTTACCGAACAAGTCTCCATTCTTACTGTTTGCCTACGAGTCCATACTTTGTCAAAAGGCAAGTAACTGAAAGCAAGCTACCACGTCGTTTTCTAGCCTGAGAGCAAGCTTTCCCGGGCGCTCTGCCGGCGGGGCGGGAAAAGAAAGGAGAGCTTGCAACTACGTTTCCGGAATTTGAATTCCACCTCCAATTACCCTGTGGCTCTCCGTCGACTGTGCTGTCAGATTTCCGCCAATCAGCGCGAAGCGGAAACGAGCGCGAATGTAAACAAACATCGAAAATCAAGTGCCAAATGTAATGACGTCATTACTAATGTCATCTCCGCCAATCAGCATCTCGCATCGACTTTCGCGATGCAGATATTCAAATTCCGAAGACGTAGTTGCAAGTTCTCCTTCTTTTTCCCGCCGCCAGAGCGACCCGGAGAGCTTGCTCGCAGGCTAGTCGTTTTTCAATTCTTATTCGCCACTTTAGAAACAGAAGGAAACTGGAACGAGTTAACGTAAAGATTTCTGGGACTATTACTAGAGACAGGGAAAAAAAATTGGCCAGTAGCTGACCTGCACGTCCCGGAAGCAATTACGGGACGCATTTCAGCTCCAGTGCCCTCATCGTTTCTATAGAGGCGAATAACGGCGTTAAGTTTAGAAAAATTTTATGACAAAAAAGGGAAATTTATCGTGACTGTTCATGTCCTTTACAGCTATCTGCTGACGCTTGCAGGTTAACAATATTACGGCTCGTTCATCTTTCTTTTTTTTTTTTACTACAGGCGAAATTTGGTATTGTAATTATTTCAGTTATTTCAGTTGGAGTGAAAGGTGGAAAAAAGTTACAGACACAATCTTTTACATTCAAATTTGGACTAGTCTGGGATAAATGTAACGATCCTCTGAACAACAGTGATCTAAGTGTATGGACATCGATTTGAAGTTAAGAGAGGGTCGATCGTGCAAAGTTAAATTTAAATGTGACCATAAAAAAAAAACTAAAAAACACCCCTGCTCCCGGGGGGTCTCGAACCCCCGACCTTCGCATCACATCAGCCGCCAATACTGCTTATAAGTACGACGCTCTAACCGATTGAGCTACGGGAGCTGGGTGTGCAGGAAGCCTTGATGCATTGGTTTTATACGAACCTAGTAAATGGTAAATGGCCTTGCTCCCCGCAAGTCTCTCCGTAGCGTGTTGGATATGGCCCCGCCCCACCCCATGTTTAGGAGGTCATAGGTTCGAATTTTGTGGGGGACTCAGAACGTGCTGCATTTTACTGCGCTCCCGTCCATTGATTGTTATTTTTCTGTAATGAGAATTATGCCGCCCTTCTATCTGCTTAGGCTATTTCTATGTGACTGTTTACGGGGACGAATTTTTACCAAGTTTCCCTCACAACCTACTACAGTGGAACCTCGATATAACGAAGGCTCAAGGGACTGGCAAAATCTGTTCGCCATAAATAGGTTCCGTTATATCGAGGTTCTTTTTCATATATTTGACTATAATTACTGGGGTTTAAAAAAATCGTTCGTAATACCAAGGCTTCGCTATATAGAGGTTCCTTATATCGGGGTTCCACTGTAATAGTCAGTAAAAGGAAAACAATCCCATGATGCAATTCGAAACGACATCGGACCCAGTCTCACGCGAAAGAATAGAAAAAATGGCCAATCTCCTTGGTATATTACAATCCATATCACCATACAACCGTTCTCTCCCGCACCGTTGGGTTTTTTGGAAATAATTTGGTATACAGCAGTATGAGCTACTACAAGAGAGGATAAAGCTCTTTGTCGTCTCTTGGCTACTAAAATTGATGACTATGGACGCCATCGAGGATCTTGCACAACGCCATCCTTGTATGTCGTTATCCTCTTCATTTATTTTAGGCAACACCCTCAAATCACTAGCACTATCCCTCGGTCAGTAAGATTTTGTTAAGGTAACGGAACAATTATCGACTAAATATACTGAATAAACAAAAAATCCAAGATCACGCATACCATCAAGAGCTGCAAGCCAGTCTCTTAAGATTCAGTCTTCCTGAGAGGCGAAAAAAAGATCGAGTTTCGATCAGTTTTATAGCCTAACACTAATTATTTATTTTTACATGTGTTCTTTAATAGGTAAAAGGGATGAACGTGGTCACAGAATTCGTCAAATTTGATGACGAAGACCGCGGCAACATAGATTACGAAGGAGGTGAATACCCTTACGGTATTCACCGAGCAGAGAAAGACCACATGTTCTTTCTCTGTTACTACACGCCACAAAACCAAGATAACATTGTTGTTCCAGGTGAGGGAAATAACAAACGATCCAAATTCAGTTCTTGTGGTATTTTAATACTGTGTTTGTTGTGTCAAGCCCCCGTCGGTCTTCCCAAAACAAGCTCACAAACTTGATACAAAGCCACCTCCGTAACTGGCGTCTCACCTGACGCTGGGAAACCTTCTCTTGGAGGTGGGGGGGGGGAGCGGGCGTTAAGTCCGGTTCTCATATGCCGCGGAGCTACCTGCGATATAACTCCGACACGTCTGCCGGTGCTGTCTGCAATACCGTTCCGATATGAGAACATAAGTCGCCGGCAACAGAAGCCATCGCAGGTCTTGACCGCCGTCATGCCTGCGAAGATGACACGAGTTCGACTTCGCAGGCATGACGGCGCTCAAGACCTGCGATGTTTCTTGCGGCCGGCGGCGTTATCTTCTCATATGTCGGAGTAGTATCGCAGGCAGTATCGGCGGCTATGTCACAGGCACTTTAATTTGGCGGCATATGAGAACCAGCCTTTACTTGGGTTAAAATTGCTGCGAACAGGTATGTGCCGCTGGCCTCTCAGAACCCCTACCCCATAATAATCTATTTTGTGGCCAAATATAGACCCCATCTTAGTCACTTTTGGGAAAATTGATTTTCGCGATCCCAACTTCGTAGTAACTTTCTGTTTATGCATCTACCTAATAAAGCCTTTTAACTAGATCATCCTGAAATTAATTGACACATTGGTTAAAAGGAAAAATTTAAGTTTCTGGGAAACCGCCCATCTACCCCTCCACTAACCCAACATTTTTCCCCAAGTGAGACGCAAATGTTAACGTCGAGTTAGGGGAGGGGTAGGTAGGCAGTTTCCCAGAAACCTAAATTACCTACCTGAATTTTCTGATCCCCCAAATCCTGAAAAAGTGCGATCCCATTCTAGTAACTCTAATGAAAATGCAAACCCATTATGGTCAATCCAGCAGGAGTCATTTAAATGCGACCCCATCTAGCAGCACATCCCCATTAGCCTGTTACTGGGAAGTACTCACCCGGAAACCTACTGCGGTTAGTTGTAGATTCGTTATTACATTTGGCACAGATGAAGTGAACCAGACTGGCATAATGAGCACAAGACAATCTATGTTTTTATTGCCTATTTCCAAGAGCCATAATATTTCATAATTCTGTCTAGTTCAGCATCTGATTGAAGGATGGTCTCCTGGGCCTAGTTGTTGGAAGGCCGATTAGCGCTAACCAAGGGTTAAATTTTAACAGGGTTTCTTTTTCTTTTGTAGAAAAGAATTTTCCAGGATTATTTTCTGTGTTTTTTTAGGCCATTTAATCATCAAACTGTAGACAAAAAGAATAATTAAACTGATTTTGCTTTTCAAGCTTTGATATCTGAATCTAAATTTCGCACTAACCCTGGGTTATCTTAAACCTGCTTTGAACAACCAGATTTGATTACTGGCCAATCGTTCGGCTGGTGTTAAACTTGATATGAATATGTGTCTCAATACCTTGCTTTATATGCTTTTTTATATTTTTTCAGCTGACCAAACGAAGAATTCTTCCAAGAAAAATGGATTCCATAAACACAAAGCAAAGCTCCAGGAGAAACAGGTCGATAAACTGGAGGAATTAGAGAAACTGCGGAATTCTGAAAAAATGATGGATGAGTTCCTCGCTAGCACCGCTCCGCAAAATAAAGAAACAAATAAAAACGAGAGAACAAAGACCATCATTAAAACAATCAGGGTATGTCAGTTATAAATCACAGTAAATTTTTTGATAACTTACTTGAGCTCAAATAGGGACTTTGATTGGTGGATGGATGTATGGATGGATGGATGGATGGATGGATGGATGGATGGATGGATGAATGGATGGATGGATGGATCGGTTTACTGTATTATAAGCTCCCGGCTGTCAACGTATTGACTACCTTACTTCTGACTGACGTATTAATTGACTGACTGATTCATGATTGATTGATTAATTGATCGATTGGTTGATTGTTTAACTGATTTACTGAGTGATTGCCTCACTGACTAGCTGTCTCCATGACTGACAATGCGTCTGTTTGAATGAGTGGCAATCTCATTGCCTATATGTCAAGAAGCAACTCAATTGAGGGACCCTTGACTAACTGTAAGGTCAATTGGTTGGCTAGTAAGCATTTTCCTAGTATTCCAAAAAGTATCCTAATCATCAGTTACATGTTTTTCTGTAGATATGGTTCCTTTTCGGCCACTGAACTAATTACCTTTTAAGTAATCTCGTTCATTCACTTACCGACAGTCAAATCTATACAGTTCTCTCCTTTGAATCTCCAGGTTCCTGAACGTGAAAATACCACGTCAATAGTGGTGACCACAGCTGGGATAGTGCTGGCCATAGTAATCCTGGGAGTAGTGATTGGTATCGTTGTAATTAAACACATCAGGACAAACCGCGATGGAGTCAAGGTAGACTCACTGGATGAAGCTGTATACACAGCCTCCGCATCTTCAAGAAGAAGCAGCTTTACTACTTCTGAAGATGAAGTGGAACTTACGGAGGCTGACTTTGAGGATGAGCTCGTTGAGGATCAATATTTACCCTCTGATTCAGAACTCAAATCGGGATTGGAACTCATGTTTCTGAAACAACAAAGACATTATTGGACAAGAAAAAAGAAACCTTGACCATTTAACTCTCAGGCTACCTTTAGACGGCACCAGACGAATTTTGGAGCTTCGGTGAAAAATTTGATAGGATACGTCGTTCAAATCGAACCGGTCAAATTTTTTGTTCTCTTTTCATTAGATTCTGACGGACCAGATTGAATTTTTACCCTTCCTAAGTACTTTCATAACTTTCCTTGGTAGTTTTACCATATGCCCTTCCGCGCACAGTGCTACTATAATAAATCCAAACTGGCATCCTCTAGCGGAGTGACCACGCATCCACCCAGCCACGCCTCTGGGGTACAAAAATTTAGACAGTCATGGTATTCACAAAGCCCTCGTTATATTTTCGTCCATACTGGCTAAAACATTTGACCTCGATTTTGGCGTTCACATTTATGAACGGTTAGGCGTTTAAATTTTAGTGTGGTTCAGTGTAAACGGAACACCTAACTGGCGCAAAAAGTTTCAACTGATAGAAAATTCGTCTGGTGCGGGTGTCAGTAAAACGCGGGTTTGGGGTTGGGGTCGGGGCCGGGTTCGGGGTCTATCTTATTATTATTTTTTTTTTTTTGCAAAGAATGCTGTTTTAGGGTTAGGGTTGACACTAACCCTAACCCAAACCCTAGCCCCCCGTTTTACTGACACCCGTCTGGTGCCCTGTGACCGTAGTCTCACACCATATATTTCAAAAACACTAAGCTCAATTTTTTTTGTAAAATTCCGGAAACGACATATTAGCTCGCTAAAGAAGAGGGTCCCCAATAGAATTTTTCAATCCCTTTATCCCGTCCGAAATTTTCCCTCAATCACGTAATCCCGATGGTTATTTCCGGCTTCCCGTATCCCTTGCATAGTTTCAACCCCGAATTTCACCCTTATTTGGCTCAAAAATCCTGAAACCCGGAGTTCGTAAGGGAAATCCCGGCTCCCGAGAAACCGACTGGGGACCCTCAAAGTAGCGTTGACTGGAGATGATTGATTTTGAGTGGCAATACGATAAGAAAAATTCATTTATGCAATCAAAGGCCGCATTGTGAAATCCCAAAGCCTTTTCCTCCTTCATATGCCACCTCGTTAATTCACGGCCACTCAGCCACGGTCTAAAAATATGCGTTTTAGCTACAATCATAGACAAAAGTCTTGGGACACTTATACATTTCTGGGCCGTTTCCCAATTCAAACAGGCCCAACCCCTCCCCTCACCCCACAAACAAAGTTGGACGCGTGTATCCAGATTTTTTTCCGAGTTTCAATTTTTTATAAGGTAGGGAGGAGGGAGAACTGCAAGAAAACTTCGAAAAAGGGCGCACTGTTTTATGAGGGACCCCATAAATGACAGAAAAATACGAATATTGCATTACTGTCCCAAGGACGTTTGTCCATGATTGTAGGTGGCAAACAAAAAGAAGCCTTACGAGAGAATTACCATATTCCTTTTTAAAGAAAATCAAATAAGTAAATAAAAAATAAAAGTGACAGTAAAATGCCAAGTCGTTAACTTCTTACTCAGTTGTAAATGGCCACAACGTTTGTACAGGTTATGGTTTAAATTTTACAGATTATTTTTAGTCAATAGCAAAGATTAATTTCTTTGAGAGAGCAAAGGATTGGATCTAAGAAAATGGGAGTATAAATTCTTTTTCCCTTTTTAAAAGTTTGTCCAGACTTCAGTTTCTGGCAGTCTGTCGGAGCGCGTTAACGAACTGAATAAGGATATGTCAGAAGCGGCTCCTGGAAATCAGTAAAATCGCATGGTCGGAGCTCTGGTGAACTATCATACGGCGAAATGACCAAAGATTCATTGCGCTCTCGTGCTCTGATTTCACGCTTAACCCGACTGAAACTCTTTTCACGTTTGGGATAAATTAGGCCTTATGTTCACGCTATTGTTTATTTTCCTAATAAAAAACTTGTCTCTGTACAACCTTCGCTGCGTAAAGTCATATCAGTTTCATTTCAAAGCTCCGATGTTGGGATCAGTTCTATAAAGAGTGTAATTTAAAATTTGCCCCATCAAAAACAATTAGAAGTTTATTTGGAACGTAACTGTGCATTCCTATTATTTTCTTATTAATGGGAGGTACTGTAATGCGCCGGCTAAGGCTGATGTGAATCTTAGGCCGCAAACTGGGAAGAAAACCTAATACAAACCTCAACTGTGTTTGTTGTTTTTTTCTTTGTGCAGACTTGCAAAAAGGTATGCGAGTTCAATTAATAACGTAAAAAACAAAAACTATGTCTCTTTTAAAAAAGGAAAAATGCTCCCGGCGGGGTTCGAACCCGCGACCTTCGCATTGCTTCAGCACCCTCGGCGGCTACAAGGCCGGTACTGCTTATAAGTACGACGCTCTAACCGACTGTGCTACGGGAGCAAGACAAGGGAGGGAGAAGTAAAATTCGTACTATATCAGTAAAGTAACGGGGCTATTTATATGATACCGGAATGACTTAAGTTCCAGAATGAGTTTCGTTCAAGAATGAAGTTCGTGCTGCATTCACGTGATAAAATCGAACTGCCCAGCCTAAGGTGTCCTCGCTCCCGTCGTTTTTGCGCCAGACCAGATACGCATGCGCCACTCGCTCCAGACTACGTATGACACGATTTGCAATGATACCAGGACGAAATTTCGTACCAGAACGAGAATTTCATTCTGAGTGAAAACGGGAATGAACTAATTCCGGAATGACTTGTACGGGAATGAAATGTCGTCATTTATGTAAACAAATACAGAAAAATACAGAGAGAATGGAATGAACAGGTCCCTAAATGAAAGTCATTACGCGATCATGTGAATAGCCACTTATAATTAAAACGCTTCAAAACTCCACCCCACGCACCCAACCCCTCCCCCATCTTCCTCCCCTTCCCCCACAGTTTATTTTTTCTTGATAAGTATACGCAAATAATTTTTAAAAGGAAAATTAAGCTGTAAAGGAAGGGACAAGTCACTTTTCTGTTGTTTTCTCCAAAGCCATTCGATGTGAATCCACCGCGTTAACTTGTTACGGCCAATCTGTCCATGAAACCGCCTATTACGAACAGATGATTACTGCTGCTTGCTTCCACCAAAGGGGGAAAGTTAATATTCGAAATATTACTATAAAACTCTCGTTTTGCAAACTAGATACTTCAATAGTACAAGTAACGTTGATGGGAACCAGTCTAGTCCCCAGGTCTCTTAGGTCATGAAAATAAGATGTAGAACTGGGGCTAGAGGCCATGACTTAAAAAATATACTTTAGCGTTAACTTTTAATTGCAACAAAGAACTTAATATTATTAATTTTTTCACTCAAAGCAACACCGTGTCTATCTCTCTCTCTCTCTTTCTTTTATTTTTCACGCTATAAATGAAATAGCTAACACACTATGTAATCAATTAAGATGTTATCGGGTGTCCCTGAAAATAAACCAAATTTTAAACGCCACTCAACTAAACGGGATCTCAAAACAAAATTAAGGATTAGTGCGGTCAATTGACGTTATTATCTTGAGAAAGAGCCTTCAAACACGCACGTACTTCATTGCAAGGAATTCTTTTCAAATGGAAATGTTTATAGTAACAACTATCAAAAAATTCCATTTTTCCGCGTGCCCCCCGTCATTAGAGCAGTACCCAAAACATAGAAACTGACACAGATATATTGTTTCTGATAATAAAGTTTTCAAAAAATGCTTTCAATGCATAGCTGCCGGGCATGAGCCATGCTGAGAGTTTGAAGAGGAATGCGATTTAAAAGCTCTTCTAACGCCGAAATCAAAGCGTCGAAGTGAAAATCGTTTGTCATGATTTTTCATAATTATAAATGAATTCGTTTATAGTACCCGCTGAGGCCAGGTTCTTGGTGCTTGGAAGTAAAGCCGTCGGGAAATCGGGTAAGAGAATTTATACTCTTTGTGATTAGATCATGCGTGAATGCAGTCACTGGTAGGACTTTTCAAAGTTTTGATCGACATGAAAACTTGTCGCTGATTACCCGCGAAACATTCCTACAGAGTTATTAAGTTTGAAACTTTAATTCAACGTTACTATAAATCTCTGATGAGGAAGTAATGCCGGATCTTCACGGCTTTTGTGGCAATTCCTTTTAGATGACGGTAAACTCCGTGAAAAACCGCAACCGACAATAATCATAGCCGGCAGTGGCGTTCATCTTGCCCGCTCATAAAGCCAACACAGTTGTACAGGGGCAGTGATTAGAATAGTCCAATCTTGAAATCGCATTATAATGGCGAAGACTGTGGTTTTCATTAACACGTTCCAAAATCAAGGAACAGTTTTCTAAATAACAGTTTCACTGTCAACATTTTTTAAACATTTACGCAGCATAAAATTCAAATATTACGTAAAACAAAAGCAAACCATGTTGTTCATCTTACAAAAACGCGGCGAAAAGTAGAAAACTTAGGAGCAGAAAAAACCCCAGCGATCACCCATCTCACGACCAATTCTTTAGTTGCGAGATCAGATGTATTGTAATACTCTCTAACAATATATTAAAAGCATTATTTTGTAAGTAAAATACGTCATCTTAGGGGGTCATATTAACTTAATAAATTCTATACAGTCAATGCCTAGGGCAGTTTCTATAACGTTTGAGTTAATGTGCTAGTTGAACAATAAGCTGGAGTGTCTGGCAGGGTCATTCCGTTATTGTTTCTGAAAAATATGAACTGTTTTCATACATTTGTTTACGTCAGGATTTAAATTCGACAAGAGTCACAGTCTAAACTAGCTCCCCTCTTTAGTTCAGGTTGCAGGTTGACAGTCCTTTCGGGAAAACTGATCTACATGCATTTATCTAATATAGGGCGATCGATCAGATCCATCTCAACTTATTCTGAGTAATCAGTCTAATGGACATACTAATTTAATTTCTACCTCTGCACAGTACAATAAGCTTATCTTATCGTTTCAAAATTAAATTATAACCCTTCTTTTGATTCGCTTTTTTAGCCTTAACTGTTCGTTTCCTGACGAAGAGATTCATCGGCGAGTATCAATCGCTTATGCGTAAGTTGTGTGTATATTTCATCGTATTAATAACTTTTGGAGCCTTCTTATTAAATCATTTGGCCTTTTGTGTTGTCGTCTATGTCCTTTACGTTTTAAAGGACCACTTTTTCGATTTGACAAAGCGACGGAAATAGATCTAGAAATTGAAGCAACACCTTTTGTATTGTGGAGGACAAGAGGGCACTTGAAAATTTAAATCAAGCAGAATGGCAATAGTTTGCAGCGCTTTTCGACATGCACTTCTACTTTTAATTGGTGGTATAATAGTTCCACTAATTAAGCGATGCTATTACACTAATAGCATTAATTAATAAAAGACATTCATTGGAGAACAAGACATAGACATATTTGTGACGTAAAGGTTACCATAGTAACAGGACAATTTAAAGGAGCGGTGACAGAATTTGATTTTAAAACCCCTAAAAACACAAGGCACCAAAGATAAACACAGTTTACATTTTTTCACGGTGGGAAGAAAAGCATCGTAAAAGTTATAAGTTAAGTGGAGAGCTGGCAATCGCCAAGTCAGCCTCCGAGGGAGAGACGAAAATAAAAATCTGGTGAGCATTCTGGTGCTGGGATCTTCAAAAACCCATGTTCCCTAAACTGCCTGCGCTTCTTGTCGATTCTCATAATTAAGTTAAGTTCATAGTTTAGTTCAGTTAGTAAAATTCGACACTAAGTGGTTATATTTCACGCCTTGAGGCTCAAGTGGTGAGTTTTCATTACTTTATTTGAAAATCACTGGGAAACAAAGCAAGCTAACAAAGCTGTTACGTTTGGTATATATGGGCCAACAAGAGATGCGTTTGCAGATCACGGGTAAAGGTTTTGTCGAAGTAACAACTTTTGACGATGTTATAGTAGACGTACAAAGCAATCTCTACGCTGTAGCGTGCAGTTCTCGCCAATGTAAGGGTTCTGATTTGTATAACGTCTTATAAATGAAATATAAAGGCTTCTTATGTTGCATTAACTTAAAAACAAGAAGAGGGCAGCCATGTGTAATTGAGCAACCTCTAATTTGTTCCTCCTCAAGGGCATCAGAATTTGTCTACTTGTCCCAAAATAATGATGAACGCTTCTAAAATACCAAGGAGTTAATAAATGCCTAAAACAAATCCAAGTTAATCACTCTAGGTTAACTAACACAGATCGAGACCCATTACGTTACTTACAAGTCTTCATTAAACAACTTGAATTCGGTTTTGGAGATGTACCCGATTGTCCGTTGCAAGGCCGCGCACGGCATTTGTCAGTAAAAGATAAGGTTCATTGACCTTCATTTAGGGTTCGCGAATGATGAAAACTGATTTGCTTATCTGTAACGTTTTAGTGAAAGAAGGGAATTTCTGCAATGGGCCCTCAGTGGTATCCAACATCTTAGCATACAGTGCACGGCACACTTATGTCACTAATTACCCAAGGGTAGAAAAGAAACCAACAAAGACTAATAGTTTTAGATATATATATGCTATTAATAAACTGTGATTACGTCGCATCTTGTTCTCCTGTGAATCAAGACGTTATGTGCTGAGAAACGCAACAACATCTACACGACTAGAGACGGTCAGAATCACTTTATTCAACACTATACATTTCACGCCTACTATAAAGTTCTTCAGACTGAGTTGTCGTTTTACTATTGAGATTGATGACAGAATGATTTAATCTTTCTTGTTTCAGAATTAACTTATAATCATACAATTAAGCTGGACGATGAAAATCTTACGTTCGATATACGAGACGCCGTTGAAAAGGTAAGAATTTTGATGTTCCTCCTTTGTTTGTGTTTAATTAGAGTTTTAATTTATCTTTGCTTTCTTTATTCTTTTATGCTTAAACCGTATGTGGAACATATAACTACAGTGAACGTAAAGGAGCTGATCGAGTGCACACTTTGGCCACTACATATCATTTTTTTGTAAACGTTATCTAGATAGGTCCTCATTTGCTATTCTTCAGTGGCAATTTCAATTTTTAAGCACCCAACCACCAAGGCCCGGATGTTCAAATGTTGGATAGCGCTATCCACTGATTTGGAAACTAAAATTTTCGTTATCAACTGGACAAAGATCTATCGATTGGGGTAGTATTATCCACCTTTTGGATACATGGGTCAAACAAGAGAGTATGAACTCTCTCTCTTGCGTCAAATTATTAGGGAAACATCCATCTTTATCTTGCCCATGAAATGGGTGCATTTGGTTGAGAGGGATGAGGAGGCAATCTTGTACCCAGAGTCCTTGGGCTTTCTGGTCATCGGGATTGATGAAGAGGGGGAAAGCGGGAGTTTTTCGGGTTCCAGACTCTCCTCCTTCTGGATCCGCCGAGGACGTTTATTCTCCGGTAGTTGTATTCTTCTGTTGCACCTTTGATACATCTCTTTTTTTTTTCACCCAACTATATATCTCAGTTGAATAAGTGCCAATTCCAAAAGCAAAATTAAGTGGAATCCTCTCTTGGTGGAACCGAGTCACTTTAACTTCACTCTACAATGACTTAGAGCACATGCGAAGAATATGAATATATCTAGAAAAGTGCTTTTTTAACCAAGTGAGCTTGCCGACAAAGAACTTGAATGCATAAGAGGATCATGAGAGACATTTCACTGATCTTTGACGAATTTTGAGTTACTCTGTTGGGATTTATGTGTAATTATATGATCTATTTGCGTCATATATATATATATTCAAGCCACTTTATATTTTCGGGTTTAAAGCTCGTTTTTCTAGTCACGTTTTAAAATATACTTATCTGGGGCTGGATCTATGCCATCAATGATTTGTTATCTTCAGCGACTAGTCAACAATAACTCTAATAATATTTGCATTTGACAACAATTTTTTCAGAAAAACATTTAAAATATCTACGGTTTCGTAAGGAATGAAAGCACTTTATGGAGTCCTTTTTATCTCTTTTTTCTTTGTATTAACTTTATATTGACTATTGCTAAGGGTAGTTATTTAGTTGTCCCACACCGAATTTACTCTGCGACTATTTCAAGTTATTCATTAAGTTATTTTCGTTAAGGAATTAAGGAATTCCTTTGAAAGCGAAACAGAGCAGCACTGTATTCCACCCATACAGTTAGGCACTGACCCCACAACCTTCCACACGTCCAACTCTTTGTCATAAAACTCGACTTTGTCTGTCCGTTCTCGAGAATTCTTCTTCCCTCCAAGGACGAAGACCTTGTCTCCTACGTAAGCTATCCCGGCTAGCGCTCTCGAAATGCACAAACTGGCTATGTACACCCATGTTTCATCTGCGCTGTTAAATGCTTCACACGAACTATGCGATGAATACAAGTCATCCTGTGTCCCTCCCACCACGTAAAGCCTGCCTCCAACTGCTACTCCGCATGCGTAAGCGCGTCGCACATGCATGGGCGCCGTCTCTTGCCACGTATTTGTTTTGGGATCGTATCTTTCCACCGTGCTCAAGTACTTAAAGGGGTCGTTTGCGTTATCGTTTTCTGTTTTTCCACCAATGGCGTAGAGGTATTTATCGGACACAACACATGGCCCTCCTCTGTTGGTTGTCATGGGAGTCACCGCTTCCCAGACGTTCGTGGAAGGATAGTACCTATAAAGAAACCAACGATCTAATCATTATGATGACGAAATTTCTAGTTATGTTCTGGTTATCTAAGAATTGCTTATCCTAACCATCCTTCTTGTCATTGATCCATCTCAACCTCGTCCCCAGAATCTTCTTGTTTTCCAGTAGGCAATTTGCAGGATTCTGACACCATTTTGAAAACCCTGAGAAGCCCCTTGGGTGACCTTGGTATTCCTCGATTGTTTTTCGTCTCATTAATGACATGTCTTTACAGGTATTCTGCTCACAAGGTAATAACAATGATCCATATGAGCTCTTTTCTAGAATCTCGGTTTTTAACGTGCTGTGAAAGCAATTTTTACACCGCCGATTGTTACTTCAATTGTTTTTTCATTTATTTGAAGTTACTTATTTTGGAGAAAATAACAATATTTTGAAATCATTCTTTTCGCTATTCTCACTGTATACATAATTGGCCCGTAAGGCGGGAAAAAGAAACTTCTTTAAATTCCTTAGTGTCGAGACTGCGCAGTAGTGACATGATGCATTGCTGCCCTTTCTATCTTAGAAATTGCTCGATTTTTGCCTGCCTCTTGGCCAGGTCAACGGGCTTCAGTCGACCTGACTTAGAAGTTTCGCCCCTTCCACCTCCCCTGGTGGTGGTTCATGTCGCATACCCTCATTATTCGGCATGCCTATTGTCCTGGCAGTCACGGTTTCCTCCCATAACTTCACGGCCGTGACAGAATAATAGGAAACTTAAGCACCAGACGTTCTTAGTACCACGGACGCCAACCGGAAGTATTTTTGCAGCATGACAGCCACTGCGCATGTCAAGACGTTCTGGAGCCGTGGTCAAGGACTTCAAAACGCGAGTTCTCAGGTTGAAACCAGAGGTTCAAATTCTGTGTGGGCCGGAAGCTCTAAGAACGGCTCACAGGAATGGTTTAATAAACAATAGATATCCCTAACCCAAACAAAACTAACGATGAACCCCAACTCTGAAACAATAAAGCTTCGGGCCAACAAGAACCTATCAAATTAGAGGTTCTAAAGAGGTTCTGGCCAACAGCAAAGCCTGGGTTCTTCGAAGAGTATTCGTTATACAAGAGTAGAAATTTTTCATCTGAAATCATGTTTTCTTCGTAACAAAGCAACAAAACTTAACGCAAATCTTTGAAAGGCATTTTCAACTGAACTGTTCTGTCGGTTTGCGTGATGTTTTCCCGTTGTTTTTGCTTAATGATTTGCATTTGGCACTCAAACCGCGTCCTCGATCCAGTTCTGCGCGGCCAGCCATGCCGTTCGTGAATCAAGAATGTCTGGTGCTTGAGTTCCCAAATAGGTGTGCAGTGCGAATATTCTACTCACCTTAGTACGGTGTTCAGCGGTCTCCCTCTGTGCCAACCACCCACTGCATATAAAAAGCCATTGAGTTCAGCGACACCAAGCGCAGAGATCTCCTTAGCCATAGGTGCTACTCCAGCCCACGTATTAGTCCTGTGATTAAAAAAGAACAACGACATTTAAAGCGGCGAGTATTTGATTATTATGGCCTCTTATTAAAGCATGACCTAAAGTAGTAGCTCCACACAAACTCGCCTTTACTAATTCACTTACTACCACTAAATTACTAGTCAGTAGGAGACTAGTAAAAACTGACTATTGTCGACAGCTTTATTTTATTCCAAATTTGGCGAAAGCAGCTGGTTATCACTTGTAACAACGTACTCCTGAACCCGTTGCGAGGTAGGTAATCACAATCTAAGAGAAATGGAATTTTCGGGAAATACAGTGCATAACAAAGGTTAATTAAAGGAATATATAAGGAAACAAGATGCAAATGTAATTTTATTTGGTTTTTTTGCACTTCCTTCTGTCATTTCAATTTTTTTAGAAGCGTTACCTTCGAATTCCCGCACTGTTTTCTGAAAATTTAAAAAACTTCCTTATACAGCAAGAATCAAGAAATTTGCTCAATAATTCTCTGAATAAATGTTAAGTGTATAACAGAGGAATTATCAGATTTCACAAAATTTGGTCGTCGCCCTTGCTATAGGATCGCTATGAATACTGACCGAATGCCAAGATAAATCGCATAAACGAAACTTGCACAATTCCCATAATGCACCTTGTTATTTTCCCCCAAAATTTTTGCATAACCTTTGTTTTTCATTTCTCCTGGGTATTACAGCTTTCCTAAGCGAAATTGAAAACGATGCTTATGCAAAACTTTGTGGGGCAAAAAGGTGCGTTATGGGAGATCTGCAAGTGGCCTGTACCAAGTTAATCAAGTTAAATGGTATATCTTCCTACCTGAAGTCGTATCTCTCCATACTTGACAAATGTCCATTCAGAGATACTCCACCCACGGTGTAAATAAACCCTTCACACGACACTGCCCCGTGACTGAAGCGAGGAATCAGCATTGGCGCCAAATTGAACCATTGATTTACAGCCGGTACATAACACTGAGTGGAGGAACGAAGCTCGTCCCCAGGACCCCAAATCGTGATAATCGCCTCTACATTTGAGTCCAAGCAGCGACGCAATTTACAAATGTCGCTGTCTGACCTGCTCTGTGCTCCAAATAAGGCAAATGACTTCATGGCTTCATAAAGCAACTTCGTGCAGTCCAGACTGCCAGTTACCAGTTCTTCCGTTTCAACGTATTCTGCGAGGTAATATTTAGACATGCAACCCAGTCGGACCTTGGAAAGCAAAGCAGCGAACTCTTCTTTCCTGCTCTCCGCGTCATGTTTGACCCACGAAATGACAGCCTCGTAAACCTGTTCTTCGGACTCCACGATGACGTCATCCAGTGAAATAAGTTTCTCTATCTCGGAAAAACCGAGATGGAGAAATTCCTCAGACTTTGAAACAGCCACAAAATTATCCAGAATAAACCTTTCAGATTTATCCATAAGATCTTCGCAGTCAAATTTCTCAGAGAAAGCCCTGACAGACAGGCAATTGGACGGACTGAGTGTTTTTTCTAAGAAGAAACTCCCTTTGTCCTTCAGGCTATCAATTAACAGGTAGTCGCCGGCGAACACCAGCTCTTTAACGTTTTCCTCGGTAATTTCAACCTCACCGGTATAAATATAATTGAGCAAGTCGTTCATAACAAATGATTTAAAGCCTTCAAGTTTCACCTCATTTTGCCGTTTTTCCCTCATGTCCGATGTAAACAAACTGAGAAAATAAGCACTGCTTGCCGCTAGAATATTTTTATGGACTGGAAATCCTTCGCCTTCAACCACGAGAATCGTATTGCAAAGCACTCCTTGGCGACGAAACTCGTCCATCCTTTTGTACAAATTTCCTTGATAATTTTCGCCTGGAGGCTTTCGATTTGTTTCCAGATCCATTATTTTCGCTAAAAATTTATATCAGAATCTGCCTTTGTTCGTTAAATCCGCTTTCCCCACGCGATTACAGTACAACGTCGTCTAATTCTTTAGAACATTCCTTCTCAAAACAAAAATCCAGTGCAATATTCGTGAATTTTTTTCACTGGCCGTCGGCGATGATGCGTTCGCGTTGGTCTAGAAAAACATTTCAAAACATGTGCTGTCTTCACTGTGACACGTCGCAGGTGTCTTATATTCTCCTTATATGGAAAGGAGTCCTTGATTTCATCTGGTTTAAATAATCGTTGTGTAGCCAGGATTTAAAGCTTGGAAGAAGTTGAAAAAACCGGCGAAGAGCGAAAAGTTGTAACCCAAAATAGCAAATCACGACTTGACTCAAAGCAGAAAATGAAAACAAGACAACGAATTGTATAATCAAAATATGCAAATAAGAGGTATTTTCGATATGAATGATATTATAATCACTGTATAATCACAGTCTTTGGTTTGTAGCTCATTTTCACTTAACTATCACCTTCATTACCGACTCATCTACATGTTCAGTAACTCTTTTGCTTGTGAACTGGTGTAGTAACGGATGAATCAGACACTGGTATTAGAGAATTTCATGAAATTGCAACAGGAAATAAATGGAAAAAACAATCAAAACGATATCAAAACTAATTTGGAAGCATTTGACAGTTCATCAGTCACAGTTTTACATTAATATTCTTAACGTCAAGAAAATAACTACTACTGGTATTTATCTTTGACTAGATTCAACCCGCCTTTCAGAAGCATTTGTTCAATATAAAAATTTGGGAAGGTTTTCTGGAGAATATCGCGCATTTTTGGTTGGTTGATGAAATAGATCTCTTGTTCAGTAGATTTTTTTAATCTATTTACTTTTACTCTGAACATGTTTTGTTATGCTCTAAAATTAACTCTTCGGTTGTTCAAAGCATCTGGGACTATTTTAAGAGGCCTATTATGTCGGGTCTATACTAATTTGGCGGAGTTATTTCCAGTATATGAGCCTGACTGAAATCGAGGTGATTTTGAAGTACTACAATTTCTTGTTATTTCCTTAGAGAAGACCCCCTAATCACACGACTACCCCATTCCTGCTATCTCCCCTCCGATCTGTTGAAACCAAGGGAAAAATAATAAAGCCGGAAAAATTAACTTACAAAGGCCGATTATAAAGTAACTCCGAACTGTCAAATTTTCTATCAAATCGAGCTTCCCACACGTAAAATGAAGAAGAGAAAGTCCTCCTTTCCAGAAACTTTTTTGAGGAGTAGCAAATCAGAATATGGTATTACCGCTCAGAGGCAGTCAGTGTATATAGTTGTTTCAACGATTAAAAGTTACAGCAATATCTTCTGGCCCGGCTCGTCAAACATGTGAATTAGTTTTTATAAATAATTATTATAAATTTCTTCTTTTGCATTCAGCTCGGGCGTCTGGGACAATGTTGTCACGAGATTGAGGAACTCATAAAAATTAAGGTGAACGGCAGCCGGCTGGCTTTAAAATAGGTGGTAGAGCTCTAAAACTGAGAAAGAGCAAGCATTTGAATAACTCTAGCTACGACCGCCTAATATTAGGTTGTTATTACCATTCCTCAAAAGAAGCTCAAAAAACATAATTAATTCATTTTAAAAGCTTTTTATGAGAATCATCTCTTGATATTAGCTCTTTCGATATTAGTCCTTTTAGCCGAGTGCGAACGTGGTGGAAAATTTAAGGTTGGTTTTCCCTGGACAATCTATTTAAATTCAAGTAACACTATCCAGCATATATAAATTCAGACAATTCCCCAATCACTTCGTCAACTGTAAAACTTTCGAGATCACTTTCAGATGTGCAGGAAGAGGAATCCGACGGAGATGACATCTTAAACGTCTTGTTAAAAGGCTCTAAACTCGCAAACTTTTCCCAAATGCGAATGCGAATGTTTTGGTTGATGTTTCTACGTCACAGTGCATAAAGCACGTGGTCAAACGCACGACCGCTTTGCGGAGATTTCGCGGGCTATTGTTTTGCGAACCTTGTAATGGCGGACGGTATTTACGCACTTTTCAGTGGGAAATTTCCAGCCCCTGTACGCAAGTATCGTTCCAATTTTTCGCTATTTGTATAATTTTGAACATATACAAAAGATTTATGTTAAAAAAACTCGGAAACAAAAACAAAAATTTTCGTCGTAGTAGCACTTTAAATATTTCTTGCTTGCTCGCCGTGGGTCGTATGCAAATCAGCCTGATAAAACTATTTCGGAATTCAGGTTTCATGAGTGTCGATGCCTCGGAGTTCCAAAAGTTTGTACCAACAATAGAGGATTCCGTCCATTACGATCGTATTCGGCATAAAAAGACCAATGTTAGAAGACGTTTGACACTGATATTTTGAACGTTTTACTGCAGGGTGATGTCTCTCAAGTTGACAAGGACATCAGATGGGCAGACGCATTTCTCGTAGTTTACTCTATTACGGATAAAAAAAGCTTTAATAACGCAATACAGTTAGTGGAGGCAATTTACGATGGCAAAGGCACGGATGAACTTCATGTTGCTTTAGTGGGAAACAAAAAAGACTTGGAGCACTTCAGGAAAGGTATCGTTATCAACTTGTTGAGAAAGTAGACATCGCCGACCGTCGAAGAGAGCGGAAAAGAAGCCATTACAAACAACAATATTTTAAGCTATTAAAAATATGCTTTAATCCACCATATTGGACGTCATAGCAACCCCATATCGTGGACTCAAAAACGGCCCAGAGTCATTTCACAACACCAATATCAGCGATTCTTCAGACGCGTATGACGAAATCAGGGTCTGGCTAATTAAAACAGATCACTTGGCGCCTGAGCAGAAATCGAATTGTTTGAAACTAAGTTGAAAAATAAAGCGTAAGATAGAGCTGTACCTAAGGTAATCGACACACTAAATGACCATATGGTATAGTACTCCTGTACAGTACTCAGTAAACACTTATGAGAAATCGTTCCAGACAGTCCCGCGGTGTTTCACGTGATCAAGTTTTTCGTACATTCCCAAAAGCAGCCAACCAGGCAACCAATACCCTCCTTTGTTACGCTCGCTGAGACAAGTTACTTATTTTCCCTCGCAGACGGCAGGCTAGATGACGTGGCTCGGATGACCATGCAGAAATGGCCGTCCGATCTACAGCACGGAACGTAAAAACGTAGACTGCAAAACAGTCCGCGGTATTTTTGCGTATTCAAGTACGCGCAACGCTACTCTTACGCTACACTAAACCGATTTTCAGGGGAAAAAACGACTGTTTTGCCGCCAAAACGGTGGTCCCGATTTGTACTTCGTGATAAAACAATGTTACCTTTAAAAATCAGGGTATTTTTTTACAAGACAGAATAATGAAAATCATTTTTAAGGGGCTTCTGAAATTCGGCCTGACCTTAAGTTAGCTCTACTATTTATCAATCTGTCGATCTATCTACCCTCCATCCGTCCATACGTTCATCTATTTATTGATTTATATTGATTTATTTTTCATTTATTTACTTATTTATCTATTTTGCTTTATTTTCAGTAACCACAAAAGAAGGAAAGTCGGCTGCCGAGCAGCTTGGTTGTATGTTTTTCGAAGTTTCTGCTGCAGAAAACTATGACAATGTTCAGCAAGCGTTGAACGTGGTGTTCCGTAAAGTTTCTCTCCACAAGAAATACTTGAGACAAGAGAAGGAAAAACGAAAGAACTCTAACCCACAGATAGAGAAAAAGAAACAAAAGTTTGGAAATTCCCTGTTTAATTGGAAAAATGAGAAAAAGAGAAGTCCAAGACGTGCAGAGACGCCTTAAGTTCGATGAAGAGTTTCACGTTACGTAGTTAAATGAGCAGCAGATTTGAAGGTCCCAGTCGGCTAAGGCAGATTTGTACCGTTCCTTACCTAATCATTGAGATCAAATGTTTGCTTTAGACGTGTAGTTTATGATGAGCATGGGAACCAGAGTGTGTGGCAAAAGAAAGAAAATTTAACTTGTCTAACTGTACATTTAGATTTCTTTGAACACTTGTAATAACTAAGTCCTTCGGGCTGCAGGCAGGTTAAAACTTTATCATAGTGGCCCGTGACGAATTTCTGTTTAAGCACTCACTAAAGTAAAGTTATCATCCGGTTTATAATCAGTGGTCGATGTAGTTCAACGGCTAAAACTATATCCTTGCTAATGGCCGAGAAAGTTTCAACTCTTTAAGCACCAGTATCCTAATACAAATTCTCCATTCTCGTATGGAAAATTTGGCCAAAAAATTTAAAGCATTTCCCCTTAGGTGATCTTTTCATAAATTCTCATAAGTAAAAATTCTCTTGATGTGAATTGATATAATTGTTGGTAGAAAATTGATGTTGTTCACTTTTGGGACTTAAAGGTTTAAGAAATTCCTGTAAGTGCTGTTTAACACCACGCCGGTTTGTCTACAAAACAACGCCAGCACTACACGTGCCCAGTGCATGTGGAACCCGTTTTAACGTAAAGTAGCTGCCAGTTATTTTCGCAGAATAACTGAGGATGTTGTGCTCTTGGATTAAGGAAATAATTCAGGTTTTGTTTGTCATTATCATTATTTTCCAAACAATGGGTGGGTCGATCGGACGATGGGAAACGAAACTTTTTCGGTTCGACACGGTCATGGTATATATTGTGGTTTTGGGCGCACGTTATCTCGGGGGGAGGGAGGAGTGCGCATCCCCCCCCCCAGCACCTTACCCCTAGATCTACCCCCGGTGGTGATCAAAACACAAGGATAGTCATTTACGTCATTATGACTAACTACATGTAAGTATTTAACCAGTCACTTCACATTCACTGTTCTCAAAAAGATCGGCTTCGCATGGGTCACGAAACTGTTACAGACAAAAACTACTCAGACAAAAAGTAAACGACTCAGATAAAACTAACCTAGAAATCATCCGTACTATCTTTTCAGCCGAAAACTTTGAACAAGTAATAATTATTGAAAGGATGCAACAGCTGAGAAAAGCGCGTGTTTTGTGCGAGATTTTGTTTATAGTGCATAGTCTAAATAGCATCACAGTACGAAGTAAACTAACAAAGTCTATTTATAGCTGTTGAGGTATCATGCATGAATACCAGGAGAACCTGCTCTCAAAGAAGATTTATTAAAGTATTGCGGAAAGCGGATGGATAGGCATGTTCCACTTAACCCTTACTGAATGTAATTTTGCGGTTCTCGGTGAAAAGAAAACCGCGTCGAAATGTGGTTTGTGGGCGCAGTCGAAGGATCGCGAGAATGACTGGACACGTCGAGGTTGAGGTTTTAGTTTTAGTTTTAGCGACAGCCACTATCACTGAATTGCTTGCTAGAGCGGTTTTCACTTGACTGTCGTAAAACCAAAACCAAAGTAAATACACTAGCCAACCAAAGGGCGTAGTAAAACCAAAACCAAAACCAAAACCAATTACTTTCGACAGTCAAGTGAAAACCGCTCTAACGGCATTCCACAAACTGTATAGTATATTGGGGACTGTATTAAACAAACATTTCCGCAAAAGTGTTTCCACGTTTAGAACAGCCCTTAACATTAACACTCAGATAACAGTCGGCCTTTCAGCGCATTTCCTCATTCTTTCTGTCATTCTTTCTTGTTTTTCCCATTCAATGGTTGTGAACTTAGGAAAAATAAACATCTAAGACGCAGACTATCCCAAGCATGAGGATTTTGAAAGGAGAAATGGGAGAAAGAGCCAAGCCCCTTTCGTTTTTAAAATCTCCTCTCCCTTCAAACATTGGATAGCGCCTGATCCATCGGATCAATCGGATCAATCACTGTCCACTGGATACGTATTAGGTCTGTTAGGGAGATCAATTGCTTTATACACTGGATAGAGATTTACCCACGTGCGGAGGTTCATACTATCCGATCCAAATTTGGTGTACAATGCCTTGTAACGACCAATTAATTTTACTTGTGCTGAATGTGCATCATGTCGCAGTTTTGTTGCACCGGGCATGGCTGCAACACAAGGTGCACGAAAGGTTACCAATTATAAGAACCTCCACGATTCTTTATGCGGAAATTCTCGACTTTTTCGTCTACGTAGAGCGCTATTTTCTCGAGCTGCTGAAAAGACACTGTCATAACGTGACGTCAACCGTCCAAGAATTTTTGTCATTTTACGATTGACGTCAATCGTAAAATGATAGAATAACTTTGTCATAGCTTCCAAATTTAGCGAGTGACTGGTTGTTCAGAATTAGAATTAACCGGCGGATTAAGCCAGTCAGTACCGGAGAAACTTTGAATAATTAATAAACATTACTAGTCACTCAAAATATTTCGCCGTTTCCAATTGGCTCAAATCCCCTAATCCTTCATAGCCAGCAGTATACGGAAGACGATTGCGATATCCTCCAAATGGCGTCAAAACAAGAAAGGACGAGGTTGAGCAAAATATCGTGATTTGTCAGTGGCGAGCAGATTGAAGAGACACTAATAAATCACGACATTTTTCGATAACCGAGTTCAATAATTGCTTTATCATTCAGTCACCGAGTTTGTTTTTGATAAATATCCTCGGGAAGCTGCCATTTTTACGTAAGATCGATCGCAATAGGGAGAAAGGCGTGGTTTCTTTTACGCATCAGCAGAATATTTTTGCAGCCGAACACCTCAGCCAAACACTTGGCCAAACACAGTTGGACGACATTGCGCATAAGCAACCGAGAAACACTGGGGACGGGGTTGTGCGAGTTCAGTTGTTTTGGTTGACTTGGAGAATATGGCGGAAAGTTGCTTACGTTTTCGGAGGAAGAAATAGCGAGATTTTTACCTGAAAATATAACAAGAGCAACAAAACTTCAACTCGACGTATGCCAACTGCAATTTGAGGAATATCAGCTTAACTATAAACATTGCCAAGGAACAGACAAATTTGAGTAAGATTTATTTGGAGTGACCAATACAACAGTTATTAGATTCCGCTTTCTTAATATGATCTAAAGAATCATGCTGATCTCGAAGGATAATTGTTCAGATCATACTCAGCCTCATCAGATAACTGCTAATTATCCATTCCTCTTTGTGTTAAGCGTCGGTTTCGTTCAGAGAATGTCAAGATCGAAGCTTTAATTTAAACCAAGTTTCCTGGTTTGCTAGCCAGACCTTTCAAAACTCAAAGACGACAATATCAAGTTTCCTTTGTTTAATCACTGAAATTGTATTTACTAACATAATACAAAAATATAACATTAAAGAGTCATTGTTAAAATAACTGAAACTGGAGAAACGAGGACAAAGGAAGAGCTCAAAAAAGATTGCTTCAGGGTGAAATAAAATAAAAAGACAATGGAACCAAAGATGTGGTTTGAAGGAGATCAATTTGCCACCCACGATCAAGAAATCGCTGCAAAGGCAAATGACGAAGCTTGACAAGCATCCGCCTAAAACTTTTAATAAAAAATTCTTTTTCTAAAGGCTTTTTTCCACTTGCGCTTTCCAAGTTCTCAAAACTTTTAAATTAGAAATGCTACGAGTTGTTGGTAACAGAATCTATCCTGAGGTCAACTCAGAAAAACTCTTACAAGTGCAGTTATTATTTTCAAACAATAGTTACACTTGTAAATTACATTGGTAAAAGTGACCCTCGATGTGCATCTCACGCAATAATGGCATTGCGCGCCCACTGAAACAAGAGCAACGAAAGAGTACGCAAATGAAAGACTCTATTTTATACAAAGTGACAAAGCCAGAGCTGTTTATAAACAAATGCCAGCATCTTTTTGTTTTTCCCAAACAAGCCATTCAACATCTCAATTCAAATCTCTTTATGCACTGATAAATCGATTTTCGAAACCCTACAGCATTAAAAAACCTCCACTTTCTACGAAGTAAACTGCCCGTAATTCAACAAAGGCGGGCAATATTTTAAGTAATATATATTTTTTCATAGTCCGTGAATTATTCAATTACAATGTAGGAATAAACTTTCAGACTTGCACAGGGGGTAGACAACACATACATGTACATGTACAAACACACACTCTACGCAGCTGCGAGGAGCTGTCGTCTAAAACATTTCTAAGAACCATGAAAACCTGAGAAGAAATAACAGACTGCTCTGAATTCTGGTCAGTAAAATGAACACTTCAAACATTGCACGGAACTGAAACACGAAGAACAGTTGTGCGTGGACCAAAGGGTCCATGCCTTGATATAATTCTTTACACCAACAAAGAACTACAACCGTGTGAACACAAAGCAGTACTTTGCCATGTTCTTTTAGCATTTACCATGCCTTGACAATCCCACGAGAAATAAAATTCAGTCTCATGAGTCAGAATTTCAGTAACCAACGCTTACCCTTCTGACGGGCGCTGCTTTTGTAGAGTCCGTTTTAAAGTGTATCTACTGACCTAACAGGACACGCTGTTACTAAATCTATCTACATTCAAGAAAACAGAACAGTGCAAGTCTCACAGACCACAGCATGGAATATCTCTGGTATTTCTTTGGATTTCAGCTAAAGTAATTGTGTTTTCTCTCCCTACAGAAGGTTACCTACATATAAGTCAAACTAAAGATTATTATATACTTCATAAAAAATCCATCCTATAACTTTTAAAGTTATATATGTGCAAACCACAGAAAATAATTCACAACAGCAACTCGATGCCTCTTCTGCAGCAAGTCATTACTGTACATGACAGTAAAACAGTCTAGCAAAGTGCTTTCTTAAGCAGAATTCCATCTTGTCTTCCTGATACTGTGGCAAATTAGTCAGTTCTGGCAGAAGGGCCGTCCATTTCACTAAATCAGTTAACAAAAATAATTCTACAGCAGCCCAGCAAAGAAATGAGTAATACACCATGGTGAAGACTACTTTGGTTTCATTACCGATATAACACGTAATAAAGAGCTGTTTTCGATTTTCAGCCGCTGGTTGTCTAAGCGTAGTTGCTCCAGCTCCTACAAGATGAAACAGGCAAAAAAGTTGGTACATTTTGACACTAAGAGTGAAAGAAGAACAGAATCTTCAGAGTAAACAGTCAGTAGCCTGTGAAAGCAGCTGTCTACCCTGGCTCCTTGCCACAAAGGACATTTCACCAGGAGGGAGGTCAGCACTGCAAAATCTCCTTAGCGGCAAGGAGCAAGAGGAGATGGCCGTATTTGCAGGCTGTACAGGTGTATAAATAAATAACACATGTGTGTCCCCTGCCCCCTACCTCACTTTCTTAATCAGGAAGGATATCACAGGAAGAGCCTTCTTTTCTCACTCTTGTCATCAGTGATGGTATAGCTCTTTCATCTCTGGTCCATCGGATGGAAAGCTTCATAAACTCACTCACTTCTTTTGTAAGGAGGCAGTGTGGCCAAGCGGTAAGAGCACTCGACTTGTAATTGGAGGGCCCCATGTTCAAGTCCCACCCTGACCACTAGCTGGATTTGTTTGCATAGTTCCAAGTTCATATTCTTGGCCATGCTTGTAAACAGCCAACAGATCACCCCCCACCAGATGGGACACGCAACCCTGTTATCTTCCATTTAAATAATTTGTTTTAGCGTACCTGAAAAGCCCCATAAGGAGGGACAATTTAATTAAGTACATGTACTTTTTACTCATTTTTTCATTTTATTTTTTTTTGTCATGAACATGTAAGGGAATGAAAAATTATATAGACTAAAGTGTCTCCTACCTTGTTGACTTTATCAAGTTCTGATTTGTAGTCTTCTATCTGCGTTTCATAATCATCTATCTTTTCAAGCAGTTGTTGTGTCTGAATAGTTTCACTATCTTTTTGCTGAAAATATCAAAAGTTCATACCGGTATTTATTACAGTTGACACTCACCTTATCAACACCAATATTGCAAGGATAACTCTACTGTCGGCAGATCCCTTCGTGCCAAACTGACCAGGGGTACTTAGAACACCATTTACAAAAAAAGCTTGAGTTTGATCGTCCGGGTGAACGTAGTCCTGATTAGGACTGTTGTTGTTGACAGTGCCTCACGTTTCGACAACCTGTGCGGCAGTCATCTTCAGAGTCAAAGTGAGTTGTATCACGTCAGTTGATGGTATTATACTCTGGTTATTGCTCTGATTGGTCAGTTATGTTGCGATGTTATTGGTCATCTGTCAGTTAAGCCTTGATGTTATTGGCTATGAAGACTCGTAATCAGTAATTGGTGCGTTTCGATCCATCTATTGTCACAGTTAAACAGTCGTCTATTGTTGTCAGTCACTGTCAACAACAACAGTCCTACTGAGGACTACGGTCACCCGGACGATCCAACTCAACCTTTCACAATACCATTTACACTGGAAAACTAGAAATTCTCGTGGGAAAATCAAATGGTTTGCACCATTCTCTTTGAGAAGCTTCAGAAAACATGGACTGTGAATTGAGGTGATGCAATTTCCCATTCTTTTAGACAAGTTATGTTCAGCTGATTTGGATATACATGTATTTTGTAGCGGGTCATTCTCCCTGCGCACCAAATTTTATAGTTTTACGTTTATGCACAAGACTTCCACTCGTGTGGTTTGGGTAAATGGCAAACTCCCAAGGTTTCATAAACTGTTTACCTTTGCCAAGGCGAATATAGAAACATTTGGCAACTAACAATGGAGCAAAAGTCACTAATTTGATGACCTGTGTTTCATGGTAATCTACACAGTATTGACTGACAAAACAGATAGTCTGGTTAACTTTTCACAAAGACAACAAAAAGTTCACTTACTGCTTTCTGCTCTATTCTTCTGTTTGATCTAAAAAAATGAAATTTATTTTAGAGAGCAAGAATTAATGGCACGTCTGTGAATCCAGGCATGGATTTACAGAGCCCTTGTGAGTTAAAATACGTCTAAAGAAGCCAGCAATTACAGAAAGCTACTGTTACTACACTACACCAGGGAACACGCTTCAAGCCAGAATGGTGTCCAAGCATTCCTTAGACACCCACTTTTAGCAGAAATTCAAGGACAGTTCACTTAATCTAATAATTATTTTTATGGGAAAGACGATGCACAGCATAGCGTCTTAATAAACACAGGGCTGTCACTAAAATGTCAATTTGCCGGGTATATACAATAACACCCTGCTGTTACACACACCCCGACAATCCAGACAGCAGTAAATTCCAGGCAAAAAGATATTACAGATGTTTGACTGAAATAAACTCCTGCAGTTACGGACTCTGGCAATCAAGGACACTAACTCAAGGTCCCTATGGTGTTCACTATAAAAGGAGTTGACTTAAGTAGGAGGGGAATTGTCCAGCTAGGAAGTTCTTTCGGTTCCATTTTGCTTTATTTTCTTATGGAAGTAGCTGGGGCTCGCACTCATAGTAGCCGGGGATTTCCCCGGCCGTCAGCCCCCAACATCTGGCCCTTAGTGACAGCCCTGAAAATAACCACAGTTTAACTGTAAATCTTTAGATCTAAATCACAGCTTTACCACAGTGGCTCCCCAATTTGTTAATCAGCGCATTTCAAATAACTGGCAAGTTACGCCTCTCTCAGCTCAAGTTGATATGCTGAATTCAATGATGGATGACAGTTCTAATGTGATGTCCATGAGGCAAGCAGGTCTTTAAGTGGGTTGCTTAGTTTGATTGAGTAACAGTCATTCTCATCCCCAGAGCTGCAACACCACTGACCCAGAGCTCTGACGGGAGCTTAAGCAAGAAGTGTGCACTATACGACTTCCACCTTTCTGCGCAGCCTCAGAAATTGAAACACTAATGGTTTTCAGTAGTTACAAAATAGGAACTACAGCACTTGCACATTATCCTAGTGCCAGTGAGAGCTCTCGATCTGTGGCCCTGACCAGAAGGATCACAGCCATGGGGACAAGAGTTGGTAACAGTGTACATCTCTAATCTACGCTTATAGTAAACAAGCGCATGTAAAGGTAAATAAATTGCGGAAGTAAAAATCATGAAAAAATGAAACACACCCTTTACTTCTTGGAGTATCCTGCAAGATAGAAGGAAAAGAGAATGATTTTAGTCAACTTAATATTATCTGCCCTCACTTAATACAACACCTCTAGTTGGTATAACCCGCCCTGTTATCACCAAATTTCACACATGATTAATTAATTTACCAAATTGGATTTCAGCAATTCTAAGTGACTAGTGCTAACTTGCTATTTACATGCAGCATGTGACGGTTCCTCAGAGGAACACTTTCCTTTCAACGGTGATTAAAAATACAAGGTATTAACCATGTCTGATCTATACACTGTACCATTTTGGTTTGGATATTTTCAAGCAAAATTGAAAGCTTATCTGCACAAGTTTCCTTTACCTTACTTGAAACACAAACAAAAAACATCAAACACACAAGTGCATTTGCCATGTCTGAAAATACCTAAGTTTTGTTGATCTGTTTTTGCAAAATAGTGTAGACTGGATAAAACTCTTGGAGGATAACTACATGTGATTTTCATGTGCTTTTCTCTTACTGTCAATCTTTGCTCCATAATTATAATTCTACCAAAATGTTGGAGAGAGGGATTACAAGAAGAAAACTTTTCCTATTTTATGATACCAAAAAATACTAAAAGTCAGATGCAGAGTCTCTAAGCAATAATTCACATGAAATTTTGGGTTAAAAAAAATTGGAGGGAACCTAAGATGAGCTTCAAGTAGACACTTTTAAAGTTTTGTTATCATATCTCACAAGCCAAGCATTGTTATTATGCCAAAGCCAATCTGGTTAATAAACCTTCAATCCATCAACTTGAGTCTATTTTCCGCTTGACAAATATATAAAAATAGCCAGACAACAGGGAATTGAATTTACCCTACTATTAATAATTCTCTTTCAAACGACTTTACTAGAAAACAAAAAAAATAACATTGATACAAATATCATTGCCTTTTTAAGTAGTTTTCCAGTAGTTTTTTTTGTCTGTGAGTACTCTAAAGGTAATTTCTAAATAAGGCAATGTCCTAGAAAATAATATTATAAAGGCAAATGTTACTGATCGGGTAAACCTTGAGCTATAAAAACAAAGATAAACATAAACACAATGTGTACATTTTTGTGAGAGACATCCAAAATAACACTAACAAAAATGAACAAAATAAAAGTAAAAATATGAATACAAGCACACTTTAAGGACAAATCCAGAAAAAATGTCAAGAATTGAGAAAAAAAAACTAATCAGAATTGTATGTACGAATGGAAATGCGATCAAAAGTGTGAAAAAAAAGCTTCAATCAAAGACATCACAGATGAAAAAAGTAATGTTTACCATTTCTGCCAAACATCCACAGTTGCTATTGTAGACTTCAGATTATCTGCTCAAACTAGACTTTTAACAAGGTTTTGAAATGGAAAAAAAAAATAAACTCCTGCCAAACTTCAGCTTTCTGGATAACTGATAAGCAGACTTCTTTTAAAGCTTAAGAAATGTGATAATTTTCACGGAGTCCCATTTATATGCATGTAAAACAGTCAAATAACCTTGTTATGTTTTGTCATTTGCGATAAACTATCACATTTCTTCATATCCCTTTTCAATTTCTGCTAAGCCATACTTTGTCTTATATTTTCATCAACTTGAAGGACAGCACAAAAGATTAGAGCAAATGTTTTTATTAATTTATTGAGAAACAATTCTTGTAATTAAATAATATTAAGATATGATAAAACAAGCCTTTGTTGTCTAAAACAACTTGTCTGATGGGAGAACCTCATAAACGCGACATTTCAAGGGTGTTTAAATGCCCTAATTTAGATATACACTAGGAATTTCACTAACTATGGGCATTGACACTTGGTACCCATATTTTTGCACAATTCAAACAAGGAAATTAAAGTAACATTTTCATCTTGCAAAAGTAACTTTTTCTATATCAACAAAGTATGTGTGGAAAACCCCAAAACACACATAGCAGTATACAGCACCAAGACTTATTCTCTACACACTAAAAACAACAGATCATTGAATTTCTAACAGGATTTCACTAAGCATACCTCAGATTGAACTTCGTCGTCGTTCGCTTGTTCGTTTTGTTGTGTGTTGGTTTTCACTTGCTTTGTTAGGTCGTCTTCTTCGCTCTAAATGCAAAACAACATTTACGTTTCCAACGTCACTTCAATGATTGATAGCATAAAGAAATCAGAAAGAACGCCTCACGGTATTGTACTGTATAAAGGCATTTCTCGGATCAATATAATCGTATTGAGTTATAATGAGGACGAAGTTGAAGCGAAGTTTCTCGTAATTTCAAGAAATGGGTGAGTGAAGAAATGTGCACGCAAATAAAAAGCATAACACGTTATCGAAAGAAAATATAATTAAAAAAAAAGTCCAACACATACATGTACATGTTTACGCTCAAAGAGGCGAATAAGTGTTTCGATTAAAGGAGCACATTGGAAAGTTTAATTTTATGCAAGTTTGAGTCATCTTATATCAAAGTATCGAATGCAGTTTAGTCAGAACTACGTTGTGAAGAAAAGTCTTATTTCGCAAAAGAATACAATCCTCACACAATGTACATGAAAGGTAAGATTTACCTCAACTGTTCAGGATTAATTACTGACATTCGTTTGAACTTCACGTGTTGAGATGCCGTACTTCATACAACTTCGTTTCTTTGTTAAAACGACTAATGCTACGACTAACTTCACGATAATTGGAATACTTAAATCATGATGTCTCTAAAAGTACAGAAAACATCTTGCCCTGTAGGTAGACAGGTATTTAGCGAAACATGTACAAAAATTTAACACTTAAATTCGTCCCATAACAATGGCAATTATAAGAAACACCGAGGAAATTTGCCACCATCTGTTATATTTTCGTAGACTTATTAATTTCCACTTTTCCTTAAATAACACTACAGCTGGATTGATTTTAATTTATTGTTTAGATTTGCTGATGTCGAATTGCAAATAAAATTATCCATCTTTGGCGAAATTCACTCAACAACAAAAGGTCAATTTCTACTAGTCTAAACTGACTTTTGCGACAATAATCCCCGGTAGGGATTACAAAAATTCAAAAGCAACACATCTCACAAAATGGAGGATGATGTAAAGAACGGAAGAAAGTTAAAACTGCACAATCTCGCGAATAATTCGTGTGAACAGTTAAGCTTATATAGAAATGTACATTGTTCGTGACGCCGGAATCTTACTGCAATTACTCGCGCGAACAAATCGGCAAAGTTCATTTTCTTAGCTGTTCTCTTGGGCGAGGGAACCTCAAAGAAAAAACGTACTGGTAAACAGACATAACTAGAGAACATTATAAAATAGTTACTCACATCTCCATCGGCACCACCGGGCATAATAACAACCCCCGTTGACCGCCGTTTTTCTCTCAAATGTCTCTTTGCCTGTCTCTTATGCGCGCTGTTTTCGCTCTTTCTGTCTTTCTTGAGGCTTTTCTTTGGCGATGTTTCTTCCGTGGCTGCTGTGGCCCCTTCTACGGGTGCCTCGTCGTTGGCATGTGTTTCAACCTCTTCTTTAGGTTTCCGCCTTTCTCTTCTGTCTCGTCTCGCAGATTCTACCCGATCGCCAGTGCTTGCGAGGTCATTTGCGACTCCGCTATCATCTAAACCTGGATTGTTCCGTTCCTTCGCTGGCGATGAAGTTCCGTCCATACCATCGCCATATCGATTAGCTCTGTCTCTTGCCCTTCTTTCATTCCTGTCTCTCTTGTGTTTAGTCTTGTGAGGTTCAGTAGGATAACTTTCATCCGAGACGTCCGCCATAATTGCTAACAAGAGAAGCCGTGCAAGGCGACAGCTCAACTTCCCGCGATGTTGCTTGGCGAAGAAACCCCTCAATTGTGTCCGTTATGTCATTAGGTAGCACAGAAAAATCTCAACTCGGGATTGCAAGCTTTTCCGTCTTGGTTTGGTGAGTTTCTGTGGAGGAATTTAGGTCACAATGGCGTAAAAATTCTTGAAAACAACCCAAGCAAGCAGCCAGCGTGCATCAAATTTACCCAGAATTTTGTGATTGGGTACAGCGGACATGCGCAGAGCGACCGTGGCCCAATTCCACCCGCGAGCTGTGATTGGTTGCCCTGGAAGACAATATAGCTCGTATAAACCTCACCAACTGACACACCAAAGATGTAATTGGAGACTAGTGAAAACCACATTCCACCAATAAACACATTTCTATCGGTCAATCAGATGCATGCTTCTGGAAATGCCCGAGATATTTTTCTATTCTAAGCATATCGAAGGAGCTGCCACGTAAAACAAGGCGAATAGGTGAATCGGGAACTGCTCCAAACCAGAATGTCATGGTCTATGATTTCATTAGAATGCACTGGAGCATATCTGAGTGAACCCGGACGGCAGTAATTGAATTTAATCTTTTTTGTTTACTTTGAATATAAAATTATTCTGACATTTGTCTTGATAGTATTGTTTCTGACTTTTTTTTTTCAAAGTTTATACTTCTTACATTTAGAAATGATTTCCACTCGATCTAGCTGTGATTGTCTGAACAGTTGATCAGTGTATAACAAGGACAAGCCTAAAAAAAGATGTGATAAAGACAATACAATAATAGAAAGGGAAATGATTCAGCATTCTGAGATCCCTGCTTCCTGCTGCTTGTTAGACAGGAAAGATGGAAACAAGTGTTTGGCACAGACAACTGACAAATAAACACAAAAAAGTACACTGAACTACGTCGCTGTCGACTTCGTTAATTGGGCCAGTCACATTCAGAATGACAGAGTAAAGGAAGCAAGACTAAGTACTTTTATATGATTTATATGATTTAACTTTAATAATTATCAAAAATGAAGATCGAAGGGACCATACAGGATTTATTTTTCTCTGGTGGCCTCATCATCTGTCAGTAACACATGATTGATGTTGATTGATGTCAAGAAGCTTCAAGAAATGTCCACTGAAAACAAAGTTTTATACTGAGGGACAGAATTGAGCGACATGGAACCGACAATTTTTTTTTTTTTAATTGAAGGTAGGGCTGATCGGACAGCTAAGAGTTGGTAATTTACAAATTTATTTTCCCAATATTTCGACTAGGGTATATGTTTTCAATTTCAATTCTAGATCTCTGACGGATACATAAGATATATCATCGAAATTGTGATAGACTCAAGTAAAGGAATAAAATAAAATAAGAATTCAAAGATAAAAAAGGATAAAATTCGAAAATATATTGAAGATACAAAGATAAAAGTTAGTCACATGATATGTCAGGTGACCATTTTGTTAAAAATAGTAAAAGCTAAGTGAGAATAGTACACCAAGGTTCCAGCATAATACAAATATAAAATAAAATGTGATTGGTGGGGAAACAGAATAGACGAAAACTTATTCTATTTTCTGTGTTTTATGGTATCTTACGGGTCTTAGTCTTTGTTTTAGTGTTTTATGGTCATTTTCAAGGTGACGTCTTTTTACTGCTAAGACCAGACTCATCTCGTAATTTCTTTAAGATTTAAATTTAGTAATCCCAGATAACAAACATAGATAACACAGATAACAAACGCCCTAATATGCTCGAGAAAGCAAAACCCTGAAGCATAAAAAGTACGTTTTTTTTCAAATGGCCTATTTGGAAGAGACCTCCAATCCGTTGCTTGAGGGTATAGGTTTTCAATTCCAGATCTCTGACAGATACATAAGATATATCATCGAAATTGTGATAGACTCAAGTAATGGAATAAAATAAAATAAGAATTCAAAGATAAAAAGGATAAAATTCGAAAATATATACAAAGATAAAGGTTAGTCACATGATATGTCAGGTGACCATTTTGCTAAAAATAGTAAATATTCACGACAAATTGGTAGCTGGTTTAAGAGAAGAAATCGAGTAATATATATTTTTTTTATCCATATCAAATATTTCTAACACTTCACGTTTGGAATGACCGTCCATCGCACTTCAATTAAAAGTTATAAGGGTAAACATCATTTTAAATGTCCTAATTTCATCATGAATTATTTAAGAACTTTAATTTCAAACTTCGCGTTTCATTCATTTCAAACGTAACAAGCTAGGTATGTTTACTCTATCAGAAATGCTAATTTATTTATCCAAACAAAGTAAATTCGCCACTAATTTCCCAATTTCCATCGTTTTCAATTTTTGGTCTCGTGACATGTCACGTGACCACAATGAAACGCTAAGGGAAAAGACGACCTCAAGATTTACTTCGGGGGAAAAATTGTCTCCTAGCCGGAGATATTACCAATCAATCATATGCTCCGAACACACCTTTGACCCAGGCCACATAAATTGCACATGAAACTTGTTACACTGATGTAACAAGTCAAGAAGATGATTTTAAAAAGTAATAAAAAGTGGGAGTCACCACGTTTGTTTTGACAAGAAACAACCACAAGCGCGCGAAAATTCCAATAGCGTTTCTCTTCAGTCAACTTCATTTTAATAATGTTACTTTAGATGCTCCTTTTTACGGCGGTCATCTTGTTATGCGCAGTAAGAGATGCGCGGTGCAAAACTGGCGAATCACTTTAAGCCCCTTGCGCCGTGACTGCGCGTAAAAGAGAGTTTTAATTAAACATCAAAATGCTTCTATTTTCATGTTGTATTAATCCCCAACATGGCCGCCTTGTCACGTGGCTGCAACCAAGAATCTTCAGTGTCGGGATGTAAGCAGAGTAGAAAAAAAAAGCTTTTTAAACGTTTGAGGAGAAAATTTTGCTTAGCTTTTTCAATCTTTTCTTTATTCTAAATGGCCACAACTTTTAATAGAGGGCCCACCAACAACCAAATTATTTTCTCGGAATTTTAATTCCACCAAGTTGTACGCGCATGAATAAATTCCATGTCATCACATTTTATTGAACACCTAAACGCTTATAATATGTTTCGTGGCAGTGCTCATGAATTAAAAGACAATACGTCATGTAATAGGCATGAAGAGGGGAGACATAGGGAGCTTAGACAGGCAACGGCAACAAAAACGTCGCCCAAAAAGTGAATTCGCGCTGTTTCAAACTTCATCGCTCTTATTCCAACTCCTTTAATGTGTCAAATGTTGGCGATCTTTCAGGAGTTGAATTCTAAAGGACTGTATCTAAGTTCAGAAAAACAAAATGAAAATCATTGTCTTGTGTTCACGCCAGTCCATAAAACGTGAAATTACGAAGTTTCACGTCATAGTCGTGCAGTGACGGCTAGGAAAAATACAAAAAAACGTGATGTACGTGCAAAGTTATTGTTTTGCCAATGTAAACCTATTGCTTCTTTACCGTTCTCGTTGACGTCGCCGTTGCCGTTGCTTAATCTCCCTATTCTTGACTCAGATCATACACGAAAACAGGTCGGAGGGTCAAGTGAGGCTCTGGCGACGAGAATAGATAATATGTTAATAGGTATAGAGCATGCGCTTACCATTTGCAAACTTATCCAAACTGGATGTCGTTTACGAAATATGCACTGTTGTTCATACAGTTAAATTTTTTGGGTGACTGTAAGATATAGTAAATATGAATCATGAACAATGCAAAGAAAAGTACCAAGCATGTAACTGAACCACTGAAAGAGGCAAGGCTGATTTTACAGTCGGGAATATATATATTTTTGTTATCAATATTTCGGAAGGCACGGCGCGGCCTTCCTTCTTCAGGGTCTTTAATACAGATGCTGATGACTAGGTTAAGCTAAGACGTTACAATTTAAAATGAAGGGTAGCGTCCAATAACATGTAGAAATTAAAAAAGGAAAAAGTGAACGTTGAAAGCCAAAATAGGAAAACAAAAACCGTTGAAGTCGTTATATAAAAGAAATTTGAAATGTAAAAATAGTATGAATGAATAAAAATGGAAGAAATAAGGAATGTATTACATTTCATCTTTCTTATTAATACCCAAGGGTTCAAGAGTTTTGCCGCTCGCGAAGAGGTATGCTTATCTAACTGAACCAAAAACGATGACCATTCACTTCGTTTACAGGCAAAAGGTATCTCAATTCAGTCTGTGTCGAATCACTTCAGGCCCCGGTTTTTCAAAAGTTAAATAGCCTTATCCATCTGATAAAATCACTATCCAGCGAATAATAAGTATGAGGGAAACCAATTATTTTAACCATAGGACAGATTTATCCGTTGGAGGATAGCATTATCATCCACCTTTTGAATAGACTGCAAAACAGTCGTATTTTTCTCAAAGTCAGTTTAGTGTAGCCTAAGAGTAGCATAAGAGCCGAAGCGCGCGAAAAACCCCTTTCTCGCTCTCCGTTTTTCAGCGTCGCTCCAGACCTTTTGTTTGACTGTTCGCGCGTAAGTACGTAAAACTACGGACTGTTTTTGCAGTCTAACTTTTGAACAACTGGGACAGGGAAAAACCAGACCAGCAACTGACGAATGTTGATCCTCAGGGGATGAAAATGGTTTAGTTACATTGAGTGAAGACTGATTACAATTGGCCGTACTGGGACTGACGAATAATCGATCGAAGAAACCAGTCAATTATAAATAATTTGCGTAATGATACTTATGGACGATTCTCCGGGCCCACCAGGGAATTCATGAAAAGAAACCATGCTTCTCTTTATGTCAGTAATTAACGTAGTCCTCTCTCTTTCTTAAAGCAACCAAGGTCTTAAACCATATTTTCCCTAGACATTCACAATCACACTGACAAAATAAAGGACAGATTGAATTGAAAATTCAAAGTATGGTACAATGCCTATAGTATCGGGTATAGACAACGTTACAAAATGTATTCCCTGCAGTCAGAATGATGCCATATAGCCTTATCCAAGTCAGGAAGTAGAAAACCGGTTTACATACTTAAGTTTTCTTTCTTTCTCGATACTAGATACTGCGATAAGCTAAGTCCTGAAATAAAATGAGTCTCCTCTCCGAGTGAGGCTCCTCTCCCACCATCAAACGTATTTTGATGAGAGAGAATAAGTGACAAAGAAAAACGGCCTTCTGGGGGCCTTAATAGAAAACCTACGGTAGGTTTATTTTTAGCCATAACATAATTAAGACAAACCAAGATCATTTTTTCTTTGTTTTCATTAGATATTGGAATATGAGATTAGTTATAGGTGCGGCACTTACGATCCAGTTCTTTAAACAAGTTTCATTTGGTCAATCGAGATAGATACCTTTGGGTGGCCTTTGGGTATCCAATTCACCGCTCTAATATAGATCTTAATATACCATACAACCCAACCTGCAAAACCGGAAAAAATTTGATTCTCTTTAAGATCTTTTATATCTTATTCCAGGTGAGTCACGGAAATTTTGCTTACGTTTTCAAGCGCGGTGTTTTTCAATTTACTGGTATTTCAGAAATCTTAAAAGGCTTTTGGTAAAATCTGGTCAAGTATTTCCTAACTAGGAGGAAAATACGTACTTAGATTTGTATTTTCACTTTTTTCCCAGCCGATCAAATTTTCCTCTCCCCCCACTTCCGCCTCCCACCCGGCTCGAATTTTATGAGTAGATTTCAACTTGTATAATTTATATCTGATTTTCATATTACGTGTGTAAAAAAGACGGAGAAATGTGCAACCAGAAATGTCCAACACAAGACGGAAGGGAAGATTTTATCAGATGTCCCCACAAGAAACTGTGGAATAATGCTGACCACTAAGGTTCATGAGTGCTATGACTCCTTATGCAGATTACTTCATTACAACCTCAAGGGACACAAACACTACCAACGTATTACGCATGGGCGCGTCCGTTTCATCCAGTGTGTGGTAGCTGTTAGTGCCTTTTATGGGTCCTTTTAGACTCTTCACAGCAGAGCCCCACTCAACACTCAGCGCGTATCATGTACATTTTTGTGGACCTAACAGTTGTATCTATAGCTATCACCGTATGCGCGATGGCCGTGCACATGCAGAGTAAAGCTCGTGCCATACCCATGTTGGCTTTGTAAATCAACGATGCAAGGAATGAAACGTGATCGCACCATTAACTAGGCATTGGCTTTCAACTTTGTAATTATGAAGGGATACCCGGCGTGGAGAAGAACTCATACATGTAAATTCAATAATCATCCCAGAATCTTTTTGGGAACTGAGCACCAGCTTTTGGCACTAAGCTTTCTTGGCTCATTTAAGGAAACCAATTCGACTTTCTTAAAGTCCTTTATTTTATTTTCCTAGTTGGTTATGCCATTTTAAAGTCTACCCTTGGACAAGCAGTAGCGAGGGAAACTTTGTTTTGTTCCATTTTGTCCCATTATCCCTGAAAAGCCCCATATATAAGAAAGGAGGATTGCTAAGTATTAAATTTAATTAGCAGTTAATGAATGAGGCTGAGTAGGATCGAAGAGGGTTTTATCCACAGAGGCCAAAGGCCGAGGTGGATAATATCCTCCGAGATCTGCATAATTTTTCACATCCTACGAAAGCCGAATTCATTAATTGTTTTATTATTCATTCAAAATAATTCCTAGTTTAAAAACATAGCAAAAACATGCTTACCTGCATCGATGTTAAGTTTATCTTCGATAGTGTACGTTTAGGTTTGTCCGGCCCCGCAAATATTCTCCAAATAGCAGATGTCGCCCTCCGAGTCGTCTTCTTGCTCTTTTTGCTATGTTTTTAGCCATTATTTTGCCTAGTTCCAGCTGTAGTCCTTACTGTTGAAACGAGAGAAGTGTCCACCATTTTAGTTTTCACAACGGAAACAACTCAACCTCGTCCCCAGGTCTTCTCGGTTAACGGTGCAATAATCTGTAGAAGGCTGCATTTTTGACGTCATTTCCTCGTCAGACACAAAATTCTTCCAAATTTGGTCATCAGTAACTGGTTATGGTGAATTATGCGTGTGCCTTTAGCCAATTAGAATTAAGGACATATTTTGAATGAATAATAATATGTTTTAATAGGCGCATTTTAACTACTGAGATGATAAAATATAGTTCTTTAATTTTCCTTTTATTTTCCTCCCAATTTGCCCCTCTATCCACCCTAAGCGATAACTCCGTCGGGTAAAAATATTGGTTCTCTGTACTGAAATGTGCATGGGAGTTCCCTTGCCCCCGAGCTCATTAAGCATGGGGGCGGGGTAGAATAGGGAAGAACGCATCCAAGCTTCATGGTCGTTGGTCATAAGTTTTAGTTGTCCCTTCTTGCTCTTATGCGGGGTGCGGTAGTGGACCGGTGTTGTCGGAAGGATGCACTGTTCGGCCAACGCCTATGGAGGTTTTGCATTCTTTCCATGAAAGGAGATCAAATTGATAGTTCCACGTTCTTTATTGGTGGGTTCACGAAACAGGACGGTAGGAAGAAGAGGGCAGTAAAACATTTCCTTCAAACAAACATGACAGGGCTATTACTAATGTACTATAAGTTTGAAACAACACAAAATAAAAATTTAAACCAAAAATAAAATTGAACCACAACAGAGACATCAATCTGAGAGTGCTTTCCATTTGCCAGAACTAGCCGACCGGACCATTACCAGACCAGTCAGTTAGCAAATGAAATAAGCTTTTTCTAAGAGTTTTTGAGCAAAAACCATCTTCTTCGTGCATACTATTTAGGATTTGTCTAATCTGGCTGGATAAGTTTTGATTTAAGGTGAAATTCTCACTATGACGGGAATGGTCTAGCCGGTCAGTTCTGACAAACGGGAAGTGCCCTAAAAGAGACACTTTGTACCGATCCCAATGTTGTTTGTCGGGATCAATTTAGGTTTCAGGGAAACTGACCACCTACCCCTCCCCTAAGCCATCACTTCCTTCTAACTTAGGGCAAAATGTTGGCTTAGGGGAGGGGTGGGTGGTCAGTTTCCCAGAAACCTAAACGTAGAGAGAAATGACAGTTATTCAAGAGAGAGTAATTTGACTGAGAGGGAATCTTGGAGTGTTGGCCAGGATATTTGAATGTCACGTATGTTATTTTTATTTAGAGGTTGTAATAGGCCATTTTCGAGTTGCTCCAAGCCTCTGTTTCAATGCGAGGCTAAGTGCGAAACCATTGATATCAAAACAATTGTTTTATACTCATGCAAATATAACTCTTTTGCACAAGAAAGGTTTCGCACTCAGCCTCGTTTTGAAAGTGAGTTCTTGGAACTCGGGAATGGTCTATTAAACGGAAGTACTATTCCGCAGATTTTATTTGAATTTGAAACGTCATCAAGTCCAAGCTCGACTGCATTTAAAGCAAACAATGCAGGATACTGTAATGGCGACTGTTGAATTCTCTATAAGCCACTTGCACATCTCCTATAATGCCCCTCATTTGCCCCCCAAAATTTTGCATAAGCATTGTTTTCAATTTCTCTTGAGACGGCTGTAATACCCAGTAGAGATGAAAAACAAAGGTTATGCAAAATTTGGGGGGCTAATAAGGTGCATTATGGGAGATGTGCAAGTGGCGTATTGACAAAACTGAATAAAAATTGGCGGACCTCTCCGGTAACAAACTTTCCATTAATTTCAAGCGTGTAATTGACCTAGAAATAACTCTGGTGAAATTCACATATCCCAAGGGCTAGACTAGGCGTTCCCCCCTCTCTCCTATTTTCAAATCTCTCTTAATAAGGACTGGTAAAATCAGATACTAAAGCACACTACAACACATTTAAAGGAGACTTGTATATTTATAGCAGTTAGGGTTCCATAACAGTGTCTTCGTCAACACAGAACCAACAGATGGGACAGAATAATTAATACAAGGCTATTAGTTTTGTCCATTAATTATGTACTAAAATACAAAGACATAGCAAGTCCTTCTACTTGTAAAGTTATATATTAAAGTCGCGTAGTGCCAAATACACATTTAGAAACCAGCCTCGTTGGGCAACAGGAAACAACAAGCTTCTATCTGGGGCAGAGCCAATGCAGTCCTTTCTTACGAGTGGATTCCACTAAACAGCGAAAGGAATATTTCAATTTGTAATTTCAATACGATTGCAACATCAAAAATAGGTGGCAATGATTTGTCGGCGCACACCACAATTGCTAACGAATGACGTGTACATTGAGTTTTGTAAGCGCAGTAGTTGTACTGGATATACCACCTAAGACAAAGTTTCTATGCCGTTGAAAGGTGAATAAAAACCACGCTATGAGGGATGGCTTTCCTAAAGGTATCACTAAACCAGCTTACTGTTGAGAAGGAAAGAACTGAATGACGTTTCCGCTCCGGAGAAAAACCACTCAAATTCTCTTTCTCAAATGCATCTGATTTACAGTTACAAGGCGACTAAAATTTGTCGAAGTGCCTTGAATGGCGTTTTTCAATTAGGATATTTTGGCTCTACCTCCTCACTTTAATTGTATAAGGTTTCAATACCTTCAGTCTCAGGGACTCGAGCACTGACTTCGTAAAATCCTCGTTAAGGACCCGACTAGAATTTCTTTTTCTTATTAACCAATCAGAACTGTTTCTACCACACGTTACTTAGCAACGACCGACAAGAACTGTGCTTTGTGACTGACAACGGTGCTCGGGTCCCCGACTGCTTTTGAAAGAACCAATCAGCAACTACGCCTAACCCTAACTACTTCATATCATCGGAATTTATGAGCACAATAACAAAGATACAATATAATAAATGTTAATTTCAATACAATTATATTTGCAACGGCGCGGACCATTTCGAGATAACAAGTTGCTTTGACTGCTATTAAATTCCTCTTTTTTTCTTCCTTTTTTCATTTGCTAAATTTAATTTGCAATCAATCAATCATTACTGAATCGCGACACAGGGAAAAGGTTTAATCGTACTCATTCATTTCTTTCTACATCAAGCAACTGCTTCATTTTGACTGAATCGTCTATGCAAAAAAGTTGTACAAAACTACACTTTACTACAGAAGTCGAATCTTCGCCATTCGTTTTATTGATCATTACAACACTAAACCCTAAACAATGTAACAAAATAGAAAAGCTCCCGGCAGAGGAAAATTCTGCGGATAGCTAACGAAAGGTACTTGGTTCGAAAAACCCTGGATATACACCTATAGAAAACTGCAAAATAATATGCAGAAAACGAGAGCTTTTCGAAGACATTCACAAATTATTTAATTGTAAAATCTTTTTATCTTTCTTAGTTCACTTTTGACAGCGACAGTTTTGACTTTGTTTCTTCGGCTACTTCACTTACTCTCAATTACAAAACATACACATATCTACACAAGAAGAAGAAGTACGCGGGCGACCTGCCACCCCTTCCACCTAATGTAATTACGAACCTCTGGGTAGTGGTCTCGTACTGGATAAATAGGTACAGTTTTAAAGACCAAGAAAAAACAGCTACCACAGCCTTTGCTGTGGATATTAACCTAAGTAATCTTTTTCAGTCATTGCTATTATGTCCCAGAGATGATGGTCAAGTTGGAGGTCGCGATAACTTGCTTATGACGCGGATTAGCGCACCGTTCTCATCTTTAAGCCGCTGGTTGTCCGCTTTCAAGTCCGACAGTTGCTGTGGAATACAAAACGATGATCAGTCTACACGAATTCTCCTTCGGGTGATGAAATTAGAAATAAAACAAACTGGACGTGCGCATGAAGGCCCTGCTTACTTAACAAAAATTGACAAGGTCAAGAAAAAGCTCAAGACTTATCTTTTTAGGGAAGCGTTTTTATCAAATTAGTCCTTTTGTGTTTTAGTCGTTTTGATGGAAAGTCTTTTTTTAATCTAGTAGTTCTGTTATATTTAATTTGTTTATTTTGTTTCACTGTAATGTTATTTCACAATTAATGTAATATTTTTATGAACAATATTTGTTATCAAAAATTTATTGTAAAGCGCCTTTAGACATCAATGGAAATGAAAAAAAATAAAAATAATAAAAATTAAAAATAAAGCACCATCATCGTCATCATCATCACTATTATTATTATTATTATAATTAAGGGAAATAGCAATTCCCTCCACCTTCCCTGGTAGAGGGGGTGCACGGAGATGAGCTGTGGTCAAGTTAAAACGGATCTCCGTTGGCAAGAAGACAGTCGCCTTTCCCTGATGCCAACTGCACGGCGACTACTGTCCAATAGTAGGGAGCTTAAGCAATTACGACGGCTACAACAACAAGAACGGCAAAAAAGCAATAGGTTTAGATTGGCATAACAACAACTGTGCACGTGCATCAAGCTTTATTGTAGATTTCTTTGCCTTCACAGCACGACTACGACGTAAAATGCCTAATTTCACGTTTTTTGGAGGGCGTGAACACTAGACAACGACTTACTTTTTGTTTTCCTGAACTTCGATAGCCTTACAGAATTCAACTCCAGAAACAATTGCCATCATTTCACGAATTGACAAGATGGAATAAACGCGATAAAGTTTGAAGCAGCGCGAATTCCGCACTTTTTAAGTAGCGTTTTCGCAGCTCTCGCCGTCGTTGTTGCTTAAGCTCCCTCTTTCCGTATCCGTAGAGGTTAATAATACCGCGGACAAAGCTTTATGGTTAATTGAATCAACAGAGAGAAAAGGTGATGTTACACGAGACGATTGACAACGACGATTTTGAGCGCAACACAGCGTTAAAATGTTGGAACAATATTGTAACTATTCGAAACAGTGTCGCAACAATGTTGCTGTGTTGCGCTAAAAATCGTTCTCAGTCCGAAGAACCCAGCGTGGTTCTAACACTGGAGGATGGCTATGAAATCTTTAACTTCGCGGTGGAATAAATACCAGGTTGACATACCTTTAGATCGTCATCTACATTAGCGTATTTTCTTTCAAGCTCCTCTTTTGCCTGGAAGGAAAACGATAATAATTAGACTGGAAGAATTTGCCACGCGTCGTTCTGGAACAGGCGCAAAACAAATTACAGATTAAATAAAATATGATCGTGACGTACTTGTAAGGCCTTTTCTAATTTAATCTTATACTCTTGAAGTTCTAATTGCGCCTCTTGTAGCCTTTCTTTCAACTTCTGTGGATCCGTTTCTGTTATCGTAGTTGCGTTTGCCTGCAGCACAAAACAAATTGTTAGTAACCTTGAATGAACAGAGATGAAATATAGAAACTCGTTGCGTATTTGCACTGCGCTTGGACGTCAGCATAAAGGTTTCTCGGTTCTGCCATCTGACTATTTAGTAGCCTGTGCAAGGCTCTCGGTCAGTGTGGACAAGCGAACAAACCACGCTAGCAATGAAATAACAAACGAGAGAAAAACAGCGAGAAGACAGACGGGGGAGCCCTTCTCAAAGCAACTTTTTAAATCCGCCCACTTCCTCAAAAACCGTTTCTGGTGTCAAAATGTCAAAACTGATGTCAAAACGTCAAAAGGTGCAGTGTAAGGTCAGCACCAGTTTACTAGTGACCCACCCGGGTGTGATTGCGCAACCTCCTGAGCAAGCCTGCGGCTAACCAGCTGAGCTAACTAGGCGGCCGGCAGCAATGAGCGAAATATAATAACTGAGATATGTAGTAACGTTGTACCTACCTTAGAGGTACCAAATGGTCCTTTAGAGTCACTGGTCCTAAGGAAGAGAGACAAGGTAATATTAAGAAACTTATCAGTAACAAAGTCCTACGCTCTTAAGTTAACACACTGGAAATACAGACCGCTCGCTCGTCCATCACGGACGCTTGCAAGACAGAGTAGAACAACAAACAAACTAGGTATTAAACGTCAAGAAATTGAACAAACCTGCCACTTCTTATTCTGTCTGTAGAACTCTGCAAGAAGCAAGAAACAAAATACGCATCAGTTAAATTCTTTGTACGGTACAAGGCCAGCAAGAAAAAGGTCGTTTCGAAAGCCGGGGAATCAAATAATTAGACCCATCTTTGGCAATACCTCTATCCTGTACTACTCAATCTTAAAAACCAACTTATGCAAGAATCTACCCCTTGCAGTCTTTGCAAAGGAGTGACCATTAAGAACCAAATGAAAGTTTGTGTCTACTATGACCCTGAAGCTCTGGCTCTGGAGCTCTTTACGAAGCAATCACAACATTGAAAAGAAAAGAAAAAAAACATTTAACCAGTTAACACCCATAGTCAAACAAAGGAAGACAACTATTTGAGTTTGTGGATGGAAATACTATGCTGTGACTATTTAAATTAAACTTTTTAGCAGCACTTGATAATGGTTTTATTTCTTTATCAAAACTCTACAAATAAAGGCATCCTAGACTTCTCATTAACTCTGTGCTGTCGGAGGAACAAATGGGTTAAATATTTTACAACGACAGGGATACTGCAGCTGGGTCTTTAGACCAGTACTCATGCTTGATGATGACGCCCATTACCTTTGTATCTTCGTGTCTTGTTTCCTGGGATCTTCGTCTGCCGCTTACAGGCCCTTTTTCATCATTGTCTAGATTGGTGTTCTTCTTGGTATCTTTGACCTCCTCGGTTTCTTCCTCGTCGCTCTAAAAAGGAAAAGCCAAACTATTCAAGACAGGAAAAGGTTGCATTTATATATTCACTGGAAGGTTTAGTTTTGTTTTACAGTTTTAAGCAACGAATGGCCTGGAGTGCGAACAGGAGGAAGCCCGGATAGTCTAGTTACTTGATTCTGCTTCAACTGGACATCCCTTTGGAACTTGTGCTATAGAATGCTGTATATGTGGAGCTCCCTGGCTATCCCACCCTTTACCTTCGGGGGAGAAGCTGGGTGAGTGTCATTTTTTCAGATTTGAGCAACGAATGGGTGCTGACAAAAGGAGGCCCACAAAGTCTAGTTGCTTGATTCTGCTTCAACTCCACATCCCTTTGGAACTTATGCTGTAGAATGCTGTACACGTGGAGCTCTCTGGCTAGCCCATCCTCTACCTATTGTAGCTAGGGGTTAAATGAACACCCCCCTTCCCTTGCAAATAGAGGTAATTATCTGGGCACCCACGGGCTTTAAAAGCTGAAAAAGCTACCACCCCTGACTAACATCCTGTGGCTTTTTCTGACGAGAAGCTGGGGCCTTTTATACACCCCCCACACCCCCCCCCCCCCCCCCCCCCCCCCCCCCCCCCGCGTCCACGGCCCCCCCCCCCCCCCCCTCGAAAAAAAACCCCCCCCCCCCCCCCTCCCCCCCCCCCCCCCCCCCCTGGTCTCAGCCCCTCCACCCCCCCCGCCCTCTGCTTCCCCCTCCCCCCCCTCACCCCCCCTCCTCTTTTAGTATGGGGTTAAAGGGACCCCCCCCTTCCCTTGCAAAAAAAGGGTAATATCTTGGCCCCCCCCGGCTTTAAAAACTGAAAAAGCTACCCCCCCCGAATAACCTCCCGGGGCTTTTTCTGACGGGATGCCGGGGCCTTTTTTACCCCCCCCCCCCCCCCCCCCCCCCCTTCTCTCGCTTCCCTGGCGGATAAACGGAGCTCCCAATCTCCAGGCTTAAAAAGCTACCGCTCCATGCCCCACTTTACCCGCTACCCCTCGAGTGAGGTTCAAGTACTCACCCCTCCGCGGCGTTTTAGTCTCCTTGCCCTCCGTAAACGCGCTGCAGCTGTTAATGATGAGTCGTCATCCTCTTTTTCCTTCTCCTCTTTCTCTTTTTCCTTTTCTTTGTCAAACCTGGAGCGACGATAGCTGGGCATCTCACTGTCCTTCTCTTTTTCCTTCTCCCGTTCTCGCTGTCTTTCCCTCTCCTTCTCTTTCTCTTTTTCCTTCTCTCGCTCTAGTAGCCTCCTTTTCCAGGCAGGGAGCTCCGCCTCTTCGTTCTCCTTGTTGCGCCCAGCCTTCCTGCCGTCCAATTCGTTCCGGTCGTCGGCGGTGCCGCTTAACCTGTTCCGTCGACTAAGTAAGGAGTCCGTTGTGGAGGAGGGTCTTGTCGATGACGATTTAGTTTCGTCTCGGGAGCTTCGGCCGCCCGAAGAGTCCTAAACAAGCAACAAAAATAAGAAAAATCTCTCCATTGATGGCTAGGAAATGATATGGTCTTACTTTATACTCACTGTTCGTACAAAGCAACCCTACGATAAAACTGCTTGAACGGAAGATGAAACGATCCTCCCGATGAAAGGTACCTGTTTTATTCCGGCCAGTAAGCGATGTCTAACAGTTGCTTTCAACCTCCAAAAATCAGTGAAGTCAAACTCCTCTTTTTGCCCCATGATTCACAAGAGCACTAAAACGGTACTTACACACAATACGTCAAATATCATAAGATGCTACTCCCTAGAATTTTGTCAGTGTTTTACAGATGAAACCAACACCGGCTTGTTACATTTTCACTGGGATAGCTCTTACTGGCTGAAAGCACGCCCCTTTATTCATAAATATGCATTTCAGGGAATGGTAGAAAACCGACCATTTAAGCTAATAACCTCAAGGGTACTAATAAGGACTACTTAGGGATCAGGTAATTAAGGGTTGATTACTCGAGGGACAAATTCGTTGAACGCCTCAAATTAATTGGAGGCAAGAACAGCTAAAAGGGCTGTCTATAAAACTACACACTGTTAATCCGAACAACAAGATCTCCATGGAATGGATTTGTTAGCTCAGGAAGCCCAGATTGATTGACAACTTAACATTCCATTGGCGTTTAATTAATTTAATGTGCTGCAAAGTAAACAGTTAGCTTCTAAAACACAAACGTTACGCAAGGACCTAAACGATGCAACATGATGCATATTCTGGAGGTTAAAAACCCTGAGTAAGCGTCAAATTACGTGAACGCCCTAACGAAAATCTTTCTGGCATGCATGACGGGCGTTTATTGTAACTAAGTGTCTGTTTCGAGTGCTGCCAGTGGGCCTGCTTCGTTGATGCCGCTTTGCGAATAACAACATACATAAAATCCTGTAGAATGATCTGTTTACTATTGAGTTAAGTTCTACCTATTCTAACGGGCCGCATTTCCAAACAGGCTAAGGTAAAGCGCTATCAAGTTTACATTCCCAACGCGACTTGAGGTAATTATGTTGCTGACTTAAATCAACCTCAGGTGACGAAGAAGGCTTGACGTCTGATGGTTAAAACAAGCAAAACTCGCCAAACAGTACCCTTGTGAGACATCATAGAGCTTACTGGAAACTGAGTTTGGATTGAGATGAATCCAAAAGGCGCAAATTATTGAAATTCATCTTAGCAAAGTGTAACAGACGCCCCGGGCTTCTTGCAAAATGGGTGTCAATGAAACACGTTACACCACTTAAACACGATAAGCTAATTATCCACTTAAGTGTTCATTCTCGCGCGCTATCATACAAGAGATCTACGTTCAGCATTTGAGCATGAATAGCTCGTCCGACCGTGAACAATTGTTGGCATTTCAAGGCTATTTCATTAACAAAATGACAAGATCTGCAAAACAACACTTTGCCGCTACGAAGAGCGCACGAGATAAAATGTTTAAACGGACTCACACTCTGTGTTTTATTACGCCCTGCTGTGCAGAAGGTGTTTATGACCTGAAGAGATTACCTCCGAATTCAAATAAAAGTTTCCGCTTCTCAATAGCCCATAAACCTAGCCATGCAATTGCAAATGACATCGGTGAATTGAATAATGAAACTCGTTGTCAATAAATAAAGTAACTTTTTCAAAAGCAACACGGCACCGCGATACACAAACAAGTTGATCCGCGCTTGGCTTGACTTCAGCTTGACCCCGCCGGGTAGTTCGATAACTTTGTTTTTAGCGTTACAGACCCGATAGAATTTGCACACATCACGAGGAACTTTCACGCGAATGATATTTAAAAGAACTTAGCGGCGACGAGTCGATATCTCGTCAAACCAAGCTGACGCTTTAGATAGCAAGCTCGGAATATGTTAGAGCAGCGTTGTGTTGACAAACAGCCACGAGTGCGGACACTGAAAAATGTAAATCAGCTTTGCCGATAGCTGGGTCGATTAATTACATCAAGGAAACGTCCAAACAAGGAATTTTCATTATAATCCCGCCACTATTATTGTGTTTAACCTTACAAAAACCTTCGCATATATGTTACCTGCGTTCGTCCTGTATAGTTTTTGTAACCTCCATCACTCGGTTGATCGAAGCGGCGTGCGAGGTACGACATGAGTTGAGAACCGCTTCACATGCACAGCACAGTGTCAGAAACGAGACACTAGTGGAAAAACATCCACTGCGAAACAACAGGTCTTCACAGAGAAATTGCGTTCAACAGCTTCTTGGCCTAGATCAGATTACAGTTTCGCCATTTTTTATTATTATTATTATTTTAATGGCGTGTAGCAAACCACGAAACAGGCCCAGTGCTCAGGCCCTCAAATGAATAATTAATGATTTGCACGGCTAATTACAGAAGCAAACCTCCCTCCCCAAAGCGACTCCTTTAGAATTTCCACAGACGCTATTAAAATGAACAATTGCCTCAAAGACACCTTGTCAACACAATCAGCTAGTAAATCTCTCAGTTATCTGTAGCAGTGTGCATACCTGCATGACTGTAATGAAACTATGACAATTCGATTCAGTTTTTTCTTTAGTTGACACTGCTAGCTGTCATAATCCTCTTCGCTCGACTGAACATTACATTTATGGACGATTTGGTCAGCTGCACGATTCTTTGTTAACAGTGTCGAAACTTAATCTGTTTCGATTTTCGTCCTATTTTTACACCGCCCTTGTGTTTTTCAAGACATTTGTGCTCCCTTTTCGATTCAAATAATTAAAACGAGACAGAATAATAAGTGTTAGAGTTAAAGTTCACGCAGATGCAAAACAAACTGTCAAAAGCTCTACAATGCCAATATCAAGGGCAATATCAATTAAAGCTGGCAAACAACTATTTCACAAGGAAAACCGATTTTCAAGTTAGGGAGCCAAATAAAAGGATTGGAGGGATAACCCATAAACTGGAAAATATAACTTTCTCTTGCATAATTTCATATCATATTGATTATTAATGTCATATTGTTTTTTACTTAACAAATTTCACTTTCAGTACAGAACAAAATCTACTGGTTTTGTTGTTGCTTTTTGGCCATGGCAATTAAAATAATTTAAAATGGCCCAATTTTGTTTCAAGAATCACTTTTAAAAGTACCTAAGGGTTTCTTATATTTGTCTTTGCAACGGAAAGAATTGGAGGCTGTGATGTAAATATCTTGTTAAAAATCTTCTGAATATAATGGTTTTTATTTCCTAATGTTTTATATTTCCATCTATTTTTCATTCAAGGATTTTGATGTAATTACTTTGAAAAACTAGACTTATAGCGTGCGAGCAGGATCACATGTTGTTAGTGGGCCTTCTCGCCGGATTTCGCACTGGATACGCCACCTACTCCAGCTCGCTACCCTACAAGACAGCCAGCCCGTTAGCTTACCATTGGGACTGGCACCATACATCCCCCTACTAGAAAGCCAAAAACAGAATGAAGAAGTGAAGACACCCACAGTAAGAGTCAACTTAAGGCTGGTGCTGGTCTTATAAACGGCCAAAAAAAAATTGACTGCTCCAGGTATCCGTTTAGAGAGGGCAACAACCTGTAGGTGAACACCTCCCTTCGGTGGTGAGACACCTAAGGTGCTTTAGTATTTCGTTGGGTTTATTCAACGTTAAGAAAAAACATGTATAAAACAGTCATTGCAATAGCTTTCCACTTTTCTCAACATAGTGAGCTTTTTTTTTCGTTTTTTCGCTGAAAACGCTTCGCGGCCGAGAAAAATTTTGTTGGCAGTTTGCACCAATAGTATAGCAAATTTCTCTCGTTTGACCGTGGTCTTGGCTCTAACTCTTCTCTCACGCACACCTCTCTAAAATGGTCACCAGGAGCCTTGCCATCCTTGCCCCTACCTTTATCAGCAGCGTGCAAAGAAAGTCGTGTCCGATAGCCTAGGGCTAGTGGATTTTGCTATCGGGCTAGTGATTTTTGTTCTTAACTTGCCCAACGGGCAACTGCTGTTTTTTGGAGAAATTCAAGTTACAGAAGGATTGTAAACAATCCTGCTAATCAAAAAGGGTTTTGGACTAGATGAAATGACTTGTGGGCTAGTACATGTTAGCTACAGTTTGCCCGAATGGCAGGCTGTAAAACTGACTTTCTTTGCGCCCTGATCAGATTTTTCTATGAGGCGGAAATCTGTCTAGGAAGGAGAATTGGTAGACATACTGGCCCAAACAGCGTACGTCTCGAAGAAAAATATAACATAAATTACAGCTATCACACGGCAAATAAGGGATTTTGAACAGGACCTCAACAGGGTAAATAAACACCATATGAATCGACACCATACACTCATAGAAAGAGTATGAGCATTTGGCCACCACTGACATGGAATCAGCGTACGCACGCTGGTACCAGTACCAAAGACGAAAATTTGGGCCCATCCTAGCCTCGAAGCGTTCTTAAGTAAGCTGAAGTAAGGCCATAGCTGGCAAAAGGCATGACAAGGCACTTGCCTTCTTTAGATTTTAACCCGCAATTTCGAAAAAAATTATCATCTTAGTTGAACAAAATAGATCTATTTTTTTTTTGGAAGAAATGAAAATAGCGTCTCCAAGCTCCCAGAGTCACAATTTTATGCATTTAAATGCAATTTAAAGTAGTTAAAAACTAAGAGCGCCTTAAGTGCCTGAGGTCAGCAGTCTTTGGCATGGGCATGCCCAGTAGCTGGCAACATCGATCATGTGATTCATTGGCGCGTTCAGTTTTCCTTCGTGCTGGGTTCTTTCAGCCATTTTCAGAAAGGCACGCCCCTAATTCCCTTTATACTCGCGCCTTCGGAGATCGCAGATCTCGCCTCGTCTATGCAAGAATGCTGGGCATAACCACGCCGAAAGCCCCCTCCCCATAAGAACCTATTAAGGTTAAAATTTTAAGTTAGGTTCTTATCAGTGGAGTTGCTGTAAAAGTGTATCAACTTTGAAATGGCATTTCAGAGAACTGACCATGAGTTCGTTTGTTATGTTTTGTTAAGGACATACCTGCACTGTACTGCCTTTAGGCATTATGGTATAAATGATTTATATTGTATTATGAGATGATATTTATAATACACTTACATGAAATTCATATGAAAATATAAGAACCTGTTTTAAGAATCTCGGTGGTCTAAATTTGCTTTAAGTACCATTTATATAAGAACCTGTTAAGGCTAAATTAAAAAAATCCAGGTTCTTATACGCGGGGTTTCACTGTATTACCTTTCGTTCGTCGTCTCCACCAGTTCTCCGATGAGTGATATCATTGCTTTTCCTGTCTTCCTCCTCCTCTTGATCATCGTCCCCTTCTCTCTTGCTCCCTACATAGGATGTAGCGGCTCTCTGAGTGACCCTCTTAGCTCTTGTTGTCCTAGTTCGAGCGTCCTCGCTCGGGGTAGAGCTTATTCTACCCCTCGTGCTAGTAGTAGTAGTGCTGGTGGAGTTACTCGTTGTAGAGGCCGTCGTACGCGTTGGATAATTTCCCAACCGTGACTTTGCATCATCCCTGGTTTCTTCCCTACCAGCTAAACTAGAAGTCCAAGAGGATTCAGTTTTTGAAACAGGTGAAGAAGGCGGATTTGCCTTCTTATCATTGTCTAAAAATGGGGATTTTAGAAGCCTCGACGTGCTTCCTACCCCTGGTTTTGACGCACTAGCAGGCGCGGTCTGATCACGCGAAAAAGGCGTTCTTGTTGAACTGGTTGCGCTTGTTCGCGTATCGGGTTTGACAGGTTCTACTTCCTCCTCCTCCTCCTCTTCGGAGGACTCTTCAGTTTCGGAACCAGTTTCCTCTTCGGATTCTTCCTCGGATTCATCCGCTGGTTGTTTTTTAACTGAATTTACCGTAGGTTTAGAGGGTAGAGAATTGACCGTGACATTTGCTCTGGGAGCAACAGAGTTCACGGACGGCTTAGAAGGTTGCTCCTCCTCCTCCGAGTCCTCTTCACTGTCCTCTTCAGAGCTGTCCTCAGTATCAGACTCTGATCCGCTGTCCTCCTTGCTGTAGCCATCCCTCTTCTCCCTCTCGTTTTCCTTGTCCTCTTTGGGCGATTCAGTGAAGCTTGGTGGCCGGGAGAGCTTACTCTTTGGGGATATCTGCTCCCTGCTTGCTTCCATCTGCGCCCTCTCCTGATTGATGTCCCTGAGAAAAAGGTTTTGGTCCTTTATTCTGGTTATGGAGCTCCTGAGAAATGAAGAAGCCACAGAGGTTGCATTGAATAGAAGTGTTGCAGGACTGGCACTGGCATAGCCCCCACCGAGCATTCAACTCATCCCTCTGCTGAGCTCACAGAAGGATCAGTTTAAGCTCAGTGTCCGACCGACAACCGTGTTCATGCGGACTGCGATTAAAGCCAGCTCTCAGGCTTCTCTTGTAGCCTAAAAAGGCACTACGAGCCATGAGAGCCAGCTGCAAACACAGGCAAACTACCGGAGTTACGCTGAAACGTTACGATTGACCAATTGTCTCAAAACATGGTAATGAGCGGTGAAATTTGACGACGCTATGTTCACGCCAAGATACGAAACTGTCATCAGTTAGTTTGTTTTGGTTTTGCTTTTGTTCCGTTGCGTGCCAGTCCGCAAGGAAAAGAAAAGAAGATACAACAGGAAAACCGAGAAGCCCCTTTAGACAACCAGAGGGTTGGGCGTCTTACATTATTAAGATATTTACACAGCAAGAACAAAAGAAAAGCAGAAAGTGCGAGCAAGTTTGAGCGTACGTTTATTAAGAGAGAAAGAGAGGGAGATCTTAGCGTTGGATGAGATGTAAGCGTTAGTATACATTGTTAGCATCAGTTTACTTTACATACAGAAGTCCTGGAGTGTTAGTAGAGGGTAAAGTACGCAGCAACCGAGCTCTAGATGAACCAGAAAGACTGAAAAGAAAGAAGAATGAAGGTTAAAAGGGAACATAAACACCTTACCAGCAAGAATGAATTTTAACAGCGCACGAGAGCTCTTGTGAACTGACACACATGTAATGCAAACTCAGTTTATTACCAAGAAAACACTTATTTCACAAACACGTGCTGTTAGGTCAAGTCAAATCAGTTACGCACTTTGGAAGAAGGCCACAAAATTTAACATTCAACACAAACGCTACGTACGTATGAGGTGAGAAGGTTAAGGCAGGCAAAGTCGTGTATAATAAACGAGTGGAACTAAGGGTGTGTTCCTTTGGGATGATCTGGATCAGGAGCAGTGATCTGAGATCACTCAGTTCATGGTACATCAAATCAACAGATGAATCCTTTTCCAAGTGGATTTGTCGGTTTATGTGATGTGCTATGCTGATCAAGATCATCTCAGTGGGACACACCCTAAGTGCGTCTGCTAATACATCCATCTATACCCTGCTAACTGCCACGCTGTCTGTTTATTGTGTACAAGGTGCTTACAACTTGAGCGTCCAAGCATGAAATGAGCGAAGGCTGCCAAGCAGCACTTTCCTGTGATTCAGTTTATCAAGTGGTTCTTTGTGAGCTTTCAAAAACGCTTACCGAGCAGTTCTTCCTGTAGTAATGCTAAATTAATGAACTTGGTGGTGGTGATAACCTAAGTCTGTTGGTGAAATCTTAGAGTGAGACAACGCAATACTCTCCTGTGGTGATGCGGAGTCTGTATGATAAAAAGCTTAGCATATTTCCTTGAATAAGTTCCCATGTTCTAATAAAATGATAAGTGCGCTCCCCCCAAGAAACAACTTATCCCATTGCCAAAATAGCACATGAATATCCCCCGCAGCTCAACTCAATGAGTGCCCCTCCCCTCCCCCCTTAACCCCTCACTTTTTCAATATACTGACAATAATAATTGTTTTACCCACTACACTATCATTATAAAGGAAAACACGTTTTCTTCATTAGTTTGTTAAAGTAGAAAAAAAAAACTCAGTGCTTCCCTTAGTCATGCATACTTTTTTTGAATAACTGACCCCACTTTTGGCTAAGTTTTAAATGGGCACCCATACACCTATTCAAGGAAACATGGTAGGTAGCATATGCTCGGTGCTTGTTGATGAACATCGCAGAAACATAACATGCAACATATTTAAAAATCAACAAAGACAAGCTTGCCTCAAGTGGTGACCACGTTAGCTGTTCTGTACAGCATGCCCCATATACTCACTAATGGACAAACTGCACACAACACTGTGGCAAATACAAAATCAAACAACTGAGGAAAAAAAACCTTAAAACCGCACTCACCGTCTTTTCAATGGGGCTGGCCCAGACTCCATATTACTTTTAATAACTGGTGTTGTTGACTGAGTGGGACAAAAAATATGGAAACAAAACAAGTTCAACAAAAAAAAGTTGTATGCCACATCCTGCGCCAAGTCGTGGAGATGTACATGTTAATAAGGAACTTAAGAAAAGGGTTTTTGAGTAATGTACGTCAATCAGAAGTGAGGCCTTTTTCTGTTTAATGCCTTGACAGTACCAAATTCGTACTTCCAAGCCTTTTCACTGTTACAGAGACGATTTGCCCGAAATTTGGGCAAAAACACAGCCCAAGAATACGAAGAGTCCAGTTGATGTGCATCACTAAAAAATGTCTTTGCTCAAGCTCCCCAATTGCTGCAAATCTACACTTCCATGCCAACAACTCGTCCCTAGAAGCAGCCACAAGCCGCATACCCCATCTCTGCCTTCCAAACAAGTCTCATAGCTCTAACTGTTTTGGACTTCTCCAGCCCATCTTTGACAGGAGTAATTAGTATTTCAATATTATCACCTTATCAAGGAGTGCACATGTTTGTGCCTGGAAAGAATAATAATTATATGGTATACTCTCCACTCTTACCTTTCCTTCCATCTTATTTAACCCTTTAAACCCTAAGAGTGATCAGCAGAGTTTTCGATGCAAAACTATTTCCTTCATGCAAACTATTCAGGGTTTGACTGATCTGGCTAGATAGCTTTGATTAAAAGTAAAATTCTCATTACGACGGGAATGCCCTGGACGGTCGGTTGTGACAAATGGAAGGCACCCTAAGATAGGGTCCAATTTTCTCTGTATCACTGTATCATTGAACCCTGAAGTCTTTTGGTTTGGATTCATGCATGGCACTTTGGGAAGGTCCTGTATAATATTATGGTTAAAAACAACTTGAGAGATGCATTGTCCACAACATAACTTGAAACAGAAGCAATGCAACAAATTATGACCACTGTTGGGTTAATAATCGGCCATAAAGTGTAACGTAACAATGATTTGGTGCGATAACCGTGGAAAACGTGAGGCATTCTTCATTTTTATTATCATGAGACACTGCAAAAACGCCTTATAGTAGCCTCCTTAACCCTTAAATGCAAAAGTTTCCTTGCAGTCAGAACTATGAACCATTAGACCACAAAATGATATTCCCTTTTAACGGTATATATTGGAGCAACCTATAACTAACACAAACAGGTGTAAAGGAAGCCACTGAAAAGATTGTCCAAAGTACAAGATAAAGATTCTTTCTCTAGGATATAACTATAACCCTAATTTATGACCAATAAAATACAAATATAGAAAGTTCCAGAAGTTGCAACGAAGTGTAAATCAAGTCTAGTGTAGGAAGGGTACACTACTGCATTCCTTCAATTGGCTGACCTTTTAGTTGGGGAAATTTAAACAAAAGGCTTAAATATTGATTATGTGATTATATCTTGTGGCATATTGCATTATTGGGCATGAAAGGGTTTTAATTATCTACGTGTTTCAAAGAGCAATAACCAGACCCAAAACAACCTGCACATACTCACCGCATTGATCTTTGGCTTATCATTTTGCCTTTTCTTAAGCTCTTCGAGCATTTTAACCATATCAGGTTCTGCCATGTCAATTGGCGTTGAACCCTAGAGCAAATATATTGCAGTCAGTACTATTTCTTTTGCTGGTATCAAGGTAGCTATCACACTGCACATTAAAAATATAAATAGAAGGCAATTGGGCTGCTGGCCAGTGAATAGCTGACTGCCTGTTTGACTGGGTGATGCAATAGATGATTGACATAATGTCTGCTTGGCTAAAGTAAGTGCATCATGGTTTGTATGACCTCAGAGAAACAAATTTCAAGGACTTTTCAAAGACTTTTTAACGACAAACTACAGTTTTCAAGGACAATTAATTTATTCTTTAACCCACCCCCCCCCCCCCCCCCCCCCCCCTTCCTTATTTGCAAAATACAATACAACACTCCCACAATTTATTTTTTTTCCCTTCGCGCTTACTCCCTTTTCTCCTCACTGTCATACCAAAAACAAAAATAAACAAAAACACATCACACGAAAAAATACTGATTTCCCCCCCCCCCCCCCCCCCCCTTGAATACCTTATTGGCTAAAACACTTAATGGAGCCATTCACAATTTTTACGTCTTCAGCCTTGGCTGATCACATTGTTTTACACAAGGTTCCACAAAAACACTTTACAAAATGTCAACAGTCACTGGGTATGTAAAGATACAGAAATAGAATATTGTTCATGCCCAAAAATCTTTTTACATTACCCATGAGTTTTACAGGTTTTTGCACAGAGGATGAGCCACAATTTCTTTGGCAAAATAATCTAATTTCACAGAAAGTGGTGTAGCATAACCAAGGTAGTGAATTTCCAGGACTTTTCAACACCTAAGAAAGAAATCAAGTACTTTTCAAGGACCTTAACCGAATTCAAGGACATTTCAAGACAACTACTAAAATTCAAGACCTTTTCATGATTGTACGAACAATGGTGCATGGCCAACTTAAAATGGCTGGCATTCTGCTTGTTGCAGAGGCAAGCTACTATAAACAGGAAGTGATGATGTTATCAAATACAACGATATTTCTGTGCAGAGAAAGCATATCTCAGTTTGGACAATAGAAAAAGTGGGCTACCATAATGTTAGGTCTTGTAATGTCTAGAGAGAATGTTTCTGAGAAGATGGGAACTGGTTTTTCCAGTTTTGAAATTCTCCAGTAGCCACAATTCCACAAAGACCAAACAAAATAGTCAGATTTGAAGCAACTTGAAACTTTTTGACAGTTGATATTAATCTGCATTTTAGACAGTTGATGGTAAAAAATTTATTTTTTTTGACAGCTGAGAGTTAAATTTTAGGCCACTTGATGGCCGATGGTTAACCCCACTGAGACCCTCCCAGGGCTGTCACTAACATTTCAAGTTGCCGGGTATACCGTGTGACACTAAATTTTTGCGGATTAGCAATTGTTTGTGTTTTGTGGGAGCTAGTTTTTGTGATTAGGACAGATTGGTTTTTCTTGCTAACAATTAATGTTTGCAATTTTCAGAAAGTACCCAGTACCCAGTATTGATAATATTTTGGAATTTATTGAGTACATGCAATACAGATACATATTTTTAAACAATACTACGGTGTGCATACCCTATTCTATGTAAAACCAGTGTAAAACCAGTATTTCATTGTATACCGCTTTGTTCTGATTGAAAGAGACAAATTGTAATTGAACGGACACGATTTCTTAGTACTGTAGTTTTGTGTAGCAAATTTACGTTGGAGAATATTTACTCTGGAGTAAATGTTTGCGGGAAAAATGTTTGTGGTAGTTTTTATTTGCAGGAACTTATTTATTGTAGATCACTGGGAAAATCGCAAAAATTAGAACCCGCAAAAATTTCGTGCCACACGGTATGTGATTAGTAGGAGGGGAATTGTACAGCTAGGAAGTTGTTTTGGTTCTATTTTCCTTTTGCCTTCTATGAGTGTAGCTGGGGTTCACGCTCATAGCAGCAAGGGAAATCCCCAGCCCACGGCTCTTAGAGACAGCCCTTTCCTCCTACTTGTGTCAAACAGGTACTACATATGACAGGAGGGGGCAATCTTACCGTACTATTCCTAGCACTAAAGTTAGCTCCATGCTCAGCTAGCACTTCACAGGCATCATTCTGTCCCCAGTGAACTGCTGCGTGTAGTGGTGTCCAGCCATCAGAATCTTTTGCATTGATGTCGACACCAAGTTGAAGTAAAAGACTAGGAAGAAAGTAATGCCACCAATAATATTGTCACCAACAACGCTTACAAATTTTTAAGTAATAAGAATGTAGCTAATATCAAAGTGGTTCTAGTACGCACGGCTCAAAATAACGGCCAGTCAATGGACAACGTCTGGCCAAGATAACCATTTGTCCCGACAAACTTTCAGTTGACACTGATGCCAACTAGGACACTATTCATTACTTGTTTTTCCCAATAAAGAAAATAGTTGATTCTAGCAGGGCATGATCTACATACAGTACAGTAATATCTATGTGACTGGATGTTTGACACAAGAACAAAAATTAACTACACAAGAAAAAAGATTTTACCTTTCCTCAAACGTGCGTCTAAAGTCTCCTTTAGATGAAACATGTGCTAAACTGGTGCTTATGTTTGCATAATTAATCCACAAATCCTCACAACGTACCTTATAACTTGTAAATAACCTTTTGATGCAGCAACATGTAATGCAGTTGCACCTAAAAAATTAATACAAAAGAAACATACACAGAATGCAAACATTATAATTGCACTAAAATGTAATAAGAGAAAGTATTACATTGTACTTTAATGTATGTAAAATCTACTATATATACTGTACTTCAAGAAGATGCAAGAAGAAGCAACAGCTGGAGCTTTTTGAATCACAATTTCAATGTGTCAACATACAGGGCTTGTAAAACGTCCCATTGGGTAGTCCAGGCAAAACTAGATTTTCTTGCTGGGCAAGTAATTTTTAGGGTCCAGGCAAGTCAAACTGCAACAAAATCATTAACTAAGTATAGCAAGATTTGGCCCCGGACAAACAAAATTTTTTGAGCTGCTTGCCTAATTCAGATGTTTTTTATTCCCTCCAAACTGATTTTTTTTTCAATCTAACCATGTCTTTAGGCTTGGAGTGGTTGTTGTTCAAAAATTTTCCATTATGTTTAGAAGTGTTCCAATCATCACAATTTGCATAATATAAAATTTTGGTAGTTAACTCAAAAGCCAAGCTTCTTTGACCACTGTACAGTTCTATCCAAGCCATCAATTCTCTTTTTTCACTCTTCTTCTCCTTTACTCGTGTATTCCTACCTTACTATATGTAATGTAAATATTTTATAAAAGTGTAAATAAAATTGAATTGAATTCAATCCTCCTATTACAAAATTGAGCTTCAAGTTTGTTACGAAATGACACGTTCAATGTGGCATGGCATGTTCATGGTAGCGTACGCTGAAAGGCGACCAACAAAACCTGGTATATTCTTAACAGCCACTCCAGTAACACATCAACAATATAAAATTTTACTTTGCCAGGAATATCATATTAAACACTATTTCCCAGTGAATAACTAAAAAACATCCCAGCTTTCAACAAAAATATCAGCAGCACGGTGTCACACAGTACCCAGTACCTTATAATACACGATACACAATCGTCCAGATATAACTCAATTCTATTCAAACGATCAAGGTTGTCCCAATCATCTGGCTCTTTCGCGATAATCCAGCTAGTGTTTCCACATAATCCTCCCAAAAGCCTGAACATTATTTGAGATTACTTGGGCGATTAGGAAGATCAGGAAAATCATATGGAAACCAGGCTTAACACAATCAAATTAAACATGGAAAACACTGGCATTTTTGGCAGTGAAATCAGGAGAAATCGTATGGCATACAAGTATCAGGTTTTAGTGGCATCAATCAGTCAAGTCTTCAACCAACAAATTGTACAAAAGTTGCTCTCAGGCCAATGCTGCTACCCAAGGGCAGTCTACTCAGGTAGCCAACTAGAACACAGCATTGATTCATCTGGCCCACTTGCAGGACTATAATATTATGATAAAGGAAAACTAATTCATCATCTCCAGGATAATGAAAAAGGTACCCTTTTGTTTAAGTACGAAAATAATCTATTTTTAGAAGCTTAAACCTTGAAATGTGAACCTTGTTATCAAGCAAACTTTGAATAAATTCAAACAAACAATAACATCGCAACAAATGCAACTGGGGCCACCAACAAAATTGAAATTTAAATACATGTTCTTGCTTTCGACTGGCTCAGTAGGCAAAGAAAGTAGTGCCCAAAAGCCTGGGGGCTAGTGGATTTTGCTATTGGGCTGCTGAATTCTGTTCTTAACTTGCCTGATGGGCATGTGAAGTTGTTCGGGGAATTCAAATATTTAAAGAAGAACTGTAATGAATGAATCCTGTTCATCAAAAATTTTTTGAGGGCTAGTTGATATGACTTTTGGGCTAGTACACTCTAGCTACTGCTTACCCGAATGGCTTTCTTTACACACTGTGGCAAACAATGTACACACATCTTTGTGGTAAGCATACCTGTCATTGGCCCGGTAAAGTTGAGGGAGCCAAGATGAATTCTATGCACTAAATTATACACTCTGGAAACCCTATCTAACACTTGAAACTGTTTCAATCAATTTCCAGACACCTCAAAGTCATTGTTAAAAACTTGGTTTTGCCTCGCGTGTGTCACCACAGGCATATTAATGAATTGTCTAAATTTCAAACAAGTGGCCGGGGGGGGGGGGGGAAATAAATAAAAAAATTCCCCTTTTTGGGGTTTAAAAATGGGGCTTTTGGCCATTTTAAAGAGGGGCGGCTTTAAGGAGGGTTTTTTATAAAAAAATTTTGTGCCCCCCTTGTGGGCGGAGAAAAAAAGGAATGGGTAAGTACACATTGATGTGGGCACGTAAAGGGGGGGAGCAAACAAAAATTTTTTACCACAAAAATTACCCCCCAACAAACCCTATTACAACCTTAAAGTTTTTTAAATAATTACCCAAACACCCCAAAAGTTTTTTTAAAAATTTGGTTTTGCCCCGGGTGGGCCCACAAAAGAATATTAAAAATTTTTTTAAAATCAAAAAGGGGGGGGGGGGGGGGGGGGGGGAACTAATATAAAAGATTCCACTGTTTCGGATTATAAAATGTGGCTTTTGGCCATATCAAAGAGTGACGGCTTTAATGAGAGTTTTTTATAAGAAAATGTATGGCCCCCTTGTGGGCTGAGAGAACAAGGTAACCATGAGGTAGGGTTCAACTGCACATGCACTTTCTCATTGTTACCAAACATGACAAAAATATTTTTAAAAAATGACAAGGATATGGGCCATAATTTTGTCAAATGTAAAAAAAAATTAACAAGAAAGGCTGTTAAAATTTTTTGAAGCAGACTGGTGTAGCATCACTGGCACGCGCACAAATGATCACTGATATACCTCTAATACCTGTGTGTAATCTCTTCTTTGGTTAACTGGTGTAACACAAGTCATGTGGTTAAAGACTGCATTGCTAAATGGAGGTTGGGTGCGTGTAGTATCCAGGGGTTTCCACTTTTGGCACAAGTGCATAATAGATACTTGTCAAAGACTGGGTTGTTACATGTCGTTTCAGTTTTGCAATGATAGTAACACTTTTGCTTCAAGTTGAATAGTAATGTTGCACGTTTTACCACCCACATCAAACCTGTCTTGCAACAAATCAGGTTGTTAACAGGTTTCAATGTGAACGGTAAAACAAGCAACATCGCTATTCAACTCGTTTTGCTGGAATGTTGCAAGACAAGTTGCACGTGTTTTGTTGTCCATTTTTCCGCACCTTAAGACATGTGAACTCATCCACATACACCATACCTGATTTATCCTTTATTTCATGTATTGTTCTACCATTCATCCAACTCTGTGCATCCTCTAACATTATTCTTTCTTCTATACTTCTTGCTAGTTCTACATCAATTCCTAAAACACAAAAACAAACACAACATGAACAATCCTAACACTGCCATATCTAAAAGGCCTAAATGTAATAAATGACCCTAATGTAATACAGTCCTAAATGCAATAACATTTTGTCCTAAATGTAATAACAATTTGCCTTAAATGTAATAAACTCTTAAGTTGCCAATTACAGTAATTACTCGAATAAGCCCTGCCCTCAAATAAGCTATACATTTGGGAGAGAAAAGTTGATAAGTGCCGCAGTGCTAATTCACATAAATACGGTACTAAGCAGTATTACTATGGTATTGAGCACTACCCTCAAATAAGCGCCGCATTTTTGGAAAAAAAGTTAATAAGTCCTCCGGCGCTAATTTGTGTAAATTCAGTCATTTCCGTTTATGCACTATGGAACTTAACGTTTACAAATAATGTAAACTAAGGCTTAAAGAGCCACTGCAAAAACCATGAACAATCAATGTACCTCAACAATGGATCAAACAAGATTGTGATCAGTCGAAAAAGAGAAAAATAGAATTAATTTTTAAAAGACTACTGCAAAGACTGATCAAACAACATGAAAAAGGCTGAGGTTTACAATATTTCGACTGGCTAATACCAGTCTTCATCAGGTTTATTAGGAAAAACCACAAATAAACAGAATATATACTGTACTACTGAAGAAGTTACATGGTATGACGTGGTAAGGTGTGGCTGCTAAAAAAAATAAACCGAGAAAAAGATAAAGATTACATAATGATTATAGCTCGTCACGTTTTCTCATTCCCAGAGGCTCGATGGTTTTGGCTTTATGAATGAGGTGTGCCTCTTGTGCTTTCCTTATAAGACAATCATGTTTATATCTACATGTGAGTGTTTCAATTGGGATAAGTAACATATGGGAGACAGAGTGGCTATTGCTGATAAAGTGTTCTGAAATTGCCATTTGGATGTAACTACCAGAGGGGTTAAGTATAGGGCATCTATGTTCATTAAAACAGTCCTTTGTAATTTGCAATATATTGGGGAAACCAAATGCCACCTCAAAGACCATGTTAATGAACATGTGCCCCAAGAACCCTATGCGCTATGGTGACAAAGGATGAAGCTCTCAGCACGTTAGCAGGGAGAGATCAGATGAAAAGTGGCACCTGCTCTTATATAAGTTGGGGGATTGGCAGGGCTGTCACTAAGATTTCAATTTGCTGGGCAAATACAACAAGTAGGCGGGGAATCAAACAGCTAGGGATTTGTTTTGGTTCTATTTTTTTTCTATTTTCCTATAAAAGTAGCCAGGGGCCACGTTCTTAGTAGCCAGGGAAAATCCTCAGCCCCCACCTCTTAATGACAGGCCTGGATTAGGCATGGGGTTAACAAACCAATCCAGAAAAACACCATCTTGTTACTGAGACTGTGGATACACTTTTTACAGGAACCTGGGGTCCAGCCCCCTGGCACCATGACAGCTCCAAATGACAGTCCATCTCGGGGAGTCAGGAGCTTGAACCAGAGTTTTCAAGGACCCCAACCTGATACAGTAGAACCCGGTTAATACGACAACAAGGGGACATGCCATAGTGTCTGCATTATCCGGATGTCCACATTATCTGAGCATCCATATTAAGCAAGCTCTCAGGAAAATGTCACAGACACATGATTTAATGATATAAAGACAAAGCAGACAAAGAGAAAGAAGGGTAGGAACAATCACTGCAGCAGAAAGCCAAGGAGGCGGAAGTTGTGACAAAGAAGTCACAAAACTTTATTAAGGTGATTCCCTAGTTTTGCACTGCGCATCTCTTACTGCGCATAACAAGATGGCCGCCGTAAAAAAGAGCATGTGAAGTAACATTATTAAAATGAAGCTGACTGAAGAGAAAGCTATTGGAATTTTTGCTCGCTGTTGTTTCTTGCCGAGGTGAGACTCAATGTGTTGGGAATGTGCGTAACGTAAGCATCACGCGTGTTGTTGAGTTCGACTTCCTCTCAGAGAACCTCGATAGTGGATGTTTAACTTGTGCTTACTCACTTTGATTTTCATTTAATCACTTTGTTTATTACATTGTGTCCTAAATGTGATATCTCGATATAAATTCTGTAAAAACGGATTTTTTAATACTTTCCTCCCCCTTTTCGCATACATTCTATTTTGAAACTCGCCCCAGTCCTCTCTCAAAAATCGGAGAAAATGCATTTGGTGCGCACTTTCTGCAGCTCTACCGCAAAAACGAGTACGGTGACCCCCATTTTTTATTTCATGATTTTAATAAGGACAGTGCTTCCTTTCGATGAGAAAAAAATTGGCACAAATCTATGTTCAGTTTTTTGGCAATTTTACTAAATTGTACGGATTGAGCCATCACGGGTCGAAAAGCGCGGGTCCAATTTAATTCTACTTTGGAGCGTAAAGTAAAAACAAGAGCATTAAAAGGCATTTTTCTGGTACGTAAGTGGATAAACAATACATTAAAGTCAAATTCTGTGTGATGCCACATGCATCATCGAAAAAATCTCTCCTTTTTGTCTAGTTTTGGGCTGCCTGCGGTTTTTGTAAAAGGGTCCTAAATAGCCGTATTTGTCAGCATTGTGACGTCAAAATGAGCACGGTGACCCCCACTTTTTATTACTTTTTTATCATCTTCTTGACTTGTTACATCAGTGTACCAAGTTTCAGCTACAATCTATGTTAGGTTCTTTTACTATGGAATCACCTTAAAGGGCGTTATAGTGCAAGGGCCAAACACAGGAAGAGAAACGGACTTATCAAAATCAAACATGGCATGCTATTGTTTCTTTTTTAAAGTAGTGAAACTGTATAAACCCATAGAAATATGTCATCATTTAAACAGGGTACAATGTCTACAATTAGCACATGATTGTGACAATTTAAATACACAATGCGCAGATAACCAAAGTCCGTAAAGTACTGTTGATGATATATAAGAGTATGTGACTTGGGACACAAAAAGTGTCTGTTGTCCACAGTAACTGGTGTCCCTACTAAGTGGGTTGATTAGGGCAAATATATGAGCTTATATGAGCTTTCGCCAGGACAAAAGAAATTGTCTGTTATATATGAGTGTGCGTATGAAGCAGATGTTCGTAAAGTGGGGTTCCACTTTATCTGTTTAGGAGCATGAATGTCTGTAAGTTACCAAGGAAAAACAGGACTGGGATTTGGTTATCCTTAGCATGACAACGGCAGATGAAATACCTCAGGACATAAGGGGGAATGCAAGGGCTTAGTTATACATATACTTTAATGTGGAAAAGTTGATGCACATTCAAGCAGTGAAGCCCTTATTGCAGATGAAGCAAGCAGCTCTTCTAGAATGACAGCCCATTAGTGAGAGACTAAAAGCAGAAAGGTTTGCAATGTCCTTACCGACAAGGCAGGATAACTGGTAAAAACAACTGCAACAAGCAGTATCCAAAGTCAAGTAAAACTTTTCCAAGCGTAATTAAAAAAGTGTGGCCATAGTTTTAGAGTCTGAAACAAAAGCTACACTTGTAAATTACACTTGTAAAGTTCAACTTAATTGACCCCCAAATGTTTTTAAGAAATGGAGATTACTTGGATCAAATGGAGATGCAAAGTTTTCCAGGCCAACTGAATGTGCAAGCAAAGAGTAGACAATCAAAGTTAAAAAGGTCAAGAGGTGTGCTAGAAGAAAAACAAGAGCTTTTGTGGAGGGGGCCACAGAGATATTTTTACAGTGTGAATTAAACAAGGCATAGTGAGACTCCAGTTTGTCTCACTGGAGAGGTCCAACAAAAAATATGTTTGTCTGGGTGTGTTCTCGAAGAAAATCAGGCCAGAATTGAGAGTGACTTAGCAAGTCTAATGTTATTTTTGTTTGTTTGACTGTATTCGTAAACTTTACAAACACTATGCCTACCTTTTTTTAAAAAAAAGTACAGAATGTAAGAGGTAACAGCTTTGCTTATACATGCCCGCAGATTTTGTTAAATGTTCAAGCTGACACAAACCATTATTTCAGGCTGCCCCATGCAAGTAGTATACATTATTTAAATAATCAGCAATGCTTTCCAAAGCACTATCATGGCTTGAGTTTTTGACAATAAATGGATGTGCCAGTGAACTCTAATGGATGAAAATTTACATTGAACATTTAGAAACCTATGAGTTGAAGGAAGTGCTTTTAAAGTTTAATGCAATGATCAAAATGCCAAAAAGCATATCTTTCATGGACATGCAAATACTTGAGAAGTAGCCTTCACCCTTGTTTTGACACTTGCAAATTTGTGATGTGCTTGCTGTTAATTAAGCTAAAACTGTACTTCAGCAAAACCACTGTTGTCCTATTTGGCCACTGTAATTTGTTAAATTCATGAAAACTTCCACTCATGAATCTTAGGCATTATTTTGTGATTGTACGCAGAGTTCTGTAATACATACGATGTTGATAACTGCGCACATTAAAGAGGGGCTGGCCTTTTTATGGAGAAACTTGCCACTAGTGATTTACATGGTAAAAACCCAGAATATTTGGTTCTTTTTACAGTGGTTTGTTCATTCACAATCTCAATAAAACTGTAAATTGTACAGATAGTTGTTAAATCTTTTAAAGTCAAACACTACGAAAAGTTTATAAACTCAGAAATTCCATTTAAATAGTGCAATGGTGAGAAACTCAAGAAAATTTCCTAAAAGACACTTAAAATTACAAAAAATCCAAAGCCTGTTTTCTTTAATCTGTGATGTAATGCTACGCAAAACTAGTTGGTTTTATGCCAGACATGAGAAGTCAACATGCTTTCAAACAACACTGATGACAAAAGGAACAAATTAAATATAAAACACTTTTGCTAATAATCCTCAATCCTGAATTACAGATGTTCCACATTATACTACAAAATTCCCAACTTCTCAACCCAGCTCAGTAATGTACATGTAAAAATTAATAGACAGCAAGAAGCTCAAACAAGACTCGCTCTCTTGCATTTACAGGATGGTGTTATAACAACACTACCAGCAAAACAAAGCACAAGTCAATTGGGAGCTAGTATCGTATCATGGTAAAAAGCACGTCAACATACCTAATCTCTCAATTTCATCTGTTAAAAGATCTTCCATGTCTTCTTCTTCTGCAAGATCCAGGGGCAATTCCCCCTCATTATTGACAGCTGCAACATCTGCTCCATTGTCAAGTAAATATCTGAAGAAGAAGAAAAAAATTAGCATGTTGAAGATGGTTCTAAAGGGTTTTGTGTCTGGGCATGTGTATTCATAGAGCCCTGATGCAGGGTTCATATTCTTTTGAGCTCATCAAACTCCATAACTTTTTCAACTTTTCCATGGCCCTGTCACTTTCAAAATTTTTCAAAACTTTCCCTGCTTCAGGGTAATTTTTGACCTAACTTAGTTCACAGACACCAACTCTGGTGTTCACCAAAATGCCTGCCGTTCATACTGTTTAACTACACTACTTGTATGTGTCACTATCTCACAGCCTCCGCCTTGACAACTGCAGCAACTAATCTACAGCAAACATAGCCTTAAGTTTCCATGACCTTCCAGTACTGACAATTAAATTCCATGACCTTCCAGGCCTGGAAATGACCCATTCAAACCCTGTGATGGCCATGAACAGAGCCCTACTAGCACTTAGGATGTCCAAAGTTACGAGGACTTTACAAATGTACATAGTACCAGTTGACTTTCGTAATCCCCAGTTCCCCCTCTTGGCTTTGTATTCCTTTACATGATGTCACCAGAAAATATCATACTGGAACAAGCCATGAATACAATACAATATTTTACAAGAACTCCTCTATATTTGGTCAGACTGAAAATCTTTGAATGGATTAAATTTCTTAGAAGACATTGACATCAAATTCAGGGAAATGAGCTGGCAGAAATGTCGTAACTGCCTCGCTTGTGAATTCATCATCTCTATGGCCAGGATTACTGACTTTTGTTGCAAAACAACATACCGGAACCTAAGTAAGTTTTTTTGCTTCAGATCGATCATACGTTGCTTTCAATGTTTTGTACGTTGTTCGTCACCCTTTGAAAAACTAGTTTTCCATGAACCCCCCCTTCTCCTCGGAAATTACAGCCTTTGCACACCCCCCCCCCACCCGCCCCCCCCCCCCAACCCCCCCCGCCCACAACCCACCCCACCTACATCCTCTTCCCGCCTCTCCCGCACACAAATCACAACAAAAGCTACACCCAAACAACAAGAACAGAAAACAACCCAAAAAAAATACAAAAAAACCTATACCCCCCCCCCCCCCACCTAGGAATTTCCAATGATCTTCTGTGGCAGGGATATGGATGGATATTTTCTAGAACCACACATTCCAGTAAAAACCCTCACAAAAGACAGCATCAAGTAAAAAAGACCATATCATACCAGCGAACATTTACAATCATTTCCATATCAAATTGGCCTCCTACTGGACAAGAACAGGTAGTACACGTACATGCATACTGTGTTATTTTTCATCATATTGGATGTGGGATGAGAAGAATACAGAAAAAAAAATGCAAATCCAATAAGAAATCAAGCAGTCATCCCAGTTTGGAACTCGCCCCGGTTCAAGTTTTCTCACACCCACAAAGTGGATTGACTAGGAAAGGGTGTTGCTTTAATACAGAAAGGTTAGAAGTCATACTTGGTACAATCTCTTTCCAAAAGGCTACATGGTATTTTTGAGCAAGAATAACTGGCTTTATCATGCTTTATTAATCTCGCTTGAGTAAGCAGCGAGACTCATAATCTGCAAGTTGTTTTATTTTCTTCATATTTAGTACACAAAACAACAGCTGCAGTCCCAGGCATTCCTAGCAGTGACCATAAAAACTGGGGATAAGAATCGTCACGACTTTCATTGTATGCAAATGAGTTTCGTGATAAGCATGCGGTTTATTTTCTGCGACGATTGAAATGATGCACCATGTTCTATTGTTCCCATACATGCGGTAAAGCGCCGAAGGGACTGTGTTTGATACCTGCTGTCTCCCATTCTTTGTTTTATAAAGCATTTTTATGACAAGGAGGAATTTGATACTGATCATTCTTAGGGATATTTTAATATGCTCCCTTAGTTTAGTTTGCGTTCGTGAGAATTGGCCGGTTCTGGGACTATTGTGATTTCTGTCCAAGATTAAGCATGCAATTACCATACTACCATAACAAAGATGAAATGTTTTGAATTTACACGAATTTGTGACATTTTAATTGAATGTTTACATAGTAAAAACGACAGATTCATGTTTGCATTTTCCCACATTGTGACTTTCAACAATTAATACTACAAACAATTAAAAAAATATTCATTACTAGTAGAACTCAATCAACACATAAAGCAATTATGAATGGACAGAAATAGCAAAGAAATTAATCTGGCCAAACTCAATTTGAACATTTCTGCCTGCAGCCGCCGAATCAACCTTACGTGCTACAGTGCACGTGCAATATAGCAGTCACTACACGATGTGACTGCCTTGAAGAATGACAATTTTGTTTTGCAAGCACATGGTTTTTTTATGGACATTCCATTCATTCTCACTTGTCGCGATGTTTCATTACATATGTTTTCCACAGATAACGCAAGGCAAACATATTGGCAATAGAAGGCAAAGGTGTTGAAAAAACCAAGGTACACAGAGTAATACAAAGTAAAGATTGTAAGTGATACAAACTATTGAATAATTCAAATTGTCTCTTGAGAAAATAATTGTCCTCATAGCAAATGACATTACGCATTTATGCTTCGCACCATAGGTACCCATCATTGCATTGCCCTTTTCTTAGTACAGACTATTCATTGCCAGTAAGCTCATGTCCTCCCAGAGGACTATTTTTTCTCTATTGCAGTTATGTAATTTCTCTTGATTTTGGTTTATTTATACACAACTCAATCATCACCAAGGAAGTGAAAAACTCTTAGCAAGGAAATCCTGTTTTGTGTAGAATAAATCACCTCCTCACTTGTCATCTATCTCCAAGCAAGCGAGACTTAAACGCTTTTAGAGCATTCTTGTTATTCAAAAAAACAATGGAAAACCATTGCTGTGGCTGCTTAATAAAAACTTAACAATGTGGATTTAGGGAGAATTTTAGTGGCCTCTTATTGTGTTATTGCCTCACAGTGCTCCAAGCTTAATTTTTTTTTAAGTCACCTTTGGGCAACTGTCGCCAGACAAAAAATACTGGTCACTAGAAAAAAGAACACTTTGTGTAAAAAACTTTGGCCTTGACGATTCCTGCCTTCATTCTAACTCCTCCTTTAAGAGTTTATTATTCATACTAAGATGAAGCCAAATTCCCATTGATAAGAATGCCAATGCTGCCATTCCAAGAAATTTAATTCATGTTCATCATAATAAAACTAAGTGGTACCCAAAACAAAAACAGATTTGTAGACTCCAGGGGACCTATAAAATTGCCATGGATACAGAAAAACCCTACTTCACAGCCAACTGCTTTACTGTACTGACATCTTGTTGATACAGACAGTTTTCATCCCCTCTGAGGAAAACCCTTTCATAATAAACCTGCTTAATATAGGTCTACACTTGTTTATGCAGACAACAGATAGATTTTTCTTGTACACTTCTTTGTTAACTGCCTGCAGTAACAATCTTTACTTTTTCTCAAGGTAAAACAAACCTTCAGGTGTCAGTACAGTGCGCATCGATGTTAAAGGGACTGGTTCACGATAATGCGCATGCGCGCCATTTGTCTCTTCAGAATAAATTTGTCGGGTCAACACTTAATTCGAAATTGCCATTACCGGTACAATCATTGAAAATCCTTCATTTTATTCGGACATCTGTCGCTTTGGCTGGTCTAGTTATACTTCAGTAGTGGTGATTAACGTGTGGTTGTGTCGTTTGACTGGTTACATTTTAAGAAGACGCAAAAAATAATGTTTTGATCATGGAGGTTCAGAAGGGCATCGTGGCCGTCCAGCAACAGGACGTTCTCAAGAGTCCCTGGAGATAGAGAAGCTTAGCCTATCGATCTGGTATGGTTCTAGGAGTACTGTGTGGCATACGAAAAGAATACACGACACTCGGAAAGTGGTTAAAGGCATGAGTTCGTTCAACTTTGATTTGATTCTTGACTCCGACCTGTAGTTATACCGCAACAGGCTGCGCGATCTTCACCGATCTGGTACACTTGAAATGTGTGCTACTCGATAACATTTGTTTTGCGGAACACTGACCTGATGCAACACGAATGAATTTGTTCATTTGCTGATAATCAATTGAAATTTTATCCTCAGTTAAGGATAATCTTTATACTCATACGTTGTGTGTTTTTGTCACCGGTCAGGCGCTATTTGTAGGTATTTCTGGGTTTATATAAGGCAAACTGAGAGAACAGTAATAAGATGTTTGTTTACAAATTTTGTTTGCCGATCGGTGACTGTTTTGTTAGCGTGTGTATGACCTCGTAAAAATACACGTTGGTAAATGTTTGTTTCAAAGCAGGACAGGGCTGTAAATCTTATTCTTATCGGCAGCAACATATATCTGAGGAGTAGCAAAGAACAAACTTGAATTATGGGGATAAATAAAATCAAACCAAATGCCCGGAAATACTCTCGCGTCGCGAACAATTAATTTGAATTTTGTAAATTTACTTGCGTGCATCTAACTTGCTTCCCATTGGTTGAAAAACAATCAGCTACTGTCAGAACTCACACATGCACATTATCGTGAACCAGTCCCTTTAATAGGCTGATTTAGCAACAGAAAGGAAACGTCAGTTGATGATGGCGCACACAGATCAAACAACTGGCTTGACCAATGGCGGAGCAGCAAATTGGGCACAAGAAGTCAAGTTTAGTCCTTTCTGTGCACTTTCCCCTTGTCAAATGATGTTCCTATTCTGTTGTTAAATCAGCCTAATAGCACTAACTAGACAAGATATGACAATGACTAGACATCAATTCCTTCAGTTTCGGCAACAAATGAGTTCTGCCAAGTCTTGATTCAAAGTTGAGTCAAAGTGTAAATGAGAAACCTCTGAGTGTTTTTATGGACATAGTCCACAGAATAATATATAGCTTCTTGTGAGTTGAAGAGGTTTGTTTGAATGCACTGTTTTATTTCTTTCATATTTCTTTGTATTTTGTTCCAATAAAAGGTATAAATATTTATGAATTAATGAACATGACACCCCAAATAATACTTAGTATGAACAACCTTAAAAAATTAATACAGACACTGTCCACAGTCATCTCAGCGTCCAAGTTAATAAGGTTCATATTCAGTGTTATTGTACCTCAACACACTTACAGTGTACATGTAACTACATAGTTAACAGACTTCTGCACACAACATGAACATTCATAATAATTATGCAGCTGTAAGTACTGTATGGAGTTGCTGATGTAAGATAAACTTTAAGAATTTTAAGCAATGACCCTAGCCTTGCCTATTGTATCTAAGGATTATCCACTATTATATAGATTACAAGCCACTGGTCATTGCATACGAGGATGTCTGACTACCTTGACAACAGACAGTTATCAGATCAACAAAGACTGAAGAAATCCCCTTTGGATGATACCAGAGTGTGTGAGATAGCTTAACCTACAAAACAATGTGATTTTTCATTGAAAGCAATCTTTATAAAAAGAAACAAAAAACTACAAGAATCAGGGCCATGCTCTAGCAGAGCCTGTTGGCCCCTGGTGCCAAACTTTTGCTCTTGGGCAACTAGAAAATCTTATATTTTTCATACAAATAATAATAATAATAATAATAATAATAACAATAATAATCACCACCTGTAGATTTCACATTTCAAGAGTTTGTAGGAGTCCACTGTTGGTCATATATTCAGTTTAGGTCATGCCAGCTTATGCAACTGTACAGAAAATGAGGAATGACTGTTGCATAAGCTATAAAAAAACAAAATAAGAAGGAAAACTTCAACAAGACAATAATGATCTTTTCTACAGCAGATAAATGGCTACAACTGAGTTAAGAGATTTTTTTTCTCAAATTCCAAAAAATTTATTTTAGCCATCTATATTGTCATGAATGCAAAATTGGTAAACCTGCTTCCAAGTAAGTCTAAACTAAAAAGATATAATAATTTTATTTTCTCAAAAAGCAGTTCACATGTTTACAACTGTATGTTTACCAACAAAAAGGATAAGTATTAGGCAAAAAACAGAGAATAAATCCCCAAGAAGAGTGCAATTTGGTCAAATAAGCAGCTCGAAAGGCAGGAAGCCAACGACAAGCAAGTTAACTATGGTATTTCCTAGATCAACTAAAAACACATGGCTGATTAGGTGCATGTATTTAGGTCATCCAGTCTGTTTTTGGACAGCGATCAAAGCCACATTTAGTTCTGTCCATGACAAATATTTGTTTCTACAGCTCTGGTGCAAAATGTAGAGGTACAGTAAACACAATGAAACACAGCTTATCAAAATTTATAGGGAAAGACAATATGCTCTCATATACACAATTTCACTTTGGGAACATGCTGTTACAATCACAATTGGAATTCGGCCGAAAAAATATATCATAACCAAAATTACAATCAAGATTTCCTCTGTAAACTTCTTTGGAAAGATTGGCTAATAATATGACAATAGATTTGCCAAAGGAAACAGCTTAGTATTTGGTGTTTTTTGGCTCAGAAAGTCACTCATGCAAGAAGATTTTGCACACAGATAATCATTGACCATAAATAAAAGTTCAAGATGAACTCGAAGCTCTCGAGCAAAGTAATGGATCTGAGAAAAAATCAAAGACGATTCAAAAATTGACAACATGAATAACAGTAGTTTCAAGATCGGTATGATTTTGATGACCGTCAAGAAACCGATGATATGTACATCGTTTGGTACTTTCGAAGCAAGTCACGCTCCTAATATCTTGCAACATTCACTAAAAAATTGATACATTACTTGGTTAAAGTGAAACCTTCCCGATACACAACAATGCTTTTGAAGAGTATCAACACCCTGATCTCTTCAAACTACAAGCAAGAAAAAACTCAGACGCGAAAAATCATACCAAATTAACTTCAATGAATTTATGTCATATACCACTTCCAAACATTTCTTAAGGCATTCAAAACTGATACCGAACTCCGTTTGACAAATCGATTTAACAAAACATTTTCCTTCTTTACAATTACAGAAAAGTGCCCAATAATAATGGAACGTTCAAACTCTTGAATGTACAACGTGATCCGAGATACAGCGCTTCAATGGCATTTTACACAGCCTCGGTTATTTGATATAAAAATCTCCGATGGACAAGAGATTGCATTTTGATTAAAGAGTTGCCAACTTAATGGCCTTTTTTCCCTGCTAGAAAAACAAATTAACTACCTCATTTCGAGCAGAAAAAGCACCGAGGAAAAAGAGAAAAAGGTAACCCTATATAACAAACCCCTTAAAATTCACACATTGAAGAAGAAGCCTTTCAACATTGACTCCTGAGTTCCTTGCATGTTTTGAAACACGATCCAAACTGGCTACTATGGATCGAAATTTAGGTGAGTAAGAGTTAAATGTCTATGAAATGCCGCTTCTAGGGCGACTGTTTTAGCCAGCATAGTTCAAAATCAATGCAAGGCTGATTTGAGGAATGATTACAATAAAATGTGCAAAGCAAACATGAACTTACTGTGCTATTTCGACGCTGCCGCAACTAGCTGCAGCATGTAAAGCCGTCCAACCTTCATTGTCTCGTACGTCCATTCGAGCCCCATGATCAACCAAAAATTTAACAAGATCATAACTTTCGTCGATGCAAGCCTGTCGAACACAAACAATGGTTAAAAGCCTCCATTACTGGCAACAGATGTAAATATAGACGCTAGAAAGCATTAGTTTCTAAAATCATCCCAGCCGCTATACTAGCTTCGCTTCCAAACTGTTCTCTTGATGGTATAAGATTTCGAAAACTACAAGCAATGTTCCTTACAGAAAGGTTTTATTTCCCAATAATATACAGTAATGAAAATCCGAAAAGAAATGCTGAAAGCAAAGTTATAATTTAAGCTCAAAACCCGGCATAGATTTCCTTGTATCCATTGGCCGAGGCCTAAATAGTTCAAGGCGTTAACAAACAGTTGGTGAATTGCCTTGCTAAAGCAAAGCATCTACATCACTATTGATGGTAGCTTACTACCTAACTCTAGCCAGGTATCGCTTTAATGGAAGAGAGACCTCAAAGTTCAGCTTGACGAGGGCAAGCTCTATAATCGCTCCATGTTTTAAGGAGCGAGTGATTCGTTAATTAGGCTATTGTTTTGGGTTCTGGCTAGGACCCCAGACCTGGTCCACAAAACGCTCTCGCACAAACTGCTCTCGCTTCCAACACAATTTTACTATCTGCAGCAAGAATGCCAGATACCGTACCTGATGTAAGGCGGTAAGTCCATCGACATTTTGGTGATTTATATCAGCGCCTTTGGCCAGAAGTTTCTTCACCTCATCCACGTCACCGCTCGATACCGCTGAAAGGAACACAGTTCCGAGGGAGAATTGAATTTTAGTTTTCTTTCTTGACCTGTCCGCAGACTCTAGTGCTGTCTCGCTCTTAGTCCATCGTTTTAGGGATTCTTGACGCTTCTGTAAAGCGTTGCTTGCTCTGGATGCTTGGCCACCCGTAAAAGGGTCCGCCATCTTCCCATGACGTTACAGAGCGACCAGCCCGTGGACCGAGTATGAGACCACGTGACCAGCTCGTAGGCGCAACGAGAGCCAATGGCGACCCCTAGGAATTGTCAATAACGTTGCCACGCAACCGTGACGTCACTTTGAGAAGGAAAAAGATTTACGAAAGGCTTTTCCTTTTTCCATACAAAACGTGATGTAGGTCGGCGATTTGTTATCTTTGTAAGACAAATGTCATTATTATTTATTCCTTTGCCATAATAAATAGTGGCAATCTATCATTGAATCATACAAAATTTTAATATTCCTCCATGTTACGAAGAGCGTTATTCATCCAATTAAAATTAAACCTCTAAGTCTAGTTAGTAAAACAAATTCCACAAAATAAAAATACAAAGCAGACCAACGCTCGCGAACCCTGTTTTAACATTTCACGCGTTCTCTTTTCTTTCTGCCTTAAACTGGTATGTAAAACACGTTGCACCCAGAGAATTTTAACCGGAAAGCTGCATCACATTTCTCACTCCCCCTCGTTAATTTTTCTCCGCACATTTCAGCGGGAATTGCCCAGTATCTAGTCAATCCGCAAGCCCTTCAGGGTCAAGTGTATTGTTCTCCTTTTAAGGAAAGTGCTTAGTGTGTGAACAACATAACATAAGCCTGCTGCTTCTGTGAGCTCTCTGCGCTTGGAAGCGAGCTTTCAATGAAAATTAATGAGAAAATTATCCCTCTACTGCGGTTTACATTCTGCAAATGCCACAGCGAATGACTCGCGGTAGACATACTCCTATCAAAGTAGACGTTCTAGCAAATTCACAGCCCAGCTGAATTAGCCATTTCAAGGACAGAACATCTCCTCATCCGGGAACAGTCGTGACCACTACCGCCTTACAAGGTCGCGTTCCTGTAAGAGTAAATATTTTGGCGTGAAGGTTTGCAAGTTTGACAGCGCAAATATTCGTGTGTCGGTGACCCGTCTTTCTCGCAAAAAATGCTTGAAATGGCTAGCATAAAAACAGCTTCGTTTGCTGAAGTTATTGGTAGTGAATGAGGCACATTTTTGGAATCATTTAAATGCTTGTCAAGCTTAGGTCAGCGGACTTCTAGCCGAAGCAACCATGACGTCACAAACGGGAGTTTCCCTGGTAGCTCTTTGATTCGTGTTCTTTTTTAAAACAAATTTGGTTCCATGGTAAGATCACGGGGGGAATTTTTTTCCTCCTGACTGCAGGATCAAACAAGACCCAGTTACAAACTACCTGCAGACCTCTTTTTGTGTAATACATTCTTTATTTCTTCTATTTGTTATTTAACAATTAATGAATGAGGCTGAGTATCTTATGAAAAATTATGGAGATCGAGGAGGGTGTTAAGCCCCGCGCAAACGGACGCAACATTGTTGGCCAACAACTCCCAACATTGTTGGATGTTACATGTTGCGTCCGTTTACACATCCACATTTCTTTTGTTCCTTGATCGCCGAAGCGTAGCACAACAATGTTGGATTCGTTTGCACAGCTCTTCCAACAATGTTGGGGCCACGCACGCCCATTACGCATGGTTTACAAAGACTTATGGGGTGCATCCTTCCCACGTTGCACTGCAGGTCCTAACATTGTTGGGAGTTGTTGCATCCGTTTGCACACCACTGCCAACACGAACCCTGAACTCCCAACATTGTCGGCGCAACAATGTTGGGAGTTGTTGCGTCCGTTTGCGCGCAGCTTAAGAGTATTTTAGAGGGTATATTCAGCTTATTCCTTATTTTAAATAAAAACTGCACACCTTTACATGTCTCCAAAGAGGATTCTGAAATTAAACTTGACTTATTTACCCAAGAGTACATAATACAGTTTTTTATATAGATTTTAGAAAATAAGAACCTGCTTCAAATTTTAGGCTTAACAGGTTCTTGTATAGAGTGGGCTTTAGCCTAACAGGTTTGTTTAAAAACCTGCGACTAAGAAGGCCAGGGCAGTTTTAGTCGCGGGTTTTTACTGTTCATTTTCCTCATTCTCTTCAACAATTAAGCGAAACTACCGTTTTCCATCTGCTAAGTAAACATTTTCAGTATTCAGTTGTAGTTCTTGGGAAACTTATTAGGACGTCGAAGATTAACAAATTTTCATTTTTTGCTGTCTTTAATGCCGAGAAAATGATTACAACATTCAGCAATATTAAACGAATCGAATGTTCGCATAACAAAACAGTTCATTGGAGGAGGAAACTCACCTATAACTAACCAATTCATTCTATCTACCAGGCTGGCAAACAGCCTTATCAGTTTGCCGTCTCAGTATCATTAACGATTATTCCAAGGAGCGTGTTACAATGGCACAAGCGAACAAAGTGCTTGTAGCGCCGACTTGGCTATAATCATCTTATACTACATAGAAAAACCCACAACTAACATGCGTTTTCCCATTAGCCTACACGGGTTGTTACATAAATGGTATAGCACAAATTTAGGATATTTAGGTTCTTAAATAGGTTCTTCTTCTCTGAAGGCAAAAATACATGTCTATAGCTAAGGGTATTTAGGGGTATCCAGCTCATTCCTTGCATGTTATCCGCATACCATTACATTGCAGTTGGAGGAACAAGACACGTCTCCAAAGAGGATCGATCCTGAAAGTTGACTTATCTTGTTTGCCCAAGTGTACAGACTTTTTAAATTGATTTTAGAAACTAACTACCTGCTTCAAATTTAATACCAACAAATTCTTGTACAGAGGGGGGCTAATTAACTGACAAATTTTAGCCTAACAGGTTCTTAAAAACCCGATTCTTAGTCGCGGGTTCTTATACTGTATGCAACAATCGCGAGTCATACAGAGAATAATCGCTTTATTAAAAATAAGCAGGAGGAATTGCCAACTTTCATCAAGAACGACAAGAATCGAAAACGATTCAATATATTAAGTCACCTTTGGCAAAAAGAACTCTGCAATTACACTTTTCAACGTCCAGTTTTAATGACGCCATTTGTACATCTAGTATGTCGTCGTCACTATCACGACTCAAGTTCGATTATGTGCCCCTGAGACATTTTACCTTTATTTTCTTTCTAGCGGAAACACACCTTCGGGGATGAGAGTCATGAGAGGCTGCCAGGCTGACACCTTATACTAGGAGATTACTAGCAAAGAGGGGTTAGAGCGATTTTTGTATGACCTTGAAAAATGGTTTCGGTAAATGTTCGTTATTTGTTTTATCAGCCAATGGATGAAAAGATCAAAACATGGATTCTTCGTTTTCCCGCCAAAGAAAACCCTAATATGGAGAAGGCATTGTTCGATAGGCCAGTCGCGTTGCAGTATGACGTCAAAGCGAAGTATCGAATGATTTAATTCTAGAAAGTTCTTGGGCATGAAGTTTTTTCACCCGAGCGTTCGATTAACCAACCAAAAGCCACGTGCGTTTGTATCCGTTCGATAAACCAATCAAATCGCTCTATTTCCGTTCGTTTGTTGTTTCTGTTTCTTTGTTCGCGCGTTTTTTTTTCAAGGTCATGAGAAAATCGTTCTATTAAGGCTACGTTCACAGGGAACCGGACGAAGTTTCGACCGGTTCAAAATTCGTTCGTTTGGGCGTTCCGTTCACACGGCTCAAAATTTAGACGCTAAGCCTCTCAAATTTCCATGTGAACAGAGTTAAAATATCAAACAGTCCCGTGTGGACGGAGTATCTGGTCAAATTTTTCAGCCGGTAGAAAATGATTCGTCCGGTGCCGTGTAAATGCAGCCGGAAATTAAAGGCTTGGGTCAAATAGCAACACACACAACGACAGAACGTAAAAACGAAATTCGTGAATCTTTTAGCACACCGTCTCGCTGTAAATTCCTTGAAGAAAAACAGAGAGAAACAACTCATTGCGCAAAGTCCTGCTTCTAGATGTTATAGAGTATATACATCGTCAGACAGACTGAAGTCCTGCACGCTAGCACGCTGGGAAAAAAAGTGCTAAAAATCGGCCACAAAATGTGTCCAAAGTTTGTTTAAAAATATGCGTGGAATGTCACAAATATCTCTTAAACTATAGAAGATAATGAGTTGAGACTTTCACTTTCTATTTGTCTTAAGTTTTTCTTTCAAATTCTACATTTTTTGGGTTAGTACTGCGCATGACCAAAAAGTCCATTTTGTGACGTCATCAGTTGTGACGTCACAAAAATGAAATTTGAGATTCCAAATCGGACAAGTTCTTTAATTTTATGTGCACTATATTTGTGCAAAGTATCACACTTTCAGGTTTAATTCTCTTGGAGGAGAAGTCTTTGGGAATTTTGATTTTTTAATTGGCCACTAGAGGGTCACGTGACTCTCTACCAACAAAACGCCTATTCCAAAATTTTCCTGGAGTGAAGTATTGTTGCCTGTATTAATTTCAGTGTCATGCCCTTAAAGGAAAGAAAGTTATAGCCCCAAGAACTCCAAAAATGTTTTGTGCCTATCACGCCCCCACTCAATCTTTTGGCCGATTTTTACCACTTTTTTTCCCAGCGTGTAGGAGAGCCTAACTCGCTTAAAAACCGACCAATAATAAATAAACTATATGAATATCTTCCGCCTGTCATAGTCATCGCTGCTTCACTAGCCAGAGCTACAGCTGACACAGCTTTTGCCGCGGGTCCAGCTAAGTGTCTCACCGAGTCCCTCATCACACTGCAAGAAAATTAGAATTATGGTCAGCAAAACTTTAGCTAGATTGATCTTGAAACAGGCCCTCATGTCTTTCTTAGTCAAGAAAAAAAGACAGGGAACATGTTAAAGAGCCGGGTGCCAGGGGTAATTTATCTCTATGCTCTGACCGGTCACCTAACTACCTTTCCAAGGCGCAGCCGTTTAAAACAAAAGGTTATCCCAGGGACCTAGGAAGTAACGGTATATCCCTTGGGCTGTCCCCAAAGACAATGGATTAAAGGTTTTGTTCGGGCACTACCGGGCAGAGGGCAAACAGTCTGAAAGTAAGGATCTTAGTAAAATAAAATCCCTCCAGGTGGAGTATGCGCCTCCTTATCGAAAAGCCTGAAAAGGGTGGAGGCGTAAAACACTTAAGTTTGATCTCATGATCGATGAAACTGTCGGGAGACAAGTCAGTTTCAAGAACCGGAGAGGCGGCATGATTAAAGGGAAACTTATCCTAATCAAGAGAGAATGAGCTAAGCTTAGCCTCTCATTTTCTCTTTTCCTGGTCGTATCCAGCACTCTTGCTCAGCCGAAACAGGATGCGACAAATCATTGCACCTAGGAAATGGATCGACCGGAGTAGCCAACCTCGTCCCTAGGGTCTATATATGAAGTTGATAGGAAGCCTCTTATTTAACTCGATACCCGCATCTAGCCCGAGATGACCGGCGTCAAGGGATTTCGCATTCCTTGACCTGTATTTCGGATACCAAAACCCAGGATTCGGGTTCTACAAGCAAAAATTATGCGGATTCCGGATTTCACAAGCAAAATTTTCCCGGATTTCGGAATCTCGAACTTTACCAATCTCGCACCCAGATCTCACTCCCGTTGGTTCGTGAGATTCCTTTTGCCTCATCTTCAGAGGGTGATTTGGGTACAAGACAGTAACAACAAAAATCACATTTTCCCAATCACTCACACCGCTTGAGGCGCGGCTCGCCGTGATCGTCTAGAGGTTAGGACACTGCGTTGTGGCCGCAGTAACCCAGGTTCGAATCCTGGTCTCGGCACTATTATCTTTTGTTGTTTTTACGTTTCATTTTATTTTGCATCTACTTAATTTTTTTTAAGGAAAGATTTAAGGTAAATGTCATGTTCGTGCTACGAGATCAGATGAATGAGAATATTTCGTCAATAATATTTTCAGCGATCTTGAGGAAGAACTTTCAAGTAGATTTATTTATAAGCTGTAAGCTGGCAATACTGGCCATGCCGCGAGAAAAGTATTTCTTTCAAAAGCGTCACTAGTTTGATGGATCGGAATTTGACAATACTAGGTAGAGGAAAGCGAAATGAAAATTAAAACGTCCGCAAGTGCATGGGTCTCAACTGAAAACCATTCAAGGGGATTAGCACCAAAAATTATTTTTTTCGTTTTTCTGATACCGCGTGAGGCGTGGCTCGCCGTGATCGTCTAGTGGTTAGGACACTGCGTTGTGGCCGCAGTAACCCAGGTTCGAATCCTGGTTACGGCAGAATAATTTTGGCTGTTTTGTTTTGTTTTGTTTTTTTTTTTTCCGGACATCCACTTATGTTTTCAAAGAAAAAATTGAGGTGAATATCATTTAATTTGCGCTTCTTGAAATCAAACGCATGGAATTTTCTCTGAAACGTTCACCACTTCACAAACTCTAGGGCGTGTGTTCAAGCTTTGCGTGCAGTGATTTCTGGGATCGCTTGGGTGGACATGCGTTATTTACGATTCGTCAGTGGTATTCGAGGGAACCACTAACCAATCGTACGTAACGCTTGTCCACCTAAACAGTCTCGGAAATCGTTGCGCTTTTAGCCATTCCCCTTAGGCCCGGTTCAGACACCGAACTTTTTGAGCTGAACCTAATTCGAATTAAGACCGACACAAATTATTTAGACCGGTTGAATTGATTCAGAGGCCGATATTAATTCCAGCCGAACTAAATTCAACAGGAGAAAAATGCTCATTTCGGTCAAATTGCGTACACTTTTCATGTACTTAATTCAATGTCTTAGGTTTAGCTAACGAAAAGTTCGGCATCTGAACCGGGCCTCATAGTTTCTGGAATGGGAAATTCCAGCGCTCCCGACAAAGCTACTTTATGTGGATTTACATATAGAATGAAGACTGGCCGTCCTTGCCAGCTAGCCATGCCGCGAGGAAAGTATCTTTTTAAAGGGCGTCACCAGTTTGGTGGGGAGCTCAAGCAAATTAAAGACGACGACGAAGTCAACAAGAAAGGGAAAAAAGCAATAGGTTTAGATTGGCAAAACAACAACTCTGCTCGTGCATCACGCTTTTTTGTACATTTCTTTGCCGTAGCTGCACGACTACGACGTGAAAATGCCTATTTTCACGTTTTGTGGAGGGCGTGACGTCAACTTCGATACAGTGTTTTAGAATTCAACGCCAGAAAAAATTGTTAACATTTGATGAATTGAACGGAATGGAATAAGCGCGATAAATTTTAATGCACCGCGACTTCACTTTTTTAGTGACGTTTTCGTAGCCGTCGCCGTTGTTTAAGGTGGAAGATTAGGCACCAAAATTAAAACTTCCGCAAGTGCATGGGCCTCTGGTGAAAAACAGTCAAAACACCATAAATCTTACCAGGACATTTATTGGCACATTTCCTCCTCTCTCTTAGCTTTGAAGGGCAGCTGGCCCCGCCAGTCGTTTCACGTTTTATTATTTTCCTTAGTCGATGCTGTCTACCTCTGTTACACTTCTTAGAACATGGCGACCAGGGCGACCAACCGGATACAATGCAATCTGAAAAGATAAGATGAAGCCGAATCAATGTACTTTTTACTTGGATTTTTCTTCAAGAGTAACTGTGTTTGGTATCTCAAACAATTCAAACGTTTGCGCTTTGGGGTTAAAAAGAAAGCTATCCGACCCGCACGGTTGTCCTCAAATAATTTCGCAGAGAATGAGCAAATTAAAGAAAGCAGCCTAGTTTCAAGCAAGAACCTCTCTGCATTCAAAAAAGTGGCGCGGAGTACATGTTAGAAATACTACAGAGTGGCTTATTTTTTACACCAATAAATGTCTTTTTAGAGGTTATTTAAAGCGATATTTGAGAGATTTAGAATCACGTGGCACTGAATCTGTCTAGCTATTCATCCATAAATAAGGACCATGCTATTAAAACCAAATAGTCAAGAGTCACATTACTGTCTTCCATTGTGCGGGCCAATTTCAAAACCTAGTCTATGCTCAAGAGAATTCCAATTAATGAATTCTCAGGGGGCGAACATAAAGAAACGTTTGCGTTTTAAACTGAAAACATTACCACCAGTTTTGGTTTGAGAAGGGGCAAACGTACAATGGAACTCATGTAAATGGCGAACACCCATAAGTTGTTAACTTGTTCAGTGTTTAAACTTAAAAATAATGTCCTTACCGTTGCTTTTCTCTAAAGGGCATTTCTCAAGTTTGCACTTTCTGAATTTTATGAGCTCGAAGTCTCTACAAGATTTCCCTCCTGGTCCTGCTTTTTGAAGTATTGTCCGCGTCCGAAATTTGCCACCTCGGGTACAAGTGCCCCAACAATCAGTCCAGGACGACCATGAAGACAGCCTGCAGTTTCGTTTCGGAGGGCGAAAATCTGGCGGGAGAAATATCGACAACAAAACACAATTCTAAGAGTATAAACATACGAGACAAAAACAGGGTTTCTTAATCAAATCGATATCTTATCACTCGTGTTTGCTCTTTTTACTAAAGGGGCTATAAGATGATAAAATTAAGATGATAAGGTCTACAAAGACTTCTCACTAATCTCCAGTCTATTTTCACTCGTCTCCAGTCTACTTTCGAGTTTCAAAAATCCTCACTTAATTTCAAATCAAGGCCAAGTGCAAAACATTTCTTGTGAAAATGTGACTTGAATAGCAATTGAAACCCATTCATTCCTGCCATTGGCTTCGCACTAAGCCTCGTTTTAAACAGCGGTTTAAGGCAACTCGGAGATAGCCTTTTAAATTTTCCCTTTATCTCAGCCCGCGTGAGGCGTGGCTCGCCGTGATCGTCTAGTGGTTAGGACACTGCGTTGTGGCCGCAGTAACCCAGGTTCGAATCCTGGTCTCGGCAGTATTATTTTGTTTTTGTTTTTAATTTGTTTTTAATTTCTATTTCCATTCAATTATGTTTAAAAAGATTTGAGAAAAATGTCATTTTGGGCTTCAGAAATATAGGTTAAGACACCAAGGGCCGCAAAGGCGCCTGCTTTCTTCTTCGAAAAAGTTGTCAACAGTGCTGCTGTTCTTATTATGACCAAAGATGTCGCCAGCCACTCGCTAGCAATGCATTCGTCATCAATAGAACCCTTTGGGCCAGGGCTGGCCAAAGGTCGAACAAGAACGGTGAGGCTGCAACCTCGAGGTTTCTTGTACAAAAACGGTGCCACAACGGCACCAGCAAATTAAGTGAACGTAACACAACTCGGAGACTGGGAGTATCATCATTATCATTTTGCTTTTGAAAGAGAAGATGGTAAAGGAAGAATTTTTTATAGAAAATATAAAAGCATGAAACTGATGGCAAACGTTCGTTTGAGGTACTTAAGTTCATTTATTGATCCACTTGTTCGAAGAAATAATTTCTGAGGGAAATTTGATTAGGTTTTATTCCTCTTTAAAAAGTCCATTAGAAGTTAAGGCTGGTTAGCAGCCTAGCCGCATTGCATACTTTTCACCTCCGCGTTCACCATAAAACCTGATCAAAACATGGCAATAGGGTTGGCAATAGGTCATTCGAGTTACTCTGGGCCTCTGTTTCAAAGCCAGGCTAAGTGCGAAGCCATTTATACGAAAATGAGTTCTTATTCTCATGCAAATAAAATTCAGTTTTTCAAGAAAGGTTTTGCACTGAGCCTCGTTTGAAAGTGAGAGTTTTTGGCACTGGGAAATTGTCAATTCATGAGCAACTTACTGGAACAGTTGCGGATAAAGCAAGACCTGGATTCTCTCAATGTTGGACACGGTAAGCCGTCATTCATTGGCTGCTTGAGTATTGCTCGGCCCCTAAGCTGAATGCCTCGACCGCATGTGACTGAGCACGCAGTCCATTTCGTCCATCGAGATACTTTACAATGTACTCGTTGCGCTAAAACGTAAAAAGAAAAATTAGGAGTCGCCGACATGTCAACCGATACTCGGCTGAGAGGTACCCAAATTAGGCAGCTCAGACGTTCTATTTATTAGAGACCTTTAGATTCAACTTGGAATTAAATTAACTGCAAAAACCGTGGACGAAGATCCTGCTTTTTATAAACTTTGGATGTCTAGAAAAGAGATCTAATCAGCCAAAATGTTAAGAATTTTCAAAAAAGTCTGAAGACTACTGCAAAGCTGATCAGAAAAACTTGTATTGTTTTTTCATAACAATATTTCGGCTGGGCAGCCTTCTTCATATTAAAAAACAATACACGTTGTTCTGGTCAGCTTTGCAGTAGTCTTAAGAATTTTTTAAAAAAATTTTCAAGAACTAGGACGACTAAGAAGACGAAATTTGACTGAAAGTTTTTGTCGTGTATTGCAAAAAATATACACACCGAAAAGCTCATTGCACTTTTTTTTTTCACCAGAAAAGTTAGCACTGTTATCTTTATTGAAGGAGGTTAAGCCCTCTCCTGACTCCGAAATGATGAAACTCTTCTAATATTTGATAACTTGTTTCCGCCATTACGACATTCTGGCTAAAACTCGTATTAGATTGACATCGGCTATCACGTTTTCCCGCCAAAATGACACTGGTTCACGCGCGCGCACTAGAAAACCTCGTACTCGTAGTTCGTCTTATTAGTTGGTCCTCATCTTAGAATCTAAAGGTCTCTATTTTCTCGTTAGAGATCGTTGAAAGCGCCCAGACACTCGTGCCTGCATGAAAATTAAAACTGCGAGCGGTTTATTGACTGCTAGCGCAAGGAGGTGGGTTGATGGTGGTTTCTTTTTCCTTTTTTTTTTTTTCGCGCGCCTCGAGTTTCTTCCAGCAATGCACGCAAAGTTCTTAAAAAACGTAAAAGAATAGAAAAGAAAAGAACGATTGTGGACAGGCGGCTTATCCAGGGCTATTTATTGTTTGGCATAGCTGTGTGCGGTCAAGCTTCCAAAATCTGCAAAAACAAAATCCAAATTCTTCCAAACCATCCCTCCACTTAATGCAGTTCTGTGACCACAGATCTCAAGCAGTTCCTAACTTCGTTTCTACTAGTATTCTTGGTTTGGAACTTCTCTAAATCGGTTGTTATTTTGATTATGATCACTTCCTAAAAAATCTAATACATTCACACTCCTCAAGCTTGTTTTCATTCATATACAGTTATACAGGTGATTAATTCATGAAGACTGAAGAAAATTACAAAATCAATTTCCTCGATGGGTTATTCCAGGGACTTAATGAAGTGCACCTTTTTGTAAGAACTGAATATAAAGAATTTATCAAATGAACTGAACTAAACTATGGAAACTATGACATGCCTGACATTTTTCGGCAAGGAAAGCGCGTCGAATACTTGGGTTACATCAACTTTGGTCTGCCTGTTTTTGTAGATATACAGTCAAATCCCGATTTACCGACACCCGCTAAATACGGACACCTCATTATTGCAGACAGTTTGCTTATCCCTGGGGAAAGAAAGCTCTTACACGTTCTCTAAATTCAACCCCCTTAATACGGACACTTTATATGCCCCCCCCCCCCCCCCCCCCTCCGGGCCCTTAATACCGGATGTTTGCTCTTTTTCGTCCGCGGCGGCCCCACGCCACGTCATTGGATAATTCCAGTCGGTAGATAATCATGAGTTTTTGAAAATTCGTACTAATATTTATTTATTGTTTCCTTTCCACAGTTGCTTTCATACACTATAAAACAAAATTATTTTTGATTACAATTAAAACCCGCATTTACCCAACCCCCCAAAAACGGGACCCCCCTTTTTTTCAACCATTTTTTTTATCCCGGGGGAAAAAAACCCCTTCCCCTTCTCCAAAATTCACCCCCCTTAAACGGGCCCCTTTTTTGCCCCCCCCCCCCCCCTCCACCAGTGTCCGTATTAACGGAGTTTGACTTTATTTAGTCCAGGGGGCACCCAACGTCAATTTTTGGAAAATATCTGTTCGGAAGAAGATTTGAGATCTAGAATTTTTGTTGTAAAATTTCTTGCTTGCTTGCCTCTCCTAGGATTCTTGAACATCGAAAAAATGGTATAATTGCCCATTGTTAAAAGGATTTTTACGCTGAAAAGGTCACCCAGAATTTTCGGGAGCCTTTTTTCTGGTTGAAAATTTCGAAAAGGCAATTTTTCGGATCACTAGACTTTCAGCTAGGAAATCCAAACAGATAAAAAATTTTAGGGGATAAAAATACACCTATATCTACCGTTTAAATACTAAAATACTTTCAACAATGCTATGTTTTAGTGGTTTTGAACTATATTCTTTTTGGGTGCCCCTGTTTAGTTATATTCTGGGGATAAACGGATGAGGATAACTACAAGATCTCTCAAAGGGACGCCAACATGTATTATACCAAATTTACTCACGTTTTTCAGGAAAGGGCAGAGGTTGCGGCTCACCACATGATCCGGAAGTATGCATAAGCTTTAGTTTGATCTGACCAAAGGGACGAGTAATATCGCCGTCCTTATTGTTAGGGAATGTTCCTTGAGAATGCTTATGCGTGTATCTGGTGATCTTCTGTATCGGTTGCTGAGGATTTGTTTTCCTATTGGCGGAGATGAATGTTATGCCGTCATCGGTACCTATAGTGATTGATTGACACATTAGATGTCAGATGCCGGGGAAAATATGTACTTATATCGTCGGTCTCTTTCTTGGAATCCGTGTAGAAAGCTACGATTTCTGGACCTAGTGTGCTATCGCCAAGGGCTGGATAGGACTTTAAGGGTTATAAGGCATAGTGTAGTACGAGATAATAAACATCCATAAATAATGCCCCGTTCATACTGAAGGGATTTGTTTTATGTCCCCTCGCCACTACAGAAGGGATCTTTGTTACAGTTCCCTCACCCCGTGGAAATTACAATTAAGCTTAATACACGAGTCTGCATTAGATTTTTGTGTCGTTAAGACCCACCCCACTGTCTCTAACCTGTTTTCCTCAAATTCACCCTTTTTTAACACTGCGAAGAGATTTATTTTTCCAGTCTTTTCTAACAACCCCCTCGCCCCGTGGAAAAATCTAATTAAGCTGCAAACATTGCATTATGAGCTATTGGGACCCCCTCTCTCTGACACGTCTTGCTCAAATTTACCTGCTCATATATATCATATTGTTACTTTGCGCAGTAAAATAATTGCTTTGTTGTTGTATGTTTTACCTGCATCCCATGGGTAGAGATCCTGAACGATTTGTTTTTTCCAAGTGCAATTTCCGTCGCACAGATTAATTCGATCAACGCCCACGCTCCAGTCCGGGCTTGGTGTTATCTTTGCCAGCACCGACACAAGATTGCGTCTGTTGTCTGCTTTGAAGGTAGAGGACACCTGACCAAGACTTGTGTATAGCATTCGAGTCTGGATGATGCTGGAATAAGTGCAAACACCTTAGCCCATAAACTTAAGGTCAGCGCTCTAAAAAGACTTTTACAGAAATACGACCCAGTTGTTCGAACCCCGATTAGCACAAACCCAGGGTTAAATTTTAATCCGGGTTTCTTTTTCTTTTCTTCAAAAGCATTTTCTCGGATAATTTTCTCTTTTATTTTCAGTGCATCCAATCATAAAATTAGAGACAAAAAGGATTAATCTGAACTCGCTTTCTAGGTTCTCCTATCTAAATTAAAATTTTGCACTCTCTCGGTTATCTTTGACCCAGCTTAAACCCGGCCCTGGTTTTATCTGACCTAATTGCCTAATTAAGGAACACTGAAACGAGGAGAAAACAAACGTACAGAGTGCTATGTTGGGTGCAATGGCTAAATTGCATCATTTCTCAATTCCTAAAATTGTTGTGCGCAGCATTGCTGACAATATTGCAACAGTAGAATTTCCTTTTTCATGTCTTCCTGGCCTTATTGCGCTGAATAGTGCGCCAGACTTGGTAGCTGTTTAGAAGATGTTGCGCGTAATGTTGCAGGCAATATTACACCGGGTATTTTTGGGTCTTAACAAGAAAAGAAGAAGTTAAATATGCGACGCAGGTTATAAGTGGTGTTCTTAACACCAAAAGGAGAAGGTAGAGGCGTTACCGCAAGTAGCAAGGTGTCTTTTCTCTAAGTTTGATTGCGAGTCTTTTTATGCAGCCGAAGTTTGCTTCTAGTTCCAATTTGTTCTTTGGACGGACTAAGTCTAATGTAACTGGTCAAATTTATTACTTTGGATTTGGTGCCTAGAACACTTCATATAAAATTTGGATTCAGGAAGCCGCGAGTTTGAGTACCGCGCTCAAGTCGTCCACCATACAAGAAAATGGCCAATTTTAAACTGCTTGCGACCAGTTGGGTTTTTAAACCATATTCCAATGTTCAAATTGGTTATTTGTTTTACTGATTATTTCAGAGGAGTACCCTTAAAGTGGCTAGAGTACAGTAAGCAGTACTGTAAGTAAAGCAAGTGCGCATCCACTGTGAAAAAACATTGAGCATTTTTGCGTTCTTAAGAACGCATCCTAATCTGGTGTTCCTGTGGCACTAAGGCAGAAAGTTTCGAGCTACATCACGGGTGACTGCAAATTAGCTGCCCCTATTAATTTTATCAGGGGCACCTCGGCCGGGAAACTGGACTCGTTTCGACTCAATTTCGTTTCCGCAATTTTTCCGTAAGTGACGAACGCGGATCCGTAATCAATGATTAGCTCTAGTGTAAAACTATATACCTGTATTTAGTACAGAAATTTCAAGACTCAGGTGAGCAAAATTTGAGAAAAAAACGCAGCTTGACACTTCCCATCGCTGATAAAGTTCGAGCGATTTGGACGAAATATTCGTTTTCGTCTCAAATTTTGCTCCGGGTCTTGAAATTCTTTAATAATCGTCTTCGCCAGCAGAGCTGGTGAAAAGCCTTTTTTCGTAATGTATACCTGTAAACATTTCCCCCCTGACTTTTCATCTCCTTTATTAGTTTATAAACAGCTCCCCACTCGCTGACCATGGTCACTCCGGCGGAGGCCATTCCCCCATACTCCCAAATGATGTAATCTTTGCTGTGTGAAGCACCAATCAATGGAGACCAGCGTGCCATAATCCCTGGAAAATGCCGAGGATGTGTGGATTCTCTCCATTTACCTTTAAATAAAAAATAATTTGTTATTATTGTTGTGTTTTTTTGTGCGCTTTTAAGAATTCTGAGTTATCTGAGTTTATGAAAAGTAGTTTATGTAGTCTGTCGCGGAAAATTTGGTGGAGTTGGACTGCCGCTCATTAGCTTACAGATAAAAAATGAATGGTCCGTGTAGGCTTGAAACTGTAATCACTGAATAGCTGTGGCCTATCTCTACAGGCCCAGGTTCCTGAAAAGCCGATTAAGCTATCCTCCGATTAGCGTCAAATCCACGACTAAATTTTTTATTCCTCGGATAAATAATCGAGGGTTAAAAAGGAGTTCCTGAAACCGAAATAAACCCACGATTAACTAATCCGAGATTAGTGTTAAAATAGACCGGTTTAATTAGTTTTCCGGGTGATTGCTTTCAAAAAATATGGGGCGAAACATGTTTAAGCACGGGTTAAGTAAAGGGAAAATGGCGGGAAATGAAGTGGTCGAGGTTAAACCAAAGGAGAAGAAGAGGAAACCGAAATTCTTCATCTACCTAGAAAGAGTATTTATAACATAGTCCTTATATTCAGAACACAAAGATAGTAAAGTCGAAAAGAATTGTAGGTCGGAACATCAGTATAGGTAAACTGGATTAATTAATAGTTTTCCTGTTTACTTGGGAAAAAAGCGGGTTATTTGTAGTTTCGAACATTAGAAAAATAATGAAAAAAAGAAAGAAAAAGGTAACAAAATGCGGATTTCTCTTTGGAGAAAGTGATGTCGAAGGAACTGTCTTTACTTTCACTTTCAAAGCTCTTTTTTGTTTCATGGGTACCTAGAAAGAGTTTTTATAACATAGTCCTTATTCAGAACACAGTCCGCAGTCCATGTTTTATACTGACCAAATTTATTGCATGAAGTAGTAACCACGTTGGGAACAGCTTATGTTTTCTCCTCGTCTGTCTCTCGAGGTCGTTCTTGAGGATTTCTACCAAACATTTTTTTGACTCTTGGCCAAACCTGTATCTACTGCGAAGCTTTTCGTCAGTGAATTGGTCGAGATCAATTTCTTGCTGTCGGAACTTTTTTTCACGTATTTGTGCCAACGGAAAGTCCGCCATTTTGTTTGCTTTTACAAACTTTTTCCCCCGATTAGTGAGTTAATCGACTTACTAAGTGGGTTAAATTTAACACGTAGTTTTTTCCTAGATTAGTCTTAATCGTGCTTTCAGGAACAGAATCTAATCGTGGGATAAAATTTATTCCACGATTAGCGAGATTTAATTTGTTCAATAATGGTGTTGGATACATTCAAACAGATCATCAGGTTTCTGGGAAACTGCCAACCCACCCCACCCCTGAGCCAACATCAACAATTACTTTTCACTTAGGGCAAAATGATGGCTTAGGGGAGGGGAAGGTGGGCAGTTTCCCAGAAACCTAAATTCATCTATAATAACTTTACCAGTGAAAGTGATGTCATACGTTGCTCCACCACAAGCACAGCAAGTATACTTGTCATCCTCCAGGTGGTCTGCTACTTTCTGTTTCTTTACTTCATCTAGAAAGAAACACAATAACAAATTCTTAAAAATTCCAAATTTAGTTTACGGCTCTGTAGCGCCACCTCGTGACGCTCTACATCTGCGCTGAATTGATGGACACAAAATTGACGGGAAAAGTCCAAATTTTGCGATCTATTTACAAAGAGCAGGTGTTCCGAATTAAAGACAAGTACCCAAGAAAAGATTTAATTATGGTAATTTTTCGTTTGAGTTTTGAGATCAAAAAAGAATAATGCGTTGAAAACAGTATGTCTCCTTGCGAATTTAACGTAATGTTCAGAGCCCATTCACTGCATCGTGTAAACTTGTACATTCATTGAGGTGCATACGTTCGATGTGCATATACTCTAAATAAATGCACGATGATGAGATGTCCCCAGCAAGCCCTTTCGCTTTTGGAGGCTCGAGATTCGGGATTATAAAGCAAAATCGAGGCAAGTTTCGGGATTGAAATTATGCCCGTGAAGTTGGATGTCAAAATAACCATCGGGATTACGGGATTGCACGGAATTTTGGGTCGGGATTACGGGATTGAAGAACCCTATTGGGGAGCGAACATTAAGCTCGTTGGTTGTTTGTTTTGCCTGCCCGACAATAATTAATTGATATTGCGGACGAGTGCGATCACCAAATGACGTAATATGAAACATTGAAATTAAAAGACATCTGAAGAATGCCCACACGACAACACAATAGCTAGCTTAAAAAAGTTTCCGCAACACTAACAAAGACCCAAGTTATGTAAAAAATTTTTATACTTAGATTATGTTGGCTTATACATAAGTAGACTTGCTTAAGTTGCGGGGTACCCATGAAACAAAAAAGAGCTTTGAAAGTGAAAGTAAAGAGAGTTCCTTCGACATCACTTTCTCCAAAGAGAAATCCGCATTTTGTTACCTTTTTTTTTCTTTTTTTCATTATTTTTCTAATGTTCGAAACTACAAATAACCCGCTTTTTTCCCAAGTAAACAGGAAAGCTATTAATTAATCCAGTTTACCTATACTGATGTTCCGACCTACAATTCTTTTCGACTTTACTATCTTTGTTCATTCTGTTGCAAATGAAACCGTGAATCTGACACTCAAGCTTGACTTCGTTAACTTCAAATGAAGCTGAAAATGCGAAGCTTGCGAGCAAGAACTTTATTGCTTACACTTTTAAAAAGTACCCGCGGGATAATTTTTCGTGCATTAGAGACGGCGATTTAAGTGCGTATAACGAGAATTATTATTTAGCTTTAACTACAATGTAGCTTTTGAGGTACACAGGGATATTTAAATAACGAAAGCTTGTCGTTACTTTCTTATAGCACTCTATTTTCTTCTCAGTCTCTCAGTTTCTACCACATGAATATTTATTCCAGTGTGTTATCTCCCAAGCAGGAAAATACCAAGAGTCTGCGATGTCTCCCAGGTAAAGGATCTCTTGTTTTTTTTCTTCTTTTCTTTTTTTTCCTTTTTTTTTCAGTCTATTCGAGTTGATGATGGTTGTTGACAAAAACACTAAATAGCGATATATTTAGTATGATAATATTAGACCTTATCCAGACTTAAGAGCCCATGACTGTAAATATCGAGAATCGCTGGCCAGGCTAAAAAAATCGAAAATTCTGATAATTTGTCAGAAAAACCCCTTTGGGGAACTATCTTCGAAAAAAATATTTTCAACTTTCAAGAATCTATAGTTTTCGAGAAAATGAGGAAAAACGAAAATAGCGGTTTTTACCTAATTAATTATGCAAAAATTAGAGTAAAAATGACCTACTTTATCGCGTCTATACCGAGGCAAGATTCAAAGCTATAAACCAGAAGTATTTTTGTTTAAAAGCATTCTATCTTTTCTTTCTATCCATGGTATGTTTTAAACCATAAACTTGATTTTGAATTTTTTATGGTTTTTTAAAAAGTACCATCAATGGCACTTTTTAAAATGGCTTAAAAATGAGCAACTTCAGAGGCAAAAAACTCACCTTGGTATGTGTGATACCTAGCCAAAATGTATACTAGGACAATGTTCAGCTCTTATATTAACGGAATATGAAATAAAAAATCTGGGTACTCCGGATTCGCCCTTTCAAAATAAAAAGTTTCGTGACCACCAGTGGAAAAATGTCACAAATTTGCATAAGTCAAATTTGTAGAGAATGTTGCGGCAGCCGGTTTTGTTTCAATTCAGGGTCAGTATGGAATGTTCGGAAACATCACGAAGTAAGAAAACACTTTTTGATAAAGTTTATGTTAAAATATCAGAGTAATAAACCGTTCACAAAAAAATAATAATAAAAAGCCGACCTCGAAGAAGCGTTATATAAGAGCGCCGAATTTCTTAAGTAAACTATATCCCATGTCTCTCGTTTCGTTTCCTAACTTCCTTGTATTAGCATCCATCTGTATTATCGTAAATTCGCCTCCGGTATGTCTAAAATAGGTAAGGTACATTTTCCTTGAAATTTTATTTGCGAACGGGATACACTGCGTGAGAGGAAGTCATAAACTAACAGTTAGAGCAACAATGTCACGCAACGACGTCTCGAGCAACTCCGCCTTCTTTCACTGATTTGCTTCTGCTTATGAAATTTTATGAACCAAAACAAGTTCCAACCGACACCGCCGAAGAACTGGAAAAGGAGACTGCAGTCGAACCTCCCGAAAGCGACCACCCAAAATGCGCAGACTTAGTGGTCGCTAACAGGAGGTGCTCTCTTACGAGAATCGAACCACAGGAGGTTTCTTTGAGAAGAAAACTGGACACATCTACTTTAAGGAAGATAATTTATTGCGTGCAATTTCCAAGTTACGATATGTGCAGTTCCATGTTGTTGTTGTTCCTACCACAAGACATCAGAAACTCGTCAGGTGGTCGCTTACACGAGGTTAAAAACAGCCCCAATTAGTGGTCGCGGGCGCTTACAGGAGAGATTCCAACTGTAATTAAATTGGGTGGGTTTTGGTGTTTTGGATAGGTTGTCGCACATAGAGGTTCAACTGTAGTCCAACAGAGTAAATCACTTTTCACGACGATGCGACTAGGATTTGTCCATGGAAGATAAGACTCCTTGTTCACCACTTTTGAGCTACTCTAACCAACTCCCACCCATGTCGAGTGTCTGCAAAACGTAGCATCATCGTGAAATGAAAGGTATCAGAAAGGTCATCCTTGACGCCGCCGGCCTATCGCAGTATGCAGCAGCGAACTTATATCGGCGTAAGTACCATTTACTAACCGGGCAGTGGGCGACGCAGAGTAAAAGCGTAACTTGACTACGTTTTTCAGTTTGCAGCAGACCCGAGTTTTGTTGAAAGAAATACCTGCCTTTTGCTCAGGAGTATTAACGTCAGTACCCGCAATGTCCCAACTCGTGCCTTCACACCGGAACGTCCGATCGAATCACTGTCCAGTTGATAGTAACACCCTTCTCTTCCTCTTCGCGACTTATCTAGGAAGATCGAAGGGCCTCTGATCGCAGGGTAGTTGATAGCGACCAAGGAGCTAAATAACATAGCGAGGTAAGTAAGTGGTATCGGCGGTTTGATTTACGCCTAACCGTTTCCCAAAGTAAAGAAGGAAAGAACTTCAGACAAAGGGAAAGAAGAGTTATGCGATAAAACTGCTCTTAAATTGATGTTTAGCTATGGCATATGCGAGGGGGTGGGGGCTATTTAATTGCTGAATAACATGTGTCGTTACCAAAAAAATTACGGAAAAATATTTTTTCCTTGGTCTAGAATTTTGACCATGAAAATTTTAGATCTAGCCATTTGTGATACCAGGCCAAAAAAATCCAATATTTAAATATTTCCCTCTTAGCAGCACGCCCTCTAATTACACTGTCCTTCAGTTTGGACGGTATCCAATATTATATATCCGCAGGAACGAAACATGACAACAGCTGGTTACAGATTGTCATGATCAGTGTGTGAAGCGGGGGATCTGGGCACCCTATGACAGTTCTTGTCAAGAAGACCCCAAATCAGTATATTTGCTGTTTTAGGTTAATTCTGTGCTAAAGTCATTACTTACTGCCCTTACCCAGTCAAAAAATGTTCAGTGAAGACTTATAAGTATCATTTTATCAGGTATCACTAGCAAAAATATCTTTTTGGGTGATGCATTTAAACTTGAAAAAGATGGCCCAATATTTCCAATTTTCAGTCCATGTCCATCCTGGCCATCAGTAGTAACAGAACGCGACAGGAAACAGTTTCAGTGCCTAAATATAGTCTTACATAACAAAACTGGACCATAATTTTTGGAACTAAATTGATGCGAAATGAAGACCATATTAGCTTTTTAAAATGAACTAGCAATTAGCTTGGCATAGCCGCTTTAACTCTTTTTTGACGGCCAATTTTAGTAGAAGAAAACCCTGCCTTTTGACCAAATCCTCCCTTTTGGACCGCCTTTCAACCAGTTAGAGCCTGCATAACAGGCGTTATTTTTTTCGCGTTTTTGCAGGAGAACGAAGGCAATCACAAAGTGAGTGAGAAGCGCCAGACATACCCCTTAATGGCTCTCCTCACTCGCTTCGCGCTTGCATTCGCTCCGGCTTCGGGCTTAATTGCCTTCGCTCGCCTGAAAAACGCACACCTGTTATGCAGGCTAGCCAGTTAGGTTGATATGCGAATGGCTGAAAAAGATTTGCAACACTAGACTGCTCAATTGGACTTACACTAATTTAGAAGCTTTTTTGGCGCATTCACAGAAGCCAAAATTTGACATCTCTTACGAACCTATATCGATCTTTCTCTCCCGCTCTCTTTTTTCCCTTTGCCTTTCTTCTTCTGTTGTTCCGGCACTTGATCGTCTTCTGACTGTCTTTGCTTTGCAAAGAATTTTGGCTGGTAAACTTTTCAGGAAAGGGACATTTAATTAATCAGTAGAGAATAGAAGGTGAATAGAAAATCTAGAAGTAGATTTTTTTACCCCAAATGTTGCTTTTTGTGTGTGTGTAACTCTCTCAAGATACATGAAGATAGGTGAAAATTTGCTAAATGAGGTACCAGTGGAAAAATCTATTCTTGTTGACTTTGATCAGTTTATAACCTTGGTGAATAAATGGAAAGCTAGATGGGTTCATGAAGGATATTCATGGTGAAAAAACACCAAAACGACCCCAGTGTCGGCAGCACTCCCTCCATCTGATTTACTTTTTCTATTGAGAGGACAATTGCAAGGATTCGTGAGGGTCTGTTCAATCAGGATTTCAACTAATCAATGGCACAATTACGGGTCGGTCCACTTGACGATCTTTGACCATCTTTGGCTGTTCGAAATCGTGTCTGGACCTGAAAGTGTTGAACGCACGAACAGTGAAGAGGCAGAAAGAGGAGGTGGAAGAATTTCAGAAAAGACAGGAGAGAAAAGGGGGCAATGATTACTTTAATCTTGTCTTTACTTACGTTATTTTTAATATGCGAGACGTGGCAATTTCACCAAAATATAACTTTGAAAAACTACTGAGAAAATTAACTATTTCGCATTTTTATTGATTGAAAACTCATAGGGTCTGATGTATAATGTTATTAATGGCAAATCCCCTAAAATACCTTGACGAATGAACTATCGGTACCATAAAAGCATGTGCCCACTCCAAGAAAGATGTGTGACCGCGAAATTCATTCAGGTGAATAAAGTAAAGTTAAGTCATCTGACATGAATAATATTTCTTTACACCGGTAAAAAAAGAGTCTGACGGTGATGAGTTTGACAACAGTCACGCAATTGCAGAATACAGTACTCCAATTGCTGAGCAACCTTAATTTTGTAATGTACAATTAAGAAGAGCTAAGATACGAAATACAAAACATTTAACATTAGCTATTCTCTTGGTTATGCTATTCCAAGTTCCAAATATTGCGTGATGCTAACAGTATTGAAACCCGTCCTATATGCAGATGCATTTATGTGTTTATATGCAAATTTATCACATTGTGTCACCAACATTCACAGCAATTTGTTATCAGGGATATCAATTTTTCAGATCCTTTACTTAATTTTAGCTTCATTTAAAGGCGCTTTCATCCTTTCTCCTACGTTTTGAATATACCACGTACCGAAACTACAAAGAAAAATCAGGCGGCATCATTTCTCTACAAATTTGACTTATGCAAATTTGTGACATTTTTCCACTGGTGGTCACGAAACTTTTTATTTTGTAAAGGCGAATCCGGAGTACCCAGATTTTTTATTTCATATTCTGTTAATATAAGAGCTGAACATTGTCCTAGTATACATTTTGGCTAGGTATCACACATACCAAGGTGAGTTTTTTGCCTCTGAAGTTGCTCATTTTTTAGCCATTTTAAAAAGTGCGCTTGGTGGTAGTTTTTGAAAAACCGTTAAAAATTCAAAATCATGTTTATGGTTTAAAACATACCATGGATAGAAAGAAAAGATAGAATGCTTTTAAACAAAAATACTTCTGGTTTATAGCTTTGAATCTTGCCTCGGTATAGACGCGATAAAGTAGGTCATTTTTACTCTAATTTTTGCATAATTAATTAGGTAAAAACCGCTATTTTCGTTTTTCCTCATTTTCTCGAAAACTATAGATTCTTGAAAGTTGAAAATATTTTTTTCGAAGATAGTTCCCCAAAGGGGTTTTTCTGACAAATTATCAGAATTTTCGATTTTTTTAGCCTGGCCAGCGATTCTCGATATTTACAGTCATGGGCTCTTAAGACAACAGACCTGATATTTGCTTTTGCAACGCCTCATGACACGAAAAGAAATATACAAAACAGGGAGTGGCCAGGACGACATGCATGCGTTATTAACCGCACATTAGGTCAGGGCGTATGGATATTCGGTCATCATTGCCCTAAATAAATATAAATCCGCATTTTACCAATGACAATGAAAATACAAAAACAGGAACCAGGCCAATACTTAAAGCTTTCAAAGAGATAAAAACGTTTGTAACTAATGTGTAATGCGTAGGTGGATATGGAAAGCAGCCATTCATTATAGCAAGAAGAAAATCAACGAAATATTTTCTTCAGAAATTATAGGGATCACAAGAAGAAGATATGTACATTAAAATATACCCATGAACTTATCTATACGTTCTAAACATAATACATTACGAGATGTCCTTTTTTGTAGGTTGTAAATATACGTTTTGAAAAGAGTAGCGTTAGAATAACAAAGGCCACGAGCTCGGAATGTCTGCAATCGAAACCGCTCTTTGCGGTGGTCTATACACTCTTAATCAACTCCATTGCAGGCACGAAGGGGGACAACGTGGCTTACGAAAAGGTTCGTTAGAGCGCTAGACTGGCAACCCCAAGGCTTTGAGTTCAAGTCTAGGACTGAGCGCTATGGCTGGATTTGTTCAGGGTTGTCCCCAGTTTTAATTAACTCATAGTCCATGCTCGTAAGTAGCTGACTGGTTTGCCTCCAGGCAACTCGGATTCTTACTTGTTTATTTCAATTTTTTCTGTCCTTAGTTTGTGGGCCACAATGTAAATTACTTGGTTAATGGCGATTGTTTTATCCCTACAAAACGTCAACAATCAAAATTCAAAGAACAGTCTGAAATTAGCTGTCTCTTAGACACTTTTGAAGAGGTGTCTCAAGGTGTCTGCGTCATAGAAGTCTTGGAAAGGACTGAAGAAAGTTAGGGACCAACGCTAGGTGTACGGTTTCGAGGATTTGCTCTTACCACCAAATTTAACACTTACTTGAACGAACAAACTTGTTTAATAAAGTATTTAAAGTATTGACTCCACCGCGGAGTGAAAAATTTTCAATACTGTAACATTAGGCGGGCAGTTCCGAACGGAAAAGACAGCTTTTTCTTATCAGCCCAGATAACCAATCAAAACTCTAGAACGACTCCACCCTGTTGCCCAGTGCGTCTCTAATCTTAACGTCGACTCTTTCTTAACGGATAACTCTCTAATACAGACACCTTGAGTTGGTCCCTATCTTTCTTCAATCATTTCCTCAATCCATGTGAGCTCATATATAGAGGTCAAACCATCCTTGAATGAACTCTCGCCGGGGAGTGCACATTTCGTTTTTCCTGTTTGTAGCCAAAGAAATTTAAAGCTGACAAAAAAAGATGAGATCTACAGGCAGACCTGGCTGGTGTTTTGAAAATTTCTCAGTTACTTTCCGACTTGTTCAAACGTTAAACTTAACATTGCATGTGCTGAATCTAAAGCGAATGAGTGAGAACGATAGATCGATTTTGCTTGAAAGCATAACATTCCGCACACATGACCTTATTTTATATTTTTCGTGATGATCTGTATAGATAGTCTTTAGTGATAAACAAAGGTTCTCGACGCCTCGGCCATCAGTATATATCTATCATCTAATATTCATTAAGGGTACGAGGGGAATAAAAATTGATACCACCTCATGTGATTAATCTAATATATGTGTGATTACAAGGAAATCAATTGGTGGGTTCTTTTAGTTCAGTTTATCGAGACTGTCTATAAGAAAAGACATCGATGTCAGGGTTTTTGTTTGCTCTGCGATATCGGCCATTATCCACATAGTGAACTTTAAATATAGATTAAATACACTTAATCTGAGTAAATAATCAAAGAAAATATAGAACCTGGATCAACTATATGTACCATTTTCCGCTGAGCAGTAGCCGCAAACAGCGGATTAAACTAGCAAACAAAACAAATGTAATACTAAAACTGGCCTCTTTTAAAGATGAGTCAGGCATAGCTTTTTCAACAATTGTTCCAAAAAGATATTAAATCTAAGCGGGCTAGAAAAGACAACTGTAATCGAACCAAAGAAAAACTTTGCCGAGAATTCTTCGTAATGGTCCGAAACATTTGATTAATTACGATAATGCTTGGTTACTTGCTTATAGAAGGGTCCTTTGTTTCTGTCAAACAGGTTTTGCTTTAATCAGATTTGCCTGAAAAGTCGCCGATACTCCTTTTTGGAGAGGAGAGGAAGTAGTGTTGCTAGGATGTGTTCTACTCCCTTTGAACAACGAACGTTATGACAATCTCGCCTACTGTGAGAATTCAAATCTGCCATTAAAAATGTGTTAATCAGTTTTTGTTTTTTTCAAACAAAAGCAAGAAAAACTCTTAACGCTAAGCGCATTTTTTCGGCTAAAACCAACCAAGGTTCCAATTTGTAACGAAAAGAAGCGGTTAAGAAAACAAACAAATCCCTTTTTAAGGCTTAGTTTTGTCGGAAGTCTCCGCGTGGACGAAAAAATGGCGTGTTCAAAACTTGGAGACCACTAGTACTTTTTTTCTATATGCAGGAAAGACAAGAATCTGCTGAGAAAACATATGAACCAGTTCCGTTTATAGTATAGACGTTTCCTCTGAAAAGGAAAAAAATAGTTTTATGACATCATCTTAGATATTACTGTTTAAATGTAAGATCATCTTGTATAAGGATGTCAACCCGAAATGTTCGCAATTCCTTTGTCTGCGGTAGGTGGAGCAGCACTCTCAAAGTTATCCGAAAGGCGGAATATTGGACTAGAAACTTTAGACCTTTTCAAAGCTCGCCCGCCGTTGTGAAAAAAGCCGACCTTGTATCGAATTGCGTACTCTTGCATAGCGAGGGAAGCAAAATGTGTACACATGTGTTGTTCTAAAGTCTTCGTAACATTTTTAAGTTAACGGCTATCGGAAAGACCTACCTGTTTCTAGTCAGTAATACGAGAACTGCGAAAATGAAGACTTATCCAATATGTGCTGCCCGAAAACAGCAAATGAAACAGCCAACATTTCCTTCGATCCTGAGATAAGGCTAGCGCGTGTTTAATCTGGGATAATCAAACTATTTTTTCAAGTGCTAAACGGTGAGACTTAAAAAGCAATTCAAAGCGAATTTTTCGACAATTGTCAACCTTGCATTAAAATCTAAAGTTGGTACTTCATTGTGCACGTTTCTCTCGCTCGTTGCCTTTACGAGCTCACCACTACAGACGAGCCGCAAGGCGTTATGTTCATGGGTTAAAACTTACGAGGTCACGATATTTCTCGATTTCTCGACTAACAAATAGCAGGTAGCTCCAAGCACGCGAGCTCTCTCTGCGTCATCTTGTAAAATATGACGGTTGAATATGCCCCAAGGCATACCCAGTTGAACCAAACACACCAAACGTAATTGAGATTAAATCATGGCGGAGAATCTTAAGGTTGGAATTTTCCCGGTTAAAAAAATTTTAACATCAAATGTCCTGAATATTAAGTGCCACCTTATATTTCCAAAACCTTCCTTGCGTAAATAATACATTATTGGGCCAGTTGTGTAAACCGCCCAACGACAGTCAGTTGGTCCGATCGTAGTGGTTTGATGTAGAATTGTGCTGATTGAAATGGTGTGTGTTTGATCCCAGTAAGACCACAATTTCCTCGCCAGGTAGCCCAAAGGATATTTTAAGCACTTATCAAAGAGTTTGTAAACGATCGATCATTTAAAGCTCATCATAGATAACCATGGCTAACCGCACGCTTGCTTATAAACTGGTAAGAGGAGGCGAGCTTAATACATCACAGCAAAAACAACAACTGTTGACAGATAACAGCATGGCTATTCTCACTTCTGTAGCAACAATATAAAAAATTTTCCAGCAGAATATTTTTAGCTCAAGGCCTTTCCTCTTCGACGACTGGCTTTTTCTAAACAATCGCCACTGACTGAATTGAGAAAAGACATTTTTTCTTTTAAGATATTTTAGAGTGGGATCACTTGTGACCCGTGAACTCGACGCTTCTCTACACCGCAATATACGGAACCAATTCAAAGATGCCATCTCAGGACTTTTAGCATTTTCACTTATTTCTGTGCTGCGACATTTTGCTTAAATATCGTAACTGTTTATAGCTGGAACTTTTTCCTTTGCTGTCACTGCTTAGGGTCTATTGCATATTGATAATTTCAGTATCTTCAGAAGTTTACAGAATGAAGTGGCATGATTGAATAGATATGAGATTACTTGGTCATGTCGCTACATTTTAATTGCGATTTTTGACTCCTTGGATTTTATACATTAATCTTAGATCATATCGGGCTTGTATTGTTTGTCCTATGAATGATTTTACTAAAGCTCTTGCTTGTGGACATCGAAGATTTTATAGTACATACTTTTTTACGAATCACATCCAATCTTGAGAGTCATCTGATCAACACGTTGTACGCAGACCTATGTATAGTGCATATTTTCTTAGGAATAACAATACGTTATAAAACTTACCAAGGCTTTTTCCTTGCTGCTGCAAGGAGACTGAGGAACACTTAGCATTTCCACACTTGGTCTCGGCTACGACACGAAGACCTACGTAAATCTCAATGTACAGCACAAATATTGCTATCGGCTTCATAGCCTCAGTACAGAATAAATCCCAAGGGAGTCTGAGTACTGATATTATGACGGACTGAAATAGAAGTGCAGTTTGCCGTGGTATTGCAGTTGTACGACTCAGAGCCAGTCAACTTTTCAAGCAGTGACCTGATGTATGGCTCTCCCGGTCGAACGTAACTGTTTTTATAACACAGTGACGGAAATCTGAGTAATTACATAGATGCATACCGGAAGAGGCTATTTATACCCTATACACACTTTAACTTAAAGAATCGATTTTAGACGCATTCCTCTAGTTCTGTGCCGCGTCATTTTGCGAGCTTGTATTGAAAGACCGGCAAACTTAAAAAAAACACTTTCACCAAGCAATAAATTAGCAAAAAACCCTTAATGCAATTTCAACACATTGAACAGTGAACCGGATGTGACTTAGTGTTATTAGGTTTTACCAAGGGCAATAGTTTTGGTTTTCTTAAAATCTCAGCCAACAATATACAAGCATTTGCGTAAATATTTTTACTAGGAAAAAAATACGCACGTTTTCAAGCTGAGTGAACGTAATCCAACAAAAATATCTGGAATTTTTGTACTACAAAATTTCGTACAAGTTTTTGATCGATGGCATTCAGGAAATCTCATTCGAGAAATTTTTGTTGTTTTCTTTTTGATAATTTTTTAAAATATGAAGTGTGTCAAGAAGGTAAAGATAAGCAAGGGTGAATAATAAAATATTTTTGTTCGATAAGCTAGCTCGTGTCGGCAGTGCTAAAGATCTGATGAAAGACAGGAGGTTAAATTGCAAGTCGTAAATTTTAAAGAGCTTTTGAATTGTCTTCGTTATTACAAAACGCTCAAGAACCCAATAAGCTGACAGAGTATTTCATTAGAAAATGGTGGGTTGCAGGAGTTGTGTAAAACTTCGTACGGCGGAAATCTTTCGAAGCGAGTGGCAAGCGAAACAGGGGTTGTGTTTTCAGATGTGGTTTACCTAAATCCCTGAGAGCATATAGACGTTTTTCCACCCACCATGGCTCAAGTTCCTGCTTTTGGTACATTTTCACGTAGGCACCTTTTTCTCGGTCAGACAATCTTTACAGTTCAATGTTAATCCTACCAGAAAGAAAACGAAGCATGCGGCCATTCACCGCTGTCTTTGTCATCGCCTATATCAGTTTAAACTAAGCAAAACTTAATTTAATTTGCACAGAAGCACAAATTAAGGCATTGTAGCGTTGTTTGATCAAGATAATTAGATTCCATTATTTTACCCCTTTTTGGGTTGCTAAACCGAAAGATGAAGAACTAACAAGAACACAACCTCAGGTTGGTTACAAATTAACCGCAAATCCGGAAATGGGAAGGGGTAGAATATACTGTATAATACTGTTAATCCTCTGGGGGGCGATTTATGTCTTTCCCGCTAATTAAATGCATTGCTAATTAGCGCCGGATATGACTTAACCCATTTTACATTGCGTTCGAAAAATCGCGCTGAAATTAACGCAGGCATAACTTGTTGTTCAGGAGGTAACTAATGGCGTAAATCGCTCACGTAGTTTTTTAGGCAGCTAAAAATCAACCTAAACCCGAGGGCGTTTAGTTTTCTCAAAGAGAGGTAATGAAATAGTTTTGATCTTAAAAAATTAAAGGGTTTGAGCTCTTAAAATTCCTTTCCTCTGATGGTGGTAATACATGGTAATATAGCCCGTGGTCGGAAAAGTTGTTGCAAATGTTTTGAGACGCTTTTTCTGCTGAAACTACTAAGTAACTATTTGGAGTTCACAAAAATCGTTCTAGCGGATCTATGCAAAGTCTTTATAAAAGAAGAAATGGAAGGAAATGATAATAAGAAGCTTGTTACATGTTGTTATTATATCGCATGCATCGTGCAGCAGGAATTTCTGTTAGCCCATAAATATAATCCCTCTGACGTCCATTTCCTTGTAGCTCTTTTGAGTTTATTCGGCTAAGCAGCCTTGCTTTGATTCGCTGCTTAACATTACCCACTGTTAAATCAAGTTAGATGTGGTACGCAATCTTTTTCAAAAAATGTTAAGTAGAAAGACACCAGCTGTGTTTTACCGAGGTTGAAAACGTCGTTAGACTACATGCATAATCTTCACTCAAGTTGTTGTTTTCCCGGTTGCCACCCTGACCTAAAAATTTTGGCACGACGTGCAGATTGTCGCAAAATATAAAGCTCGAGTTTAGCCGGATGGCCATAAGTTTTGAGAAGTTTTAGAGTTAATACGATTAAAAGAAACAAAGTAAACAAGTACAAATATATTCTTCGAATCTAACGTGCAAATGGACAATTTGGAACTTTAGAATGTCATCAGACTTGACCCAAGAGTTTTAGAACAATCACAAGATATGACGCAATGAAAAATCTGGGGGACTTCAACCTCGACGCCTGTCTACTCGTACTGCTACGTTGTGTCAGCAACAACGACTGCAATGTTCTCATTCACGAAAGAAATAGAAATAAATAAAAGTAACGCCATCGAAATTAACAAATGGTATGTTTGGAAGTCACTATCATCATAGAACAAGCACTGATCTTCTGAGGTAGCCTGCGAATACAGCCTCTCTCCTCTGTCTCTCGTTACGACGTTACTGGACGAGGAGCGAGGAGAGGTGGCTGTATTTGCCGGCTAGTTCTGTGTCGATTTTGCATTGCAGTGAAACTGATTTGGTCTTGCCTAAGAACAGAATAAGTGGATGGAAAATGGAGAGAAACTGAAAGAAGGTTATTATCGTGCAAGTTGACATGAATATGCTTAGCAAACCCTGGCAATGACTGTCTCTTCGGTCAACACTTTTCTTTTCAGGCGTAGAGCAAACATTTGCAGAATTGCAGGCACGCCGCTTTTAGCTAGAAATATTTCATTTTCGTTTAAATTTCTATTAAAGGCATGTTGTGTAACTTAGTAAGATAAGACTACTCAATGACTGTCTATTTATGTAGGTTTCGTACAAAACAGTTTTATATGAAACCTACATAAAATTAATAAAGTAAGGTAAATGGTCTAAGAGAAAAGAGCGCGCAGCGTAAAGCCAATTACTGTGGGAACCACAAATAATGAAAAATTATTGAATACGTGGTCCAGTCACATCTTTCACGAACTGGAAAAAGCAAAAAGGCAAACGCTCAGCTGAACGATGAAAAAACAAATGATTCATGGCTCATTTATTTATTGTTCAGTTGAGTAGTGAAAATGAGAACAAAGAAATTTCGTTGTTGTTATAAGCAACTATAAATCATTATCATAAATGACTTAACGTTTTACATTATCCATGGCTTTTGTTTTGTTCAAAAGTCGGAAAATAACATAAGATTTTAGACAGTATGAGCTTTGACCCCAATTAAAAGTCCGCAAATAACTTTTTCAGAACCGGTAAGCTGATTTTCGTTAATCCGAGATTTTACCATAAAAACTGCACTAGTTGACAGAAAATCAGAGACGAGAAATTCTCTCTGTATTCCCCATACTATTTTCAAGTTTGTTCTCTAGGCCTATATCGCTGATGATTTTCTAAATAAATGAATAACGTTTTTGCACTCGCTTTTACCCAGTTACAATTTTATTGTTCAACTGGTGAGGTTTTTGCTATTTTCTCCGCAATAAAAACGGCCACACCCGTTCCCACGTACACGGATGTTTCATAATTTTGTATCCCGTCAACTGACAGAGTTCTTCCAGGGCAAAATCCCGCAAATATCCATCAATGAGCCTAGGAGAATTACAGAAACATGAACATAAATGAACATAATTCAAATAATATCAGTTTCTTTTCATGAATCCCTGATTACACACAATTATTAACACATGATGAGTAATTTCCATTTTATTGCTAACAAATTCTTGGATGAACAAAACCCTAGTACTATTAACTGAGGGAGAGTAACATTACCCCACCCCAGCACTTAAGTGTGCAAAACACTAAGCGCGATGTTTTACATTATATTATTTATTTATCTCTTTCTGAAAACATTAATTTCTGAGAGACTTAAATTTACTTTTCTTGTTGACTCTCAAGGTTAGTCTTTAATAGCTGGCCTGGCATGGTGGAACGTATTTTCATGTGTAAACAACCGCAGAGAATTCTTACGTTCTAAGCCGCTGTTAACGAACCGCGACAATTAATTTGATTTTTTTAACCTAATAACTTCGTCTAAGCGGAAAGAAACGCCTTTTCTTGTTTTAAAGGGAAAATAAAAATGTCATCTATTTTTAGTGGTATTTGGAGATTTCAAAGATGACAAATCCAAAAAATAAGAGTTCAATTTTATTCCGACGCAGACAAACTGTCCCCAAATATTTTCATGATGGATCGGGTTGTTCAAAGCGGGGTTATGATAACCCAGGGTAGGTTAGTGCGAAATTAGAATTCAGATATGCAAGTTTTGATAGAAAATCAAGTTGGATTCTTGTTATGTACAATTTGATGATTGTAGGATGTTCCGGGTAAAAAGAACACGAATAGAGAAAACTATGTGAGAAAATGATTTTGAATAAAAGAAATAAAAACCCAGGTTAAAATTCAACTCGGGGTTTAGCGCAATAATGGACCTACGAACAACTAGCCTGTTCCGAGATAGTCGGGTCCGCATGCAAAGAGAGAAAGCGCGAACAACTCGCGCTGATATTTTCGGGTGCCTTTCACTGACGCGTCATCCCAGCTGTCTGAGAGCCTGGAACTGGCTATCAATTCAAGGGGATGGAGACCTAATGTTAGCCGTGTCTTCTAACATCTAATGTTGAGATCATGAGTTGACTGGGTACTGAACGCCACATGTATTGCTGTGATGTACTAAGTCAGTTAAAAATTACTCCACTCGTCCCTGGAAAAGGAAAACCAGTTCGGGAGTGATGGGCTAAAATTTTTAAGTGCTCAGTACTCCTAAGAGTGTTCAATAAATCTGGTTCTAACATACAGTATACCTTTTTTCCCAATTAAAAAAAATATATGTATTTTTCTTTTTTCGCGCGCCGTGGTAACTTCCAAACCATGGCA